TAAGATGATCTATAGCCATTAAAATATATTTGTATCCCAAGGTAAGTTTTATGATATTCTTTTTCAGATTTAGCATAAATTCATATACTTCATATATATACCTTGACATATTTTCAGCCAAAAAAAATAAAAATTAACAAAATTTTCTCAAAAATAATATTTCTATTTTGAAAAGAATCTTTTCTCATTTCTATCTTATTTTGTAAAGCTCTCATTCATTAATAAATACTTTTTATTAATAGATCATAAAATGTGATCAAGCCATATAATTTTGAAATTAGCTCTTATTCAATCTAGAATTTTTTCATCTAAATCGATATCTCTAATTCTTCCATTCATCTATTTCTTAATGTCTTATTTTATCTACATAATCTTTCCCTACTCTATTTTATCTTTCATACATATTTGTTCAATTTGTGAGGAGTGAAATATTCTAAGCTTAGAAGTAATTCTAATGGGTTATGAATTTTGAAGGATGGAAGGATTGTCTTCTTTAATCTCAGATCTAATGAATTCAGTAAAATTTGAATTTTCTCTTCCAAAATTATCTATATATTCATATCCATTATTTTCATTTTTCCCCATTAGTTGAATCAACTCTTTTTCTAACTTTTCATTTCTCAACTCATTAAATTCTTCATCTTCTCAAGAGCTATCTTTTAATTTCGGTATATGATATACATCATCATCCTCACTATCAACATCTATGGCTGTAAAATTATAATTAGATTTATTAATTTCGTCTCCTAAATTAACTGATTTTTTTTCATCTTAAATATGTTTTTCTTCATTTCTATCCTTACTTCCTTCCACTAAAATTTGGATGATTCTTTTATAATCAACTACTATTTTTTCATATAAGGGCTTTTTCTCTTCATCATCCTCACTATATTCATTCATCAATTGTGAGCAATAAATAATTTTATTCAAATTATCTGGTACTATATTTGCAGCCTTAGTATTCTCATTTACTTCTAATGGCTCATCAATTTCTTCTAATAATTGGAAATAAGGATCAAATAAAATCTTCTCACTCAATGTATTTACTGTCTTAATATTTTCATTTTGTGGGTTTTTTTCTAAATTTATCCAGCTAAACTCTCCTTGTTGAAATCTTATTGTTTGACAATTTCTTGAATTTTCTATGATCTGACTTGGTGGTTGTCCCTCTTCTCTCTTATTCTCAAAAGCCTCTATAATTTGTTTTTAGTGCAACATCATTTGATTCATAGTTTGTTGCATCATTTCTATAACATCATGTTGGATTTGAGATAATTGATTTTTCTGAATTATGTGTTCTTGTTTTGGACAAAACTCAAAATTTAAATTAGATCTAAGTACTTTTGGATTTTAAATATTATTTGGGTTTCTCTATGAAAAATTATTCCTCTAATTAGGATTATAATAATTAAAAAAATATTTCTTGTTTTTACTAAAATCGTGGAGTACCTACACTTGTTTTTGTCTAAGATGATATTGAAATTCGAAATTATTATTTTCACCATACATAAGACAAGCACTATATGTATTCAATTGAAGGTTATGAGACTTTCTAATATTCTTAATAAGTAAATCAAGTTTTTTTAATTTTTAATTAATCTGATTAACCTCATTTCTTAAATTAGAATCATCATCATCATGTAATTCATAAATTTCTCTCTTCTTATCTTTGTCATATAATTCAAAAGAGGCTTGATCTATAAAATTTTCACTTAAATTCTCATAAAGACTGTAAATCTCATCAAAGGTTTTCTCCATAAAAGCTCCTCTACATTATAGAATCAACTATATTTCTATGTTGTTCTAATAATTCATCATAAAAAAATATATTAAGCTGTCACTTGGGTATAGTATGATAAGGACACTTTCTAAGTAAATCTTTGAATTTTTCTCATGTCTCATATAAAATTTCTCTTGGTCTTTGAGAAAAACTTTATATATGTTTTCTCGTATTTTGAGTTTTTTCTAAGAGATAAATTTTCCAAGAAAGGTATGTTCTATGTCTTTCCAACTAGTTAATTCTCTATCTAATGTGGATAACTAATGACTAGCTTTGTCCTTAAGTGTATGAGGAAATAATTTTATCTTAATAATTTCTGATGTAATTTGAGAGAGATTAACTAAATCACAGACCATATGAAAATTTTCTAAGTATTGATGAGGTTCCTCTAAAGGCAATCCATGAAAATTAGGGAGTATTTGAAAAATTATTGGATTTCTTTTGAATTTAATAGTGGGTGATAATGGGACTCTAATATTGGATGCTCTTTAAAATGAATCAGAGGTATAATAATTTTTCATGACCATAGAATTATTCTCAATTTGACTTATACTTCTTTCAAAATCTATCAAAATTATTTTTTTTAGATTTTTAGTTTTAAATAAAATAATGAAAAAAAATTCTAGCTTTGGAAGCAAGGATCTTCTATCATGCATAACAAATTAATAAATTTGAGAAAAAATTTTAGTAATTGTTACCCTCTTTTAGTATGCTCCAATCCTCACCTTGCTTCTCTTCATTCCCCTTTTTTTAATAAAAAAAATCAGCAAAAAGAAAATAAAATAATAGTTAATTTTTTTTGTCTATTCTAAGAGAAAAATATAAAAATACTAAATATTATGCAATACATCCTTGACAACGGCACCAAAATTTGATGTGACTTAGTTGTTGTATAATAAATCCTGCAAATTTAAAATTTATAAAACTAGAAAATATAATTTTTTGGATATTTAGAAGTATTTCTGAACAAATATATCAATTATAATTCAATAAAACTTCTAAAAATAGTAGTAATTTTTTAGTCAATCACAAGGATGTAATATAATATCTGGTAATTATTCAAAATGTTCCGGAAAGAATATTATTTTTTATGAATTTTATACTAAGAAATAAAAAGTAAATATATTTAAAATTTATTAAAAAAGGAAATAAGGGTGCAGACGTCAAGGTGATGTCAGCTCCCGACAAACGCGAATCAGATAGAAATAGAGTTTCATTCGACAATTCTTACGTAAACGATTATAGACGATTTAATTGATTAAATTAAGATTTGTAAAAGCTAGAAGAATCATAATTAAATGAAGTATATCTTAGTAAATTTAAATCATATAAATTATCACTAAATGAAGTGAAAATTAAATTGAAAGTAAGAAAATAGAATTCCAACATCGCAGTAGTGATGCGTCAACGATGCACTAGAATCCTAAGCATTCGGGAGGATTATTGTGTAGTGTCTATGGTCTCAAAAGCTCTCCTTGGATAAAAACGACATGAGCAATCTCTAAATCTTCTTGCGAAGTCTAGAGATCAATGAAATGGGTCATTGAATCATTTCCGGCGGTTGTCATCCAGTAGAGCAAAAAAATGATGACTTTGCAACTCTCCGACGGCTGTCACCCAATAGAGAGGAGTTTGATAGAGGTGGGACGCATGTTAGGGAGCTTCATCCTCAAGTTTGCACAGCAAGAGGAAGTTCTTCATTGCATCTGGTACACTCTCAGGAGGTGGCTACTCGTCTCTCGGCGAATCGTTCTCTTTTCAACGACGACTTATTCGTCGATCAATTAGAGATGCTTTACTTGATGGATTCACCATTCTTTTATCACGAATCGTTCAACAATTTTAATAACAATACTCTACAAATCGTATTGATAAGATTTTTACTGATGACTTAGTAATTCTGGTTGCTTAATCCTTCACTGACGATCTACAGAAAAGTCGTGATAATCAGATAAAAAATATGAGTTTTGGCTCTAGGAGGATTCAAACCCATGCCGGCTGCCTACCATTTTTGGGAAAAATGTGATGCGGGTTTAGTCCTATATCGCTTGTGCATTAAAGTTTTTGACAAATATATGGTAATATTACATTTCTGATCAAGTCCCTTTCTCACGCGTGTACGACTACTCCTTGTCCCACAACTAGCTAGCCACTGGTGACATGGAAAGTGAGTGGCGCACACATGCTCCTATCGGTCATAGTTGCTCGAGCCCTTGCTCACGGCTCCTCCATGATTACACTTCTGACCCACTTGTGGGCCCAACAAATCCCCCTCATTTTGCTATATTTTTATTTTTATTTATTTTTCTTTATTTATCTCAAAAGTAAAATCATAAAAATCATATAAATTCATATAAAATCACATAATTACCTAAAAATTCACTTTAATCAACTGAAAATTACTTTTCACACTTCAACATAAATATAAGTTTATTTATCATGTGTTAAGGCTAAAACTATATTATTTACTAATTATTAACTCATAATAATGAAGACTTATCAACTATTTTCATGAAGATGCTCTTATTTTAAGTATTCTTGCTCATTATGTTGACAAATTTTGTAGATATAAGTTGAGTTGTTATGACTAATTATGAAATGATAAGAACATCAAACTATACCATATAGTTATGTAATGGGGCAACTATATGGTATAGTTGGTTTAATTTCATACATAATACTCTTACTTCAGAAAGTTAGTTAATCAGTAGTCTAATCCAAATCATTCTCATCAAATGGCTGGTCAAGCAGCATACAATTAAAAATATATATTTAGAAGAAGGCTAATGTGGATCCTCTAACCTTCATCTTGGAACAAGTTTTGAATTATAAGGCTCTCATCTCTAATTTGTTTGAAACGAGTTATCCACAACATCATGCTACTTGAGGGAGGGTGCATTAAAGTATGGTTGGCAATCAAACGAGAAGGAATCATAAAACAACTACGGTTGGGATGCAAATTATAAGCGCAGGTTTCTTGATCACTCAACCAATCTGGTGGTGAATCAAACGTCATGGCCGTCTAAGTAGGCCGGCCCAGCCCGTTAACTGTGATAAAATCAAACGGGTTTTGGGCCACATTCTAGATTTTTGGGCCATGGGGTGTCCCCCCCCGGGATCTCTACCTGCGCAGCACACTCTCGAGGAAAGGCACCAACTTTTTTGGGGGGGACGGAGAAGGGAAGAGAACAGAGCTCGGAATCGACGAAGCCAGACGACGATGGACGCCTCGGGATCTACGTACAAGCTTCTCCTCTCGTGCCCCTCGGGCCTCTCCCCCTCCCAGGTTTTCTTTTCCTCTCCTTCTGCGGCGACGTCTTGAATGTATCTGGAGGAGAGGAGGAAGGAGTGGTCCAACCGGCACAAGACTTATTTTCCTTTGCTTCCACGTGATCCATATTGGTACCAGTGGTGAGGAAGCGTTGGTTGATTTGGAGGCTGAGTTCGTGGTTGGGCACATAACAAATGTTGGATCGATCGGGGGAGAATGCACATATTCTCCCATTTTCGCTTGATCGATCCGATACAGCTTTAAATTTATGGCTTCAAGATATTCTGGGCTCTCTGGTTTCGTGGTTGGGCACATAACAAATGTTGGATGAACAGTAGAAGACATCTGGGCTCTCTGGTTTCGCCCATTTTCTCTTGTCATTTTAAGCTGTGCCTAGTAATAAACAATTAACTATTGCTTGAATTGTAGAACAACCCGGAAAAAATTGCTGTTGGAACGTTGAAATTTGTGGCAAAAATCTTTGAATTATTTTTCGGGCATCTCTTAACCTAAGTTCTCGGTGGGCATGTCATTTTATTTTGATACCCTTTCTGTGTTCAATGAAGGTTTTTGCCCGCTTTGCGCGTGTGACAACTGTTGATGTAGGTATTATTTTTCCTAGTCTTACACATTTTTCATATTAAATGAAGGTTTATGTCGATTTCAGCGCATCCTACGACAGAATTCCGCATCCGGCTGGCAATTTAGAGAATTCTATACCTGAGGTAGTACTGTTCTCTGCCTATTATTTTCGAATGTCATGCATTCTAGAATGTTAATGCTGTACTCTGCTGCAAATATTGGTAACCTGAATTGAAGTACAGTTTTAGAAATGTCATAAAACAGCAATGAGAAAGGAAATTTAGTTCTCCAAAAAATAATAAAATCGTCATTGGATGACTGTCTGACTTCTTGGATAAAACGGTTTTGACCTTCTACTTCGATCAGAAAATAGTAGCCAAGCATCCATCTTCAAGGAATTATTTTTAGATGTTTTTGAAGTGAATTTAAGTTGAGGAAATTCTCATTTCATGTCTTTAGTCAGTTGAAATGCATTTTTACGGCTGCTACATTTAACATAGTGTAATGGTCTCTGATGTACTCATTTCATTCTGAAAAAGTTGATGCTTTGTACACTCTTGATAATAAAATGTTTCGGGGGATAATGACTCCTTGATAACGTATTCATTTCCCTGTCATTTTGATTGTCTTTTCACTTTCCAAGTTGTAATCACATCACTAGGTTTCTTTTTGATCCAGAAATTCTACCTACGTGAATAGGGACTATTTTATTTCTCTCTGCAATTTCATATGTCTTACATTTGACATTATTTTACAGATATGGTGTCAACGGATTCAGGAAAATCCATCAATGTACAATGACCAGAAGTTTAGGGTATTTTTCAATTGAGATTTTTCTCTCTTCAGCCTTTCGTCAGCTTTCCAATTGCATTTTTTTTATTTAAAAGTTTTATGCCAAAGAATGATGAGAACATCTGTGCTTTTCCTACATCTTGATTACTACACTGCATGCTCTAATTTATTTGAAATTGCAACCTTCGATAGATTCAGAGAAAAACCCAGGTTGTTGGTAATTAATCAAGCGAATGGCTTTTTGAATATTTCCCTTTACGGGAATCTTTTGGCGTTATGCATCAAGGTGGATGGGCAACTGGAAAATGAATTACGTTATTTTCCTCAATATATGTGCATTAAATTGTGCAGTTTTAAAAGTCATGCAATTACCACACCTTTTGAGTCCTTGCGACGATGGCTTTCAAGAACATCTTTTTACTCTAGATTTGATGATAATTCATCTCCTACGCTCTGAAACTTCTGCTAGAACTACATTATTGTTAGACTGATATTCTGGCTTTCCTCTTTAATTTTACAGTATGCTGGGTACAGCTCGAAGAACCCTGATGGTTCTAGATCAAACTACTCTATCTGTCTAAATCTAGGTTTGACAGACTATAGGTTTGCCATCATCACTCTCTTTGGCTGGATATTGTTTGACAAAAATATGTTTTACCTTTCATTTTTCTGGTTGTCTTGTTGAGAATTCGGAAGCTTGCATTTCAGTTTTTTACAGCAACTGTCAAACATTAGAGAAGGCTGTTACTTCAATTTCACTTTCCACCTCGTATGTTGAACATATTGCGATTTTTATTTTTATTTTGCACATACATTAGTCTTATATATCAGGTTCATGCCGTCAAAATCCCTTGTACTTCATATGTCAGACCGTCAATGCAAAAAAAATGAAAAGTAAAAAGAGAAGCTACTCTATTCTATAAATGCCACATTGGGTATGACTAGCATGTGGCAAAACTCATCAGTCTTTATTACTATTTCTTGAACATCTTATTTCGTGTCTGGCACCTGGTAAACAGTCTATACTGAATCCCCAGAAGTCATTACCTGCGGATTCGCCTTTCAGCCATCTACCCTGCTGGTGTTCCACTGTGGCTCACTGGAGCATCGCCTGACTCTGCGAGCTGCTTGAAGTTTATCACTGGCCTAATTTGTTAACAGCCTGGGACGAGATATGTCATGCCAATGGGTTTGACCACTGTGGTCATTAAGTGCTTAAAGGAACTGGAATGAAGTGGACATTGTCCTGGACAAGGATGAAAAAAGGCATTTCAAAGTCAACTCCAAGAACGGGATTTTATGTACTTGGCAGTTCTGTGTAGAAATATTTTAGGATGTGAGATACCAGCACTTGTACAATACTGAATAACTGTTTGTCTGTTAGCAGCTTGCATCGTTATTATATAACCATTAGTCTGGAGATCTTTTGCCTGGCTAACATGTCCCCGCAATAGTTTCTGTTCTAACGCCTTGTTATTATTCAGGACGTTTGTAGGCACAAATTTAAATCCTCTTTGGGAGAATTTTCTTGTCCCTTCTGAAGGTAAATCTGTATTTAAGTGCAGATTAATTTATATGTCTGGTGTAGCGTAACTATGGTGGAATGCTACTAATACTAAAGCCTTTTGTACTCTTTACTTGTGTTGTTCTACGCGAAATCTTTGAGAATGCTTGTAGTTGGTGTAGAATGGTCACACACACACAGTTTGGCGACGAGTGTGAACTATTCTTTTGGGTTAAATTAGGAATGTTATTAATGATGCAAATTGATGTTATTGGCGGCTCTCATCATGTAATCAATGTTCATATTTATCTATGCACCTTGTGCACTTATTTGCAGATGATACCATACACTGTCAACACATGGCAAGTCCACTGGGCAATGGCGCAATTGTGGAGACTTTGGACAAAAGGATTATTGTCTTGCAAAGAAGTTCGAAAGTTGGTGAATTTCCTGGATACTTTGTGTTCCCTGGTGGCCATTCAGAGGTATCTTATTTGACTTCTCAATTTTTTTTTGTCAGAGTACCAAGATCAGCGTCAAGATGTGATAGTGTTGTGTCTTATGGATTATCATCAAAATATAGAGTGTTGAGGAGATGGCTAGTTTACATGAGAATATTTGGCAGGGAAAATGATGAATTGGCGTAGATTTTCTAAACCCAAGCTACCGCACACAATATTTGATGTACTAATGTGTCAATAATTCTTGGTGTTTATGAAGCTTTTAAAAAAAAAAAATTATTTAGAACAGAATTTTTCTGGGGGTAGACGGAAGACTATCATCATATTTCTCAATCTCCTTCTTCTGAAAATGAATTGATTATATTAGGTATCTCCTGGCAGAAAATGATGAAGATCTATAAGGTTTGGAATTCCCTACTATGGATGTTTTGGTATCTCTTGCTCATGAATGATCAAATGAAACCTGCGTAAAACACATAGAATTGCCTCCCCAAATGAAGAATGTAAAGGCTTGATATAATATTCTAGACGGGCTTGCTTAAACTAGATCATGTTTGAATTTATTTTATTTTTTTTTGGGGGGGGGGGGGGTATACGGTAATTGGGCTTTTTATTTCAAATCGATTGTATATTTGTTTTTTCTTTGATGCATGAGACAGCGCTCCGAATCACAAATCCCGTGTTGACGGTAATCCAATATTCACAGCCATTAATTCTCCTAGTTAAAGATCGCATCATTCATTCTGTTTATGGGATGTTCTTTCTTGATTGGAGGCAGCCAAAGGAGATTGGTATCTCTGGGCACCCAACTGATGCGGTCTCAGCAGGCTCCGAGCATCTGAACAAGAAGGTTGCTGTGGAGATGTTCGACGGCATTACCCGGGAAGTAGTTGAAGAGATCGGAGTTCCCGCCCACTATCTAGTTAAGCAATTCGACATCTTGTTTCTATTGAAATCCTTGTTTTGGCCCTTCCACATCGAAAAAATCCGATAAAAAACCGTTCTTTAGTAAGATATTTCTGATTTTTTTCGCATTTATATCCGATTTCCCGACTTATGAAGTAAAAAAAATCGAATATTAGATCAGTGTTTTCATGAATTTTAGTGATTTTTATGTTCATTCAATCGCCATTCTGGATTTGATTACCAAGCATTGAACTCGTTTGCAGACCGACCCATTGTTCATCGGGATCTCCCGCAGGGAGCTAAACGTGAGGCCGACGGCCTTCTTCTTCCTCAGATGTAATGTTCATTCAAGTGCGGTCAAGGAGTTCTACTCCAAGGCTCAAGACGGCTTTGAGTCAACCCAGCTGTTTGCCATGTCAAGGGTCAGCGCCGCATCTCATCCTTCTCCTTCCTGCATCCTTTTTTTTTTTCTTTTATTATTTTTAGTAATAAATGCTGAATCCGCCCCAAGCTTGATGAATTAATAATTAAAATAGAATAATAGCTTGATTAAATATATGGAAACGATCTACTCATGACCCATGAGGTTTTTGTTGAGTTGGATGATCGAATGGCCAACGGTTTAAGTCTGAGATCCTTCCAGCGTTGATAATTTCCAGGCGGAGATAGAGAGTATGTGCTCCAGAATTCCCGGATGCCATCGGGGCGGGTTTGCCCTGTATGAACAGATGGCGGCGCTTGAAGATGCTTGAGACCCGTCGCTGATGGTGATTCCCTCCCTCTTCCAGTCACTCTTCAAATTTTCTGTGGCTCTTTTCCTGCATCTTTAGCGAGGGCACTGTTTCTCTCTCTCTCTCTCTCTCTCTCTCTCTCTCTCTCTCTCTCTCTCTCTCTCTCTCTCTCTCTCTCTCTCTCTCTCTCTCTCTCTCGCTCCCTGCATGATTCCCTCTGATGCCCGTTTTCCAGCTGATTTGAGAATATCCATTGGACTATCACACTCACATTTCTGTTTTCCGTCTAGAGAGAGAGAGAGAAAGAGAGAAGAAATGGTTTGAATAAAGACGTGGGTTTCTGACTTTGTCTCGAGAGCATTACTTGGCTCTGTTGGACCCCTGTGGAGCTCGGACTTGTAATCCCCTCACAGAGAGAGAGCCATAGAGCTACAGAGCTAGATAGCTAGAGAGCGAGAGAGAGAGAGAGAGAGGATTTAATCTGAACCATCGGTTTAGCAAGACTTTTTCTTCCAGTGATCTTTCTGACCTTCCTCATCAACGTCACCGGGCTCCTGTTGGACCCCATGGAGACTTGGCCCTGGTCGTAATACAGAGAGAACAGAGAGAGGATTTAATCTGAACCATCAGTTTACAAATACTTTTTCTTCGAGTCATCTTTCTGACCTTCCTCGTCAACGTCACTGGTCACCGGTTAGAGCCTTGGCCCCCGTCGTCGTAGAGAGAGAGGAGAGAGAGAGAGAGAGAGAGACTTCGTCCGAAGCGAATGATGGGTACGCAAACTTTAGAAAGTAATATTTTCTGACTTGGAATTTTTCAAAGACACCCCTGGAGTCAGAATTGCTGGCATATCCACTCTGAACGGAACCCTTTCGGTCTTATCTCGAGTCCGCCACCCGGCTCGGTATGAACGACCCAACTGGGTCAAAGCGAAAATCGAGGACCTCCAGGATTTCGGGCCCACAGCGACTTTCCTCAGTCAACGGCTGTTCGGCAAAGATCAGAGATGCGGGGAGTGGAAGAAAGGGACAGGTTGGCCGCACGAAAAAGCGCCGCGCCGATCTACATTGAACGGCCAGGATCGGCCAGGATCGGTCACTCGTGGTCCACCATAATCATGAGCCTCCATCAGGTTACAACAGCCTTCCCAAAGGTTCGATAACATGGTCAAACTTCCGCAGAAGACCAGAACCTCTCTCTCTCTCGCTCGCTCGCTTTCTCTCTCTATGCCCACGTCATCATTCTCTGGAACCGGGAAAGGAACTGTTCAGGAGCCGTTTTGAAGAAGGGAGAGACTCTCAGAGAGCTGGAATTCTGATCCATGGCCGAGGGGCATCCTTCCCCAAGCATGGGGTGAGCTCGAGAGTAAGAGCAGGCTCCACCTGCCATCGGCGGCTCCTCGTCTCCCTCTGCTCGACGATCGGAGGTGGCTTGTGGTTTCGAGCTCTCCAATCTCTGCTACCTCGTGTTCCGAGCTCTCCGATCATCTGCAGCCGATGGATGACCTGAAACGGAGGTGAGGTAGGGTGGAAGACGATGACTGTGTAGTGGATAGCTTCCTGCTGGAATTGTGGAAGATGGACCTGAGGATCGGCCAGCAGAGCTTCCGCAGGAAGAAAATGACGAAGCAACTCACCGGGAAGCGAGATGACAGCGCCCTGCATTCCGCGGTGCGGGCGGGCAATCTGGCCGTCACGAAGGAGATCCTGGCGGAGGTCGGCGGAGACGAGACGAGGGATCTGCTCCGCAAGCAGAACCAGTCGGGGGAGACGGCTCTATACGTCGCGTCCGAGTACGGCTACGTGGATGTCGTCCGCGAAATGATCAAGCATTACGATGCTTCCTCCGCCGGAATCAAGGCCCGGAATGGCTTCGACGCCCTGCATATTGCTGCCAAACAAGGGGATGTAGGTGAGAATTCCTTTAGGAAACCGTTTGTCGATCATTTGTCGAAAGGAAACCCCGACTCTTACTCCCTCAAGATTTCCTAAGCTTTCATACATCGCAGAGTTGCAGAGAGGATAGGCAAAAGAACGAACAGCCAAATCAATCAATCCTCTACTCGATCAGTTGATAATCAGTCATCCAGTCGAATCTTCTTGTTCGAACAGCGATTTTCCCGATGATTATATCATATTTATACGTAGTTCCACATTCATGAAACCCTAGTTTCGGATCGCTCCTCCGGAAGAATAATTCCTGGGACTCCCTCTATCTCATGTTCTGAGGCATTCCACGCCACGTCCAGACGTTCTGCAGGTGTTGCTGGAGGCGCTGCCGGAGCTCTCCATGACCGTGGACTCGACGAACACGACGGCCCTGCACACGGCCGCCACACAAGGCCACGCCGAGGTCCTGAAGATGCTGCTAGCAGTGAACGGAGACCTGGCAAAGATAGCCCGCAGCAACGGGAAGACGGCCCTGCACTCGGCTGCAAGAAATGGGCGACTCGAGGTGGTGAAGGCGCTCCTCAACAGAGAGCACGCCATAACCGCCAGGAAGGATAAGAAGGGCCAGACGGCGCTTCACATGGCCGTCAAGGGGCAGAGCCTGGAGGTGTTGGAGGAGCTCCTCAGATGCGATCCCTCGCTGACCAACATGGTAGATTCCAAAGGGAACACGGCATTGCACATCGCTGCGATGAAGGGCCGCGATCAGGTGCTGTTCCTGTTGATTCCCATTCGTGCCCGCATTTAAATTCTCGAGTTTTCTTCTCGTCTAGCCTGAATTTGTGCTGGAATAAAATAAAATAATCTTACACTGAACGAGGGAAAAAAAGAAGAGAATCTAAACCTGAGATAAATGTGATTAGAACAAGAACATGGGACATAAACAGCCAGAAAGGTCAGAGTTCAGTCTTGATCTGTGAGGTAGCGACGAGCTTGCTGAGACAGAAAGGAAGAAAATCCTCCAAAATTTCCAAAAATAGAAGTTTGAATGAGATCAGTTTCTGTCCAAGAAGGAGACGTCAAGCTTCTGAAGACCTTTTAAACTTGGGATTAGGGCATCCCATGGTAGGGAAGCATTCTCTACTTTTACTCCAGGTTCAAGTAGATTCAGGGGGTCTGCAAGCGGTCTGCTTTTACTCTATGTTTGTGTTCTTGATGTGCTTTGAAGAGATGATATGAGGAAAGCTGTTCCTGGGCTTTGATGATATCAGGAAGATAAGTGAAAAAAATATACTTGTTTTTAGAAGGAATTCAGAGATTGCAGCAGGGTTGATTGAGCAGCTTTCATCGCTTGGTGATTTTTTTTCATTGTGTTCATATAAAGTTCGAAAATCCCTGCCACAATGCGGTTCTGGGGGTCCTGCAATCGATCGCTCTGTAAAATATATGCAGGCCAATAATTCTCCAAATTATGACCTTCATGTGAAGATGGATGAATCCGAGGAGGCGAAGAACATTCTCCCAAAATCTGCGCAGAGCCAGTCAAACCCCCCAACTCCCCCTGTGATTAACTCCAGCTTCTTTCCTGCAGGTTGCGAAGATTCTGCTAGAATCGGAGGAGACGGACGCCGGAATCCTCAACAGAGCCGGCGACACGGCCCTGGACATCGCCGAGAAGGCTGGCCACTCGGAGCTCACAACGACCCTCCTCAACCACGGCGCCCAGAGGGCCAGAGAACTCGGCGGCGCCGCCGCCGCCGCCGGCGCCGGCACCCCCGCCGGAGAACTGAAGCAGACGGTCAACGACATCCAGCACGAGGTCCACTCCCAACTGGAGCGCACCTTCCAGACCGGGGAGCGCCTCCAGGGGATCGCCCGGCGGGTCAGCAAGCTCCACGCAGACGGCCTCAACAACGCCATCAACTCCACCACGGTCGTCGCCGTCCTCATCGCCACCATCGCCTTCGCCGCCATCTTCACCGTCCCCGGCAAGTACGCCGGCGGCGAGAACCCCGTCCCCGAAGGTGCCTCCCCGGGGGAGGCGAACGTGGCCCAGGAGACGACCTTCACCGTCTTCTTCATCTCCGACGCCGTCTCCCTCTTCATCTCCCTGGCGGTGGTGGTGGTGCAGACATCGGTGGTGGTGGTGGAGCAGAGGGCCAAGAAGAGGCTGATGGCGGTGATCAACAAGCTCATGTGGCTCGCCTGCGTGCTGATATCCGTCTCCTTCCTGGCCGTCTCCTTCTTGGTGGTGGGCCGCCAGGGGATATGGCTCGCCATCGCCGTCGCTTCCACAGCGGCGGCGATCATGGCGACGACGCTCGGCACGCTGTGCTGCTGGGTGGTCGCTCACCGGGCGGAGGAGAGGAAGCTGAGTCGCCGCCGCCGCCGCGGCCGCCGCTCCTCCCTCAGCAGGTCGCGCTCTCCCTCCGTCTCCGCCGTCATCTCAGATCCCGACCAGCCAAGCGGCGAATTCAAGCTGTACCCCATATAAAATCCACACTACTCTTCTTCTTCTTCTTCTTCTTCTTCCCCGGCATGTACATCCCCAACTATGGGGACCCGAATATGTCCGATCTTGAATCAGATTAGTAAACACAAGACATAAAAACTGCTTCTAATAAATAGCTGCCAGTTCGGCCGAGGCCTCCACGAATAGAATTATATTCTTCAGTAATGTGGATTTAGCGACCCAGAAGATACATTGGATTAATGATGCCAAAATAGCTCAATTAGTGGCGGCGCACTAATAAGATTGCTCAATCATGGGGACGTATATTTCGATTTTCGATCAGATTAGTAGGCCCAAGAAAGAAAGAAAAAACTACTGCTTCTACTATTTTTTCCAGTTGCACCCACCAAAAAAATAAATAAATCGAGAAACTAAGATCTGCCGACCCAGATCTTAAGTCGGATTAAGGATGCCAAATAGCTCAATGGGCGCACTTAAAGTTCTGAACTTTGGACGTATTGGTTGCAAGGGAGGCTCAGCTTATTACAGCCGACGACGATGAGCATGGATCTAATCTGGCCGCCCTCCCCCGTGAAGAATTGATACAAAGCCGCTGTACAGTAGGACAATATCTGGGAACAAATGGACCAATTGGGGATGTACACACGAGCCTGCTCGTTTCCCATCCGAACCCATGGATGCACACGGCTCTCACCTTGCCGAGACAGAAAGAACAAAGAATCACGGTCAACTGTGTGAAGAAATCTCTGATCAGTTGAGGGCCCACTTGGAGGAGGAGAGGAGAGGAATCCCCGATATGGTCAGCAGTCGATGCTCGGCAGTGGCATCTTCCAATAGTTCCACGAGTTGAAATCCTCCTGCGATGAATGATGACCATGATGAAGGCTGAATGCCGGATTCAGCAAGGTTGAAATGGAAAGAAACGTGATTTTGATTTTTTTTTTTAATTTCAAGAAAAGAAAAATAAATCCAGTACGATATCATACTTTGACCATGAATGGACTTTTTTTATTTCAAGAGTTAAAAATTTTCAATTCTTGAGAAAGTGCACTGCAAATAATAGACTTTGACCATGATCTCGCTCATCCCTCAAATAAATGGTTCAATCGCTGACTTTAACATGATCAGCATCTGATTCAGTCGAGTGAAATAGCTAACCTGCTCAGCCACTGAAGTAGGTGGGAACATGTCGTTGACCAGTGTGTGCAACGAAGTGTAAGACTTCACATCGATGCTGTGATTGACAGCCACTTCACCCTGTTGGATGGAGAGTAATATATTTAGTAATCAGTCTCTGCCGACATAAAGATTGTTTTCAGAAGGAACAACTAGCACCTTGGGATTGATGATGAACACTTTTCCTTTCGGAATCCCAATTTTCCGATAACTGAGCTCATCGGTATCTCTGTTCCCAAAGCCCGCATAGAATGGATTGTAGTCAGACGGGAAGAGTGCCCTAATATCCTGTCCAATTAAAGTTGCAGAAGGGATGAAACCGACGATGAGTACAGGTTGATCAAGAACAGCATTCTTTTAGCACTGACAGGTAAAATCAGACGATTAATGGATTCAATTATTTCAAAAAGAATCACGAGGAGCCATTCCATTGCAGATCTTTACCTCTAAACATGCAATCTTGAATTCATGGGGAGCCCTGCGTATAACTGTCATCAAGAAAAATAGAAGCTCAAATCAGAAGTGTAATGAACGGAGATCCCAAATGGAATCACTTGTGTGTGCGTAATGGCGCGCTAATTTCAACATCTTTCACAAATATCACAGATAGATCATCAATCACTCTCATTGCTTTGGATTTTATCCCCCCATTCTAACATGATAACATATCTGTTTTCAGGCACATGATAACATGTCAAGGAATGCCAAAAGATTTTCAAGACAAAAGGAATGAGAGAAAAAAAGAGAAATAAGTCCAATTCGACTGTTTATGGGTATGTCCAGACGTGAACAATAAAAATGGATGATTAGTGCTGATGGGTCCACTGGGCTACGGGAGAGGTGACAGTTTCTGCCATACTTGCCAGAAATATGCATCTGTGCTGAGGGCCAAACTGAAAAAAGGAAGGAGGAAAAAAAATAGTGAAAATGTAAGGAAGCAGTAAGGCTTCATGGCCCACCGGGAAGATGGTGAGCCCTAACACTCTTCCATATTCCTATGTTCATTCACAGTAGCGCTGCCCTTGTTGATAGTCTGTCCGCGTTGTTTAAATGACTCTTATTTTATGAATTTACAGATCTCAGTTCTGTTCCGATTTAAATCCCAACCAACCTTAATTAACAAAATTCACATCTTTACATAGACTTGTACATGAAAAAATTACCTAAAATCACATGGAAGCGGGTCAAACACGGTCAAAATTACTTAAATTTTCAATCTTAGTCGTGATTTAACAAGTTTTATTTGACACTGTCCACAGCAGTCTGAAATTTTCCAGGCAAATAAAGCTTCCAAGGAATGTACTAGGAACAGAAAGGAATCAAGTTCCAAGAAAGAAAGAAAGAACAAAAGTCCCAAATGGAGAGAACACTCAAGCTTTGAAGGATCTCAAGAACGGGATAAAAGGAGCAACCATCCAAAGCTTACTACAAGTGCCTTATACACATAGACTGTATGAGTTCGTGCCTTTGAACGTGATTTTAATGGTATATCAGTAGAATATGACTTAACGGTTGAAATTATCGAAAGTAGACTTGCACATAAAATGCTTGTTCTAAGCGCTTTGGCCATATATATGAACCGGAGTAGAGAAATATGGCTATGTTTTTTTTTTATGAAAATCAACCCATCAAGTAAGCTTTAATAACCCCAGGATACCAAGAAATTCTCACATACCAACTGTACCATTTACGGCATTCAATGGAACAAATAGTTGGCACCTGAAGAAGCCCAACAAAAATAAGTTTGTCACACCAAAAAATTGTAAAGAAATAGAAACGAAAACCAGATGAGGAGTTTTAGTGAAAAGAGCCAAAAGAAAAGAAAGGCCAATAAATTTTCTAGGCACTGATTTCAAACATCAGGATAGTCAAAGGTGGCGGCTGAAAGAGCTGAACAGTAAGTGCAAGTTACAAAAGGATCAGCTTTTCGGTTAGACTTTAACAACACATTTCCAGCTGTACTGGATGACTGTAGTCAGCCAAAGACACTCAAAACCCACACCTTAATCTGGTGTGGGTTTTGAGTGCAACACCTTACCTGTGATAACTATACTGGATGGGCTTGGCCTTCAGATATCTAATGGCAAACTGAGCCAGGCATTGTATTCTGATCACAGGCTATCTATAAACTCGATCAGTATTTGACAGATGATGAATTTGGCCCTTAAAATTAGAGTAATTATTCAAAAGAAACAGTGTATAAACAGAATCCATGAGAAAGAGACAAAACTGTCCACGCTGCTCCCAATGGTAATCCAAGTCAACCAGTAAATAAGGTGAGGTAGTCATTTACCGTAAGTGGATTTCAAATAAATTCGCTACATTCCAGTTGACAAAAGTTACACATCCCAGTAACAACGGAAATTGGTTATAAGGATATACAAAAGCCACGGTAGTCATAAAAATGTTGACCAAGATGAAGGACTTGAATGTTTGAAGAACTCAACTGTGGTAAACGCATATAGCTACATAAGATAAACCGTATGATAGCATATTATTTTACTGGGACCCAACGTCAAAAGAAGCCTGGTGTTTGTCTCAGTACATCCTACATGCGCACTAAACCAGAATTTTGTGTTTATTTTTTACGTCATTCATAATAGAGTGATTAAAAGCTATTGAAGACAATGAACAACATTTTGGTCAAATAAGAGGATTCTAGAATATTGAACAATATCCTGTAACCACTGTAAGCATGCAAAATATACCGAACATCTCCAGGCAGAACTTAAAATATCACGATCGATATGGCATTAGATAATGACGAATTAATACAAGACGCAATAGTCATCACCTTCACGATACAATGAAGGAAATAAACCATCAGGTGAAATCACTACAGGTCCATTTGGCAATGTCTTCCCATCCTGCAAAAGTCAGAAGGCAATAATTATGATGGATAAATAGAGTGGATGCCATGCAATCTGAGAAAAGATGCAAGGAATAACTGGCGAGCCATGCTAAAATCTATACATGATTCATGATGAACGGATTAAGTAAACTGGAAATGTGAAACAACCACCTCAATTTTTTTCACATAGACCAAGTTCAAGCCATGATATGAATAGCTTAGGTAGTAGAGGTAATAATAATGAACTAAATCACTCTAGAAAATGCAAAGTTTTAAACCAAAATACGCTGTGAAAAAAATTTGAAATACATAAATGATTTACATAAAAAATAGCTCTCAGAATAGTACAGTAATTTTCTCTGTGATTTTTTTTTAAAAAAATTGTTCGCCTGTGACAGAACTAAAAACATTTCCATGATAAAAAGGATGAAATATATCCATACCTGTTTAATATTGAGAAGAAAACTTCTAGTCAGATACGCCTGAACAATGGCACGTGCACTGAGAAACAGCAACTGGTAACCATTTTCCTGGGGTCAGTTTCAAAAAAAGAAAATTATGATTAGTCTGTAATGAACTGTTCTCCACCACCTTGTTACACCAAAAAAGAAGCTACCATATCATTCCAACGCTGTAAAGATCAATGAGAAACAAAGAAGATGAAGCCAGATTCGTAATTTTAGTTAACAATTGTTAAATTATTCGATTGGTTAACTAAAAATTAGCCAGCAATATCCGGAGCATGCCAATTTATCTAGTCATTGAGATTTTTTTCCAAAATAAGACTGTCGAAACGCATTCCTCCACAAGAAGACCAATCTTTTTTGGCCATGCCACAGAGAACAAAAATGATGTGCGTGCTCGAGGAACACAACGATCTACACGAATACTATGTTGAAAAATTGGAGCATCCTTTTTGGCGATGAGTGGAGCAGTATTTGAGTCTTGAAAAATAAGTGTGTAAAGGAGGCATACATCTAATAAACCAGGGGCTATTCCCGTTAATAATATGTAAAGAAAAGAATTATCCCGAAAACAGAGTTAAAAATGCAAATTCCAAACATCACCTCACAATCATTCTCAATCTTGATAATACGTAATTAATTTCAAAATACTATTCAATATACTGGAAGCATATTCCCATAAATATGAATGCGATTTCAATACAACAGTAAAATGAGATAAGTGAGGTTTCGTTTTTTTCAAATGAGAATCCTAACTCAGATTACTCATAAAAAAATATAAGTAGGTTCGAATATCCCGAAAAACTACCAGGAGTGACTTTCCGTATCACTGTATAACTGCTGATTCCTCATACGCTATATATCAGTAATTCAAGGCTCGTGCGTAAATACAGAAAAGGCATTGTGAACCGATTTCCGTAAATATTTTTAGTTTCCATTACAGGTACAGTTTTTTCAACAGATTTGAATGCTAATCATATTCGATTGGTATCTAAATTATTCTTCATCTTTCACATGCTGATTTTGTATCTAGCAATAACAATCCCTACTCATAGCAACCGAAAGAAAATTTTCATTTTATATCCTGCATACTAAAAATACGCATAAGCAATGCAGCCCAAAAAATAACGCACCAGGTGAATAAAATGAAGCAGACAATTGATCAACAGATTGATTAATGCATACGACTGCTCATGATCTGCCGAATTTACAGCTTCTACTGAAGAAAGTCTGCTACTGGACAGACTTTTGAGCTTTGTATTGTGCAAGTAGGAAAATAACTAATACCTTTATGGCAGAGAATAGCCGAGCAACACCAGATTGTGTCCAGTCTCTTCCAACCAAAGGCATGAATTGGCCCAGGACATCAGACCTAGAGAACTTGATAGAGTTAATGCATTGTAACTAGTAAAATTAAATAACATGATCCACTGAGAAAAAAAAATTATACAATGCGTCCACATGCAAAAACAGACACACGGAGAGGAATACAACAACGAAGTTCCTAGTCGTCATAAGGCATATCTCTTTTCAAACAAAAGGGTATCACATTAAAGCCAGGGCTACCATCAAATATGCGTAATGCTAAAATCCCTAAAAGAAAAAATCCCCATATTTGAGACAATGATGCCACCGCAGACAACTTTAAAACTCAGAATGCCCCAAGAGAATATGGTAGGAGGAACAAGGTTAATGGATAACAGGGGGACTTTAACACGAATCAGAAAATAAAATAGGAAGATGAGAAACCAGTTCCATAATGGAGCCTAATGATAAGGGAGAATGGATACGTTCTCCAGCCCAAAATGATCAGTAGATGGTCAATGTAAATGCCAATATGACAGCTCGCATAGTTAGCTCCTAATAAATTTCTATTTTTTAGTCGCAACCTCTTGAGAGCAACTGCCCGATGCAAACTTACAATGCAACCCACAAGAAGTCTCACAAGCTGACCGAAGGAGTAGTGCAGCCCACCTTGTCAAGTCTCATTATGGACAAATAGAAGAGCTATCGTCCATTCATTAGAGAGCGGGAATAGGATCATCTAAACCTCTTGCCCATAAAATAAATTTGCAAGAGGATGTCTACATAGACACGATATGGCAACAACTGGAAGACAGATTTAACAAGCTTGAATTGCTAAACAATCAATGTCTTTTTGGCTATTTGTTGGCCTTTCAGTTATAAAAGTTCACATTGTCATTGATAGTGGCTTACTTGGTTATAGTTCCATCAACATCAGATATAACAATCCGTGCATTCCACTTCCATAAGTATACATGAGCATCAACCTGTTACGCATGAAAAATGAAGCATTACCACGAAGGTGCACATATTATCTGCAGATATACACGAATATATGATACAAACGCAGCAAACCTGCTGTTTTCCGAGAACTCTTGTGGAGAAACTGAAGGCAATAGTATTCTGCCCATCCTTCAACTTCAGTGATTCAATCTGCTTAGTGGTTGGAATATTTGTTCGGATGAAATGCTTACGAGAAGATTCGTTACCATTAATACGAGGTGATCCTATTGAATCAGTGCGTGGGCTCTGCAAAAATGAATCGGAGTCCAAAAATACATCTTCTGATGAAGAGCTAGTATCCGTACGCTGGAGAGTTCTAACCCTTCGAAATGGAATCGGCCATAGTCTCCATCTACGGGAGGAAGATGGGGACATTGTGGGTGTGCCTGGGCTGGGTTCTGATATCCCTTCCTCTTCAACAGAAATACAGTTTTTCACGTCTATTGGTATCTCCAAGCCAAAAGCTGCCTTTCCAAGGACAAGGGGTGCGGCTACATCCCAAGGCAGGTATTTTTCTTTAAACCTCACAATAAGGTTTTTATTCTTGACAATTGACTGTCCAGATGATTCAAACTCTTCCCTTGAAATACGATGGGCTTCAAAGGCTGCATTGGCAGATTTCAGGCCCATGCCAGGACGTAAGAGGTTTCCACAAAGAGATATCTCAAAACCTGGTAATAAAAAGGTAAATGACAGAATGTAAAATGACAGCCTCAAAAACATCAAATATTCTTCTAGGAACAAAAATAAATTTGGCCTTCTTACCCATGCCGAACAAAGTCCCTTGTGTGTCTGGGATTTCTTTGGTGGATGACTGCTCCTGGATGCTTTCCATTGGTTCATAGTTCAGGTCCATATTCAGTTCTAATGACTTCACAGAGACAGAAACAGATCCTGATCTAGATTCTGAATTCTCAATGATCAAGCACTCCTCATGGGACTCAATGTGCATATTTATTGCAACTGATTCATCACCAGAAGGAAAATCAGAACTCGCCTGCGGTGTCGGCGGACAAACCTGATGAACCTTGTGTACCATGTCGGCACAAATGCCATGATTACGCACATGTTCAAGGCTCTCGTCAACAGTGACGCTGCCTTCAACTTCTCCATTATCGGTCCTTACATCTGAGGCCACAGGAAATGAAAACTCCGAACTTTCAGAGAGGTGTTTCGTGTCACTCTCAGTGTGAAAATCATCACTAGTTACCGATTTATTTACCAGTGGAGAAAAAGAAAGAGAACTATGTACAGAATCTTCGAGCTGAGTTCTTCCATTCATGGGCACAGATGATGAATCAGAACCAGGAGAATCACACTTTTTTGTTTCTGATGCTAGATCTGAGAATTCCAGGCAACTCGAAAACACGTCATTTCCATTTCTCCTCAGGCCAGTATTCTCTTCAAGTGAGCTCCTGATGGATTGAGACTCTTGATGATGGTCAGGCAACTGTGCCTCTTTACTCGATTCTACAGATGAATGTCTCAATGCCTTTTTAATATCAGGAGCAGAAGCATTCAAATCACGAAATAGATTTGCTCCCCATTCATCTCCACCAGAAGCAAAACCTTCAGCAGATCCTTCACCAGGTCCTAAATGAAACTGAGGCGTGGTCAACTGCACATTTTCCATGGCCACCTCATTTGAGGAAATTGGTGCAGTAAGAACATGGCCGTCAACACTGAACAACACCATTTCTGAATTCAAGTCTTGCGAAGAATCGACCAGATCCTCTACATCATTTATGCTCTCATAACTATATGTATACTCTGTAGAACTGACGGAGTTTCCATTCAAAGGATCCTCAGCATGGAATTCATATAATTGAGCACTGGTTCTATCTATGATGTTACATCCATCAATTTCTTGGCTGTTCCTATTGTTATCTAGACCACCATCTTGAACAGAATCAGGAACATCAGAACTACTAAAAACTTGCTCTCCGCTCTCTGCATCCTTCTCTACTGATTCTTCCCTTACAAAATAGGCCTCCCCAGAGTTGTCAAGATACATGTGGAAGTTAGCTTCACTTCCATTGACAGATATACGGACAATCTTTTCAGCACCTTTGAGGACACCCTGGAACTTACCAAACCGTACGTACCATGGGGTGCTGCGGTATGTCCCATCCTCTTGTTCAACAACAATTATATCAACAGCACCACCAAATGGGTGGAAAGGTGTTGCAACAGAATAAACACCTTGAGTAATTAAGCTCCCAACTTTACTCACCACATTCATCGTGACTGGCAGCAACACTGCCTCGTTACATGTAACCTTTCCAAGTGGAGCATACGATTGACAAAATTAAAGCAATGTCACCAATTTTATGCCCCACAGGTTCGGAAACAGAAAAATCTTAGTTCATGGGAAAGTTCTTCTTTTTTCTTGCTGGCATGTCTGCAAAAAGGAAAAGCAACGATAAGTAATATGGAAAGGGTCCAAATAACAAGTATAGTTCACTAGGATTCTTAACGGAGATGTCTCTGGAACTTAATCAAGAACAATTCGTCGATTTCAAACTCTTAGGAGATGAGAAAAACGACGACAAAACTTGTGTCACTTTTAATCCAATCTTGAGAATATAGACGTCATTTTACTAACATCTTTCAGAGGATCTACATTCGTGTTGATTTCCAGGGGTTTCCACCTCAATCTTTCCTATTAGGCCTTACCAAAGGACCTTCTTCCAGTTCTGGATTTTGCAGAAGTAAATGACGATCTCTCCAACCAATGACTCTCACCGCGTACGGGTTATTAACCCACCCAGCATTTCTGCAAACTATTGAGGAAGCTTCGACATGGTCGAGGTTAAACGATCCCAGTCGTTACACCCGTAACTTAAGGAATGCGATTGCTTGTGAAAAGTTGTCCAAAACACCCCAGAGGATTGATGACATTTAACCGTATTGGCTAATGATCGAACCAACATGTCAACCCCTCCAAGCAAGCAAGAAAAGAAATACATTTTATTTCCCATTAGACTGGAGCCAGCGCGCAGATCGCTTGCATGCCGAAAAAATCGGCTGAATACCCCGAAGAAACCTTCTGCACAATCAAGGCAAGCAAAGTCCGGCAGAAAAATCAGAAAAAGATTGGAAAATTCTGGTCCCGAGAGGAAAACTTTTTCAGAAGAGGACGTCCCTTGTAACCCCGATCCCTACAGAGACTACGCAAACAAAATTGGTACGCAAACAAAACCTGGTTGCCGAAAGAAGCACCAACCAGTCGACCTCCCCATTTCCCCTCGAATTGAAACCCTAAGACCCGGCAATTGTCGATCGACGAAGAGCAATTGATGCGGAGAAAGAGAACACAGAGCGAGCGAAAGGCGCACTACCTGAAAACTCACAGAGCACCAACACCGGAGAGAGAAAGATGGAGGGAGGGAGGAAGGAAGGAAGGAAGGAGAGAGACGGGACAAAGGCCAGGAGCCGTGACAGCATTTATTTTGAACCTCCTCGGCTCCTGTTTCTCCGACGTTGATGCCAGGGGAGTCTTGGCGGGTGGAGCCGCCGCTATTGGATAGGCCCTACTGACGTGTCCCCCCATCCCCCGCCACCTTTATGCACCAGAAGTCATTCATGGTCCAAGCTTCCTTCGCCGCAGAGAATTACCGACGACCGGCTCAAACCAACCCCTCAACTCGGCAGATTCTCTCCCCCCCCCACCCCCCCCCGAAAGAACTACACAGAAGAGAGAGAGAGAGAGAGATAGAAGGGGGACAAGCTGTTGTTTTCATAATGGGCTTCAAACTGGTAGACGGGATTCTGACAGCACTCAGCCCATTAACACCAACCGACCACAAAGCATTTTCGGCGCGTGGTACTTGCCGTTCCTGTCTTGTCTTATTTAGCGTGACGTGGACGGATACAGTATTGACGCGTGTGCGATCTCGCACAGAAGCGTCACGTGACAATCATCAAATGATTACCGCAAAAGGTATCGATTTGAATGTCGGTGGTCCTTTCTTTTTTTTTCTGTTGCATGCTGATTTTCGTTTTAATTTAATTGATACTAATTTCACCGATTGGAAAAAGAACCATCTGGGTGATAAATTTATCTTTTTTATTTAAATTATTATTATTTTAGGTTAAAGCTTAGGTTTGAATTTTCCGAAAAAAATATGCACAATATAGGAATAAAATCACGGAATATGGGATAATAAATATTTAAATTTATCATGCTTAATATTCCACGCGGAGTGTCAACGCTCCAGCTGGTAAAGAGGTATCATGGACACTATCGACATGATACATTATCCGCTACCTCCCTACATCCTCCTGCCCTGGGCTCCGCCAAAAGCCGGAACTCGCGGGGTCACGATTCTCCGCGAGCCAAGGGAACGTGCAGCGAATCGGTCACAACTGGCGGTTTGGGAATAGAACTCCGAGGCCAGTGGGAGATCCAGGCCATGCCCCTTTGATCTGCAGTGGGAGCAGGCGGAGCTGCTGGCGGCAGATTTGGGCGGGAAGGAAGAGGAGGAGGAGAGAGAAGGCACGGGAGAGGTTCGCCGGCACTGCGGCAGGAGCAGAGGTTCTACCGGTATTTCCGCTTGCTCCACCTTCCCCATCTCCTGGAAGCCCTAGGTTCCGGAAGCAATGGGGGGAAGGACCCTCACCGCAGTCTCTTTGTTTGTGTGTCTCTCTTCTCTCTTCTCTCATTCTGTCGGTGAGATCAAATCAGAGAGAATCGTCGCGGACTCTCGCTCCATGATCGTCTTCGAGAAGTTTGGATTCACTCAACGCGGCCACGTCAACATCATTGTGTCCAATGTCTCCTTCTCGTCTGCCTTGGGTAGGGCAGATCCGAAACTCTTCGGCTTCTTCCTCCTATCTGATGAGAGCTTCATCCAGGCTGTCTATGAATCCCAGCAGCATAATCATAGCCCTAACCCTAATCCCCAGGCCAATAGTGACGACAACAAATGCGTCCTCTTCAGTAGGTTTGTCCAACTTCTTTTCAATTTCGATGAACTCCCGCAGAATTCCCCTTCTTTTTTAAACAAAACTTTTCCCATTACCCAGCCAGATGAGTACAGCCTCATCTTCGCTAGTTGCGTCCCTGAGACGACGGTCTCAATGTATGTCCGCACGGAGATGTACAACGGCCTTCCGGACGGACCCCGTGATTACCTCTCTGCTGGTCAATCAAGCCTTCCCTCCATCTACACTTTTTTTGCTACGGCTTACATTGTCTTCGTCGGGATATGGATCTACATCTGCCTCTTCAAGAACAGGCCCTCCACTCACCACATCCATCTTCTGATGGGCGGACTTCTTATTGTCAAGGCCTTGTTCCTCATCTGCGCAGCGGAGGACCAGCATTATATTAAAGTCACTGGAACCCCACACGGCTGGGACGTCGTTTTCTACATATTCCAGTTCTTGAAGGGTATTCTGCTCTTCACCGTAATCGTTCTGATTGGAACTGGATGGTCATTCCTCAAGCCATTCCTCCAGGAGAGGGAAAAGAAAGTCCTGATGTTCGTGATCCCGCTCCAGGTTATCGCGAATATTGCATCTGTTGTGATAGGAGAGACAGGGCCGTTCAATCAGGAATGGATAACCTGGAATCAGGTTTTCCTCTTGGTTGACATTATCTGTTGTTGTGCCATCATGTTTCCGATCGTTTGGTCGATCAGGACCTTGAGAGAAACTTCCAAGACTGACGGAAAGGCTGCTAGGAACCTTGCCAAGCTTACTCTGTTCCGGCAGTTTTACATTGTGGTTGTTGGGTATCTATATTTTACAAGAATCGTGGTGTTTGCCCTGAAGACTATTGCGTCATACAAGTACCGGTGGGTGAGTGTGGCTGCAGAGGAGGTGGTGACCCTCATGTTCTATGCATTCATGTTTTACATGTTCAGACCAACGGAGAGAAACGAGTACTTTGCTATTGATGACGAGGAAGAAGAGGCAGCTGAAGCGGCCCTTCAGAGAGAAGACTTTGAGCTCTGAGATCAAAGGATGCTCTCTCTATTTCCTATATTGGCATGTTACCGCTGATTCAAGAGTGCTCGCTACGGTGTCTTTTGTTCCTTGTTGGATCATTTGCTGCTGTTAGAACCTACAAACAATGGCCTTGAGATCCAGGTGCTCATTTTGATATTGCAAACGAATCATTGCTGAATCCTCTTCAAGGTATATCTTGTTTCATCAACGACAGTTTCTGGGTCGTCTCTTTGTAGTAAAATCTCTTTGAAACATGTCTCTGCTTGATTTGACGGGAGCTTGACTTCGGAGATGAAGAGATTTCGGATTTTCTCGAATAATGCATCCGACTTCTCATTGAATTCGATGTTCAGTTCTTCGTCTACGCTATCTGAATCAATAACCTTTCATCTGGGATATTCTTCTGGAACTTGTGTATAAACAATGGCATGACGTTATCCTGCGATAGTGGTTCTTATGTTTAATGTGTATTTCTCCAGTGGTCTCGAATGGAAGCGGCTAGAAGGTAAATTCAGACTTTTAAAACGCTAATGACATTCTGAAAGGGTGACATAGGTTTTTACTTGAAAGATATTGAGTTCCAGACATCTCTAGTAGACTGTAGACTGGTAGTAATCCTTCTGGTTTTGGCAGCCAGTTGGAAGGATCAGAGTCCAGGAAGATCATATTCTCCGGTAGCCCACCTTGCATTGACGTGGAGGATGCAGGGATACACATCGTATGATAAACATTAGTGAAATAGAGATGAAAAGTCGAGGGCTGAGAAATGAAAGAGGGAGATTGGGCAATATTTAGGGATTATATGTTTCTCATCTAGAGAGGAGACGAGGTGCCATCTTTGCTGCTTTCTCAATTACATATTCAAAAAAAAAAAAAAATAGAGCAAATAACCAAGGAAGAGTGAGTCATGTGGATTGCTTTTGACGAAAGAAAGTCATACTATTTTGATGGATATCTTTGAAGCTTCGTACTATCCTCTACTATAGCCACAACTTTAGGTGGTGGAAGATGTTTGGTTCAACTCCTGCATTTGATCAGGGACTTGTTATAGATCCTCATTTCTTGAAATCTTTCTTCCAAGAAAATGCCTTTTTTGCTTCATCCGTATTTCCATTAAATTGAGCTTCATGCATTCTTTTTTTAAAAAAAATATCTTTAATTGATCAACATAACTTTCTTATTTATCTTGAAACTGATCTTGGCTCTCATACCAATGAAACTGATCACTGCTACATCTTATCTTATTGTTTATCTTTTTATAGGCACGTTCATTACTTTTATGATGTGATTATGGCAAAAAGGGAAATTCACCACGATTTTTAAATGCAACATTAGTCTCCTCGAGATTTCATGCTTTCACATGAATCAATCTTCTCGCTTGCTGCACCTTTACTCACAACACCTTGTCCGAATGCTACTAAGTCATCTGTGGAACCTTCTTCTTTTGAGTTTTTTTTTTTTTTTTTTTTTTTTTTTGGGTAACACTCATGCAAATAGAAGTCAGACTGTTTGTTTGTCACGGATCCATTGGCCATTACCAGATCTCTTGCTCTCTTGAACCGTTTGTTTAAGATCTTGACCAATTCAATGGGCTTTTGGGCTTGATCCAATGGAAATATGGGGGAGTTGACTTTTGGTCATTATTTTTTACAAGAAGCTCGGAGTCGCCCATCTCCAAATAGCTCAGACCGTAACGTTGACTAGTCTCTGTTTGTTCGGAAGAAATCTCATGTGCCGCGTGTTGCACGTACAGGCTCATCTGATTGACTTTAGCTTAGGAATTTAGGATTCCCTTATTATTTTGTACAAGAAGCTCACGCATGTGTTGCCAGCTACTCCCAGTATGTGTTATTGGAGACTTTAGCCCATGGGTCTGAGAGGGCAGACCTTCCTCCTGTCTGTGGAGTCGCCCATCTCCCGGATAGCTCGGACCATAGCGTTGACCACTCTGTTTTTCGGAAGAAATCCCATGCGCCACGTGTTACATACAGGCCCATCTGATTGGCTTGCGACCTTTCAGGAAGAGGAAAGAATCAGAAACCCTGGGAAAGGGGAAAATCTCTCTCTCTCTCTCTCTCTCTCTCTCTCTCTCTCTAGGAGTTTATTTGGGTCTGACCCAGAGATTTATTTAAAGGTTTTTCTGCCCCAGTTAAGCCCAAATTCCGTCTGGACATAAAATAAAATAAAAATATTTCTTTTTTTTGGCCTAATTGGTAGTTTCCTTTCGTCCTTCCTAGAATAAGACCCATAGAAGAACAATAGGGGACAGACAACTCCGGTCCTCCCCGGAGGTTGACTTTCCTGTGTGTGCCACGTGGACGGACCCGTGGTGTTTCGGTAATCCCCTTGCCTCGATTGAACCATTATAGCTGGTAAATTTAACATGAGAAGCTCGCTCAGCTCTCGCCGGCATTGATCCGGTCGCCGGCGAGAGGGGGGGATATTCCGGCGATCCGACTAGTTTTGCCCGCCGGTCGCCGTTCCGTCTTGGCGCGGCAACCCATCTACCGCTGCCGGTGCAACCAAGTGCTCCGCCTTGAAAGACCAACTTTCGTGGGAGGAGCAGTAGATGGGTAGATTAACGGCAGCTCACCAAACTCCGGTAGGACCCACCGCCGGGCGGCGAATGTGCCTGCTGGAGTTGGCGGCGTTGGCCGCCGCCGTCTCCTCCCCGCTGAAGACCGAGGCCCCCCCTAAAAAAAAAAATCTGCCCCCGTCGTGCTTAAATTAACGGCGCTGTGAACGGAGTTTGGGAGATATATGGAGAGAGAGAGAGAGAGAGAGAGAGAGAGAAAGGTAAGGGAAAGAAGTGATTCATTTATTCTCTCTCTAAGTGTCTTTTTCTTTAACCGTGACGGATACATCCTCTTCAGTCGAGATATATAATAGGGCAGCGGGGTGTTGATGGCGGGGAACCTGAAGAAGCTGTCCTACTACGAGAACACCACCTCGTCCTCTTCCTCTTCCTCCGCCATGGGTCAAGAAAACGGCATCGCCATGGGTAAGAGGGAGCTCTCGCAGTCGTCGTCGCTGGGGCAGCTCTTCAGGCGCATGGAGGAGGCCCGAGAAGAGAATGGAGGAGAACAGACGTGGGACGTGAATCCGTCCGCGAACAGTCACGTTCTTGAGCTCGTCGGAGACTCGGCGGCGCCGGAAAAGCCGCCACCGTTCGTGCTCGCCTTCTCTGAGCTCACCTACAGCATCAAGATCCCCAAGAAGCTGTCCTTCTTGAAGCGGCGGCACCAAAACCAACTCGCCGCCCCCTCACCGGAGTCGGACGCCGGGGGCGAGAACCCCGGAACCAAGACTCTCCTCAACGCCATCTCCGGCGAGGCCAAGGAAGGGGAGATCCTCGCCGTCCTCGGGGCCAGCGGCTCCGGCAAGTCGACGCTGATCGATGCGCTGGCCAACCGGATTGCCAAGGGCAGCCTCAAGGGCACCGTAACCCTAAACGGCCAACTCCTGGAGAGCCGCCTGCTCAAGATCATCTCCGCCTACGTCATGCAGGACGATCTCCTCTTTCCCATGCTCACCGTGGAGGAGACGCTCATGTTCGCCGCCGAGTTCCGGCTACCCCGGACGCTGTCCACGTCGAAGAAGAGGGCCCGAGTGGAGACGCTCATCGACCAGCTGGGCCTGCGCGGCGCCGCCAAGACCATCATCGGCGACGAGGGCCACCGCGGCGTCTCCGGCGGTGAGCGACGGCGGGTCTCCATCGGCATCGACATCGTTCACGACCCCATCCTCCTCTTCCTCGATGAGCCCACCTCGGGGCTCGACTCCACCTCCGCTTTCATGGTGGTGAAGGTGCTCCAGCGCATCGCGCAGAGGGGAAGCGTCGTGATCATGTCTGTGCACCAGCCGAGTTCCCGCATCATCGGCCTCCTCGACCGCCTCATCTTCCTCTCCCGCGGCCACACCGTCTACAGCGGCTCCCCCGGTGGGCTTCCCTCCTTCTTCGCCGAGTTCGGCCGCCCCATCCCGGAGAGCGAGAACCGCTGCGAGTTCGCCCTCGACGTGATCCGCAGTCTCGAGCTATCCGCCCCCGGCGGCGCCGCCAAGCCGCTCGTCGAGTTCAACCGCGCGCGGCAGGCGGGGAAGAACCCGCAAAGAGTCAAACCATCGGCGCCCGGTTGCTCCCTCGAGGACGCCATCAACGCGAGCATCTCCCGGGGGAGGCTCGTCTCCGGCGGCGGCGCCGGCGGCGCCGCCGCCGTGCCAACGTTCGTGAACCCCTTCTGGATCGAGATGTGGGTGCTCGCGAAGCGGTCCTTCACCAACACCGGCCGCATGCCGGAGCTCTTCGCGCTGCGCATGGGCTCCGTCATGGTGACGGGGATCATCCTCGCCACCATTTTCTGGCGGCTCGACGCGTCCCCGAAGGGCATCCAGGAGCGGCTGGGCTTCCTGGCCTTTGCCATGTCATCCACCTTCTACACCTGCGCAGACGCTCTTCCAGTCTTCCTCCAAGAACGCTTCATCTTCATGAGGGAGACGGCCTACAACGCCTATCGCAGGTCTTCCTACGTGCTCTCCAACTCCCTCGTCTCCATACCCTTCCTCATCATCCTCTCCATCGTCTTCGCCGCTATCACCTTCTTCGCCGTGGGCTTAGCGGGCGGCGCCTCGGGGTTCTTCTTCTACTTCCTCATCATCTTGGCCTCCTTCTGGGCCGGGAACTCCTTCGTCACCTTCCTCTCCGGGGTCGTCTCCGACGTGATGATGGGCTTCACCATTGTGGTGGCGATTCTCGCCTACTACCTCCTCTTCAGCGGCTTCTTCATAACCAGGGAGAGGATGCCTTCCTACTGGGTCTGGTTCCACTATCTCTCCATGGTGAAGTACCCCTACGAGGCGGTGCTCCACAACGAGTTCGACGACCCATCGAGGTGCTTCGTCAGGGGACTACAGATGTTCGACAACTCGCCGCTCGGCGAGGTTTCGACAACGATGAAGAAGAGGATGCTCGCTTCCATGAGCAGGGTTCTCATGGTGAACATCACCAGCAAAACCTGTGTCACTACTGGGCCTGACATCCTCCTCCAGCAAGGGGTCACCGATCTCAGCAAGTGGAACTGCCTCTGGGTCACCGTCGCATGGGGGTTCTTCTTCAGAATCCTCTTCTACTTCGCCCTGCTCTTGGGAGGCAAGAACAAGCGGAGGTAGCCCTTCCATCTCCTGCTCCTCCTCCTCCCTATCTTCCTCCAGTGATCGCCCAGAAAGGCTGTTCGTGAATTTTAAAGATATATGTTTTGTCTCTCTGTCGGGGGCGGAAATTAGGGTTGTGGGTCTCTTACATACGCCTTGTTTTGTTCTCTCGTCTCTTATAATTCTTTGAATCGGAACTGTGAAACGAGGCCAGAGCAGAGAGGAGGAAGGTAACAGTTCTTCCTTTCCAGTGTATTCCAATTCATCTTTCCAAAGCCTTGCGACCTCGGTCGGCCATGGCGACGGGGCGGGGATGGGAATGGGCACAGTTAGCTCAACAAACCCCAACGGTCGGCCCGTTTCTGTGTTTGACCGCATGGGCCCGCCTTTCTTCAGCTGGAGTTAGCTCATTTTCCGACAGAACAGACGCATATAACCTCCTCGTTGACTTTGGGGCTTCACACGCCTTCTACGTCGTCACCTCTCTTTCATCTTCCTTCCCCCCCACCCCCCCACCCCTCCAGCCCTTTCCTTCTCCCCCCCCCTCGGCCCTTCACGTCCCCTCCCGATATGTTTGAAAAGGACGGGTAGATAGATAGATAGATAGAGAGAGAGAGAGAGAGAGAGAGAGAGAGAGAGAGAGAGAGAGAGAGGGAGATTGAATCGGTCGCCGATAGGGAAGGCCGGCTGAGGACGGGTGACGTCGCGACAGGTAGTAAGGCGACGGCGGCAGAGTGTTTAGGTAGCGTCGGTGTAACCGCCTTGATCTATGGTCCCTTCCCCATATATGCCGATCCAAGCTGATCCCTTTTCGGGAATTCTTGCCCGATTTCTTCTCCGTATTGGTATATTCTTCTACTCTTTCGTTCTGCCTTCAACAGTTGGTAACCAAATAAGAGGGAGAGTGTAGGAGGGGAGGGAGAGAAAGAGAGAGAGAGAGAGAGAGAGAGAGAGAGAAAGAGAGAGAGGGAGACAGAGAGGGGAGAGGAGAGGGTGGAAGAGAGAGAGGTAAACACAGAGTGAGAGAGAGAGGGGCGACAGGGAGGGAGAAGAGAGAGACACACACAGTGTGAGAGAGAGAGAGGGGCGACAGGGAGGGAGAAGAGAGAGACACAAACACAGTGAGAGAGAGAGAGGGGCGAGAGGGAGGGGAAAGAGAGAGAGGAAGAGAGAGAGAGAGAGAAGAGGGGAGGAGGAGCAGGTGGACGGGGAAGTTGGAGACCTGGAAATCGAGGAAGGACGGGCCACGTGGGCCAAGCCTGGGTTCTTCATGGCACCGGTCAATGGGACAGGGCAACGTGCGTGGGGACTCCCCATGACAAATAAAAATAAAAAACATGTATTTATATACATATATATATATCTTTAAACAAATCACAATTACGAAAAAATAAATGAATTTTTTTGTATATTTATTTTTCTGACTCTGATAATGTTTTACTTTTAAAGAAAGTTAAAGAGATCGATTATCTTATTCGTATTTCTAATATATATATATATTTATTTATTTATTTTGCACTTTTTTTTAAATTAAGATAACTTTGTGAGGAATTCTACGAGAGAAAATCCAATGCAGGTCCTTTTATACACCAATTCTATTCCATTCACTATTATTATTTTTATTTAATACCCATCTCCTCATATTTCCTGAATTATCATATTTATTTCAATTAAAAATGTGTCTTACTTCCTCGATTAATTGAGGACACGCTGTTTTTTATTTTTGGCTTTAAAAGCCCAATAAATAAAACAGGACCTTCGGTATTTATGTATTTCCACTTTTGATCATTCACGTAATATAGAAGGGAAATACACCGTTGACTTTATTAACCGACTGGTTAATGCAAGGGGATATGTTTATATGAAATAATTGTATTTGACCCCAAAATTATTGCATGTATCCACGTGATATTCTACCTAAAAAAAATTACCATCTTTCTAGGCACATCTGCAAAAAAACCCAAATAGTAATTTTCTTAATTTATTTTTTAAAAATAATGCGAATATCGATGATTTCTTCGAAGTCTACATCTCGGGCTGAAAGGGACTGGGCTCGCTACGTTTCCGGCCCATTAACATCGCACGTGACGGCGACCGTTGAATATCCGTTTCGCTCGTTGACGACGCGCCACAAAGACGTGTTGCCCTTAGCTTCTCGAATAGGTTGGCCCAATTAATACATGCCACGTGGAATTTTGGCGGGAAGCCACCTCCGAAGCCGCCATCTGACCCAATTCCCGGAGGTTGCGGGAATGCGGACGGTGAGGATCGACGGAGAAGAGTAGACTGTTGACGGGATCAATGGCGGTGAAGGCGTCGGTGTCGTGGGCACGTGAGTGCGTCGGAAGAACCGCGTCCGAGGAAGGCTGTAAAAAGAGGGAGGGAGCGAGGGAGGGTCACATCCGTTGGGCATCTTGTTCTCCTCAGAAGTTGCTTCGCGTGGGAGGAACGCTGCTTTGTCTTTGCTGGTGAGCCTCTCTCTGATCTCGTCCCGGCGATTGTTCCCTGTCTCGGTTTGGTTCAGGTGACGATATTCTCTCTGATATGTGGATTGTGGAGTTCGCCGATCGTTGCCTCTTCGTTGACCTGTTGGAGGAGTGTCTTCTGATCTGTTATCGCGGGTGGTTTTTAGTTCGTCGTGGCTGCTTGGTTTCCCCTGTAGAAACCCATGGGGGAAGGGTTGGGTGGGCAGGGTGATGGATTTGTAGGACTGTGAGAGGATAGCGTTTCTGTTTTCCTACGGATCTCGAGGAAGATGATCTTCTTCGTCTTATCTCGTTTTGTTGTTTCGACATGTATCGATGGATCATGGAAGGTCGCGGGTCGTATTTGGGACCCTTGACTATCTTGTTTAGATCTGAGGAATGGGCCGCGTTTTGCTGTCGAATTTCTGCAAATGTAGACGTGAATCAAAGTTGGCGAAGGCGCGTCCAGATCGAGGATGGAGGGTTCTCTGTGTTTCCTCGTCCAAGGAGATGCTAGGAAAAAAACTTAAGAAAGGGCAGCTGGATATAGATTTCTGTCTTCGCTATCCAATCCGGGCTTTCTGACATCTTTTGAAACTTTCTGTGATTTGGATCTAGCGGAGATTTTGCTATCGTCGAGTGAGGGAGGGATGGTTGGTTAGTCTGAGGAAGGGTTGATTATGCTATAAGTAGATCATGCACTCGTGGCTGTGGGGATTGAAATGTGGCATCCCATTCTTTTCCCTCTCCTATTTCTTCCATTCTGCTTTCCCAATTTGTGAGAAAACCTCCTCTCTCGTATGAGATCTACGTCCGAATATATACTATGTTGTCAGTCCTAGTCACACAGTTGCTCATATGATTCTAGGGTGACCCTCTTCGCGATCTTGAGATATCTATTTACTCAACTCATTTTACACTTGGGAAAATTAACTTATGTCCATTTAAGATAGCCAGAGGGCAGGTCATTCCACCTAGGAGCCCCCTTTCCCATTTTCAGAACGCCAACACCTGGATGATCTGCATGAAACAAAACCATTGATGCGCGAACATTGGCAGGGGACCTGAAGAAACCCTTCATTTTTTCTCTCGACCCAATCTTTCTTAAAGCTACTCTTTGAATTCGTGTTTGTTAGCAAGTTATCTTTGAGATTCTTTAAGCCCTCAAAACTCAGTTACGGTCTAACCCCAGATCTGATGAACAATGAGAAGTAGACCATGTTCAACTCTATAACTACTACCTGAATCTATGGACAACGCTTTTCATGGTTTTTTTTCCGGTGGATGTTGAAGCATTGTAGAGTCAGTGGTTCGCAGGGCACCTCAGGTTCAGTCCTTTCATCATTTATAAGTTTTTTGGCGGCTGTGATGTGGGACCCACTGTCCGAATCTCAGCTTATAAAATGTTCCTTTCTACATCCTGATTTGACGATGATCTCTTAGTTAATTCAAAATTACCTCCACCCGGTCAACAAACACTTCCACCTGCCTTGAAAAGCTCCGTTTCCATTTGGACCCTCATTTCAAATACCTACTTGTTAAATAAAATTTGTTTCCTGTTGACAACTATTATTATCTTATGTTGTATAAACCCTGCGACATGAATTCCAATACCTCCGCCTTCTCTCCCTCTGTCTGTATTTGTATTATAGCTTGACATTTTCTGAATATTTGCGTGTTATGTTCGCTCTGCCAGGGAGGTAGCATTCTGCTTGTGTGAAGAAAGATGGGGGGAGGCAAGGACAAGGACAAGGGGCATGAGGGGGGAGAGCAGAGCGATAGAGGCCTAGTCTCCAACATAGCTCATGGGCTCGCTGGGTATGCTGGTGGCCACCAGTCGGGATATCCTCCCCAAGGGTACCCCCCACAGCCTGGGGCATATCCCCCCCATCAAGGGTACCCTCCGGCTCATGGTGGGTACCCCCCACAACAGGGCTACCCACCTCAGGGATACCCACCACAGGGTTACCCTCCCCAGGGCTACCCTCCTCAGGGCTACCCTCCTGCAGGCTATCCATCTGCTCCCCATCACGGTACGCTCTCCACCTCTCTGCATAGCTTCTGTTAATTTCGCTTCTATCTTGTCATGAAAGTAGTACCCAAGTTAGTCACCACATCTTATCAACGTTCTACAGACAGCGGCAGTATGAAAAAATTGAGGTAAAACGGCTTGCTAGCTCTGTAAATACAATATAATACACACTCATATATATACAGAGAGAGAGAGAGAGAGAGAGAGAGAGAGAGAAAGAGAGAGAGAGAGAGAGAGAGAGAGAGAGAGAGAGAGAGAGAGAGAGAGAGAGAGAGAGAGAGAGAGAGAGAGAGAGAGAGAGAGAGAGAGAGAGAGAGAGAGAGAGAGAGAGAGAGAGAGAGAGAGAGAGAGGCTTAGGGGTAGTGTTTTGGTGATAATTTGTGAACAACTTGATGCTAGAGAGGGACCTGACGTCGGGCTATTGCCCTTTTTTGCAGGGAGCCATGGACCTGGCGTGGGGACGTTGCTAGCGGGTGGTGCGGCTGCAGCCGCGGCCGGCTACGGCGCGGGCTACCTGAGCCACGGTGGGAGCCACGGGGGCCACGGTGTGGGCCATGTTGGCGGCTACGCTACCCACGGGTATGGCCACCACGGGAAGTTCAAGCAGGGGAAGCACGGTCATGGGGGGTTTGGGAAGCACGGCAAGCATGGGAAGCACGGCCATGGCGGGTTCGGGAAGCACGGCAAGCACGGTAGGAAGTGGAAGTAATGCGAGGTGGGCGGGTCCCCCCCCCGTTTATCTACTGCGATAATAAAGATATGGAGGCGGGTGTGCTTGGATATTCCCCTGTTCTGCTCCTCTGTGCCTTTCCTGAAGCATTGTTATATGCTAAACTAAAGAGAGAACCGAGGCCTATGAAGATGTTGCTGTGTTTCCCTTGACTTTGATAACCTCCTCTCTCTCTCTCTCTCTCTCTCTCTCTCTCTCTAGGTTCTCTCTCTCTCACCCAGTCCGCTTAGAGGAGAGAGAGAGAGAACTTGTTGTTGTTCTATCTAGCCCAAGAACTTGTTGGCCAACTTTCTCTCAAGGGTTCCAAAGCGAATGCACTTTTATTAACTAGGGAGAAGATGGAACTGGTGTAGTTCTATTTATACAGTTGGCTAAGGCGATTGGATGGAGAGGAGAGAGAAAGAGAAAGAGAAAGAGAAAGAGAAAGAGAGAGAGAGAGAGAGTTCCGGTGCTCAAGCAAAACTGGGTTCCTCTCAAAGGTCCATAAAACCTTTTGTCAACGGAATTGGATTAGCTGATTAGATGATCCATGACAAAACCCTAATTAGGGCAGAAGAGGAAATCAGACTCCAAGACTAATTTCAGGTGGGGATCCAGGATTCTCTCCCAAAATCAGATGGACCCAGCAAGAAACGATCATCAAATCCACTAAACCCTGCAGCTCTGGTTCAAATCACTTGCTGAGCACAAAGCACCGGCTAAGCTCTCTCATGTGTATGGCCGCAGTGGAGCTGGAAGCCAGATGCTTCTCCAAACACCACCATTTTTATCAGAAATTCTGTACAGAAGAGGGAAAAGAAGCGGAAGTATACCGTCGATTATATGGCCTCCAGACCAAGTTCATCTTCGATGTCATCACCTTCCTCGAAGAGCCTCAGGAACCGCGCCTGGTCTTGCTGCCTCTTTCTCCTCAGCCAGCATCTGTAGCCAGCCACCGCCGCAGCAATAACCACGGCGGAGACCAGAGCACTGATAATTATCACCAGCTCCACGCTTATTCTGTGACCTGTGGCGGGTCCGCTTTCTGAGGGAGAGCTGGGAGGGCCTGCACACATGGACATGTATTTCTGGTCATAAATCATGGTGAACAATGATGCCTGATTATCTGCGGAAGCATGAGCCCAGGGCAGATTCTTTCAAGCTCATAACATGAAAAGATATATATTTCTTCCTAGCCCACGACACCATCTCTCTCTCTCTCTCTAGGCTGAGGCTGGTTCTAGCAGAGGTTGAGCCTAGCGTGGCCCTTTGACAGCCCCAAAATATTTAATGCTTTTTTGAAAAAAAAAATGCGGTAAATCAGGAAAGTAGATGCCCAGAAATGTGGTACGAACCATCCTTAACTGGCCCACAGTCGGGGCATAAGAAGGTGGCGTTGAACTCCTTTCCCTTGAAATGGATATACTTTCCGTTGACAAAGTCGCTGGAACAAAGTTCCCATTCATCAAACACATCACGAGGCTTTATCATGTCCTTCTCATATAAACCGCACCTCTTGCATTTCTTATCTGGAAGCTCTGTCAGAGGCTGCGGAAAAAAAAAATATGGAAGCTCATTGCCGAGACTAATTTCAGTCGAATCTTTGTAAACTACAGATTACAGATGAAGGAATACATAAAAGCTATGTCGATTATTGATTTCAAAATGAATTCTCAAAGGACGTCGTTATTGACAGGTGAGTTTCCGAATTGAAATCTTTATAATTTTGTTCCGATTTCCCTGATGAGGGAAATAAGCAAATTTTTTGCAATAATAATAAAAACTGATAAGCAAATGCAAAACATATATTTTTGTAGGAAACTTCTCGGACCTCATATGTACCATGGCTGCCAAACAATTACAGTCGATGTTCCTCTGTTCACCAAGTTGGGTGGAAAATGTGGGGCAAGATAGAAATACTTTTATGAATTTTTAAAAAACTCAGTATATGTATACATATATATATATATATATATATATATATATATATATATATATCATTTAGCATTCTTCTAGCTGAGGATGAAATACCTTCATTTTTAGAAACCAGGAGGTCGACTACCATCCCATTTGAACAAATTGGGGAATCAAACAAAAAGAATTGGCCATGTCTCGTTCACAAATGAAGCATAGTAAAGAGTTAATTATCAATGGCCTGATGACCAGAGGTCTGACAGGTAGAACAAAGCTGTTTATACGCCCACATAGGATCCACAAAAATTTAAGGCTCATTAGACTGGTTCTAGAAGATATGTGTTCGTCCAATTTACTCTTTAGCTCAAAGGAGCATGAGTGTTGTGTATACCCTGAAACCAATTTTTTTTTTCTTTCCCAAAGAAATTTGACTGGTTGTTCTCAGGTTGCAGAAGCAATAGGCTTAAGCAAACAATAATGTGTTTTTTTTTCTTCTCAGTCAACTGGAAAATGGAATCTTTGGGAGGCTCTCTTCTATCCAAAGTTGTTCGACTCTACAAACAAAATTCAGCTAGAGTAGAATGATGATCATAATATCACACAATATACAGTCCCAGAAACACTAATTCAGGTGTAGGCTTTCTTGGAAAGAAGCTCTCACTTAAAAAGCCAGGGGAATTAGATGAACTTCCGATTGAGTGAAAGATGACTCTAGCAAACCTGTCCATAAGTAGACGTAGTTAAGTTGTTAGGGATCAAATATATCCCAATAACTGTTAGCCTCTCAAAAATTAAAATGACATGATGCGCTTCCACTCAACCAGTCAGTAAAAGATATTCATTATGACAGCTTGCAAAGATGGTTTTGTCTCTTCATTATTTAGATAGGATTATTTAGAGAGATGACAGCACTTATGATCTTAATACGCCATATTTATCCAAAGAGAAAGAAATGGACAAGTTCGAGGCATTTTTTAACAAATGGTAAATCCACGGGTACCACATTGACCGGTCATCACAGCATGTAAATTCACTACTTTGAAACAGAACCAGAACAAAGGACGACTCGTGTCCTTCTTTTGAAAGTAACTAGACCCGAGCATTCATACACCGTAAAATAGCTGAAACACAATTGAAGTGCGATACTTGATTCACTTATTACAAACCTGCCAAGATTCTTCACCCTTGAAGGAATATAACAAGTTTGCTTTCGTTACATCAGGCAAAACTATGATTTTCTCTCCCTGACATTGGAAAATAACTTCTGGTTTTGTGGGTAGCCACTCATGAGTAGTAAAAATCTGGATTGATTCCAGGGTAACAATCTTAGACGAGAAACCTCCTGCACAAGAATTAAATGCTTATCTTTAGCATGACGGAAAAAATGCAAACCAAAGAAGGTAGTAGGAGCTCTCTTCTTCTATAGGGTTTATTTAGAGTGCAACCTATCATGACAACATATGAAATTTCAAGGAAAAATAAGATAGAAATCCTACGCATCACTTATCCAGCCATTTCTTTTAAATTTATGAGACGACAGACCGAAAAACAGAGCACATCCTGGGAAATCGATGCCATAGATAGACATCTGGTTATCGTAGTCTCCATCATAATCTGATCCTGAACATCCTAATTGAGCAATAAAATGTCTTTTCTTATGGTAGGTAAAATCATATTACACAATCTTTTATACAGTGCTTGCCAAGATTACCAAAACTAGACAAGCGAGAGGAAGGACAGGGTAAAAAGCGGAATGACTGGCCACACAACACTAAAAGAGTGAAGCTCTTGAACAATGGAACCACAATAGCTAAGAAATTATAGTTTGATAGTAAACAGTCTGAAACGATGACATATGCAATAGCATATGAATCCACCAATGTCAAGGTCAGCAAATATTTATCAATTCCAAAGCTTCTATCATTTAGAAAAAAAAAAAAGAACATCTCCAGTTTTAGGTTGTATCAATACCACATAATATTATAATAAAATTCCAGGCATAAGTACGATCATTGTTGTCCCACAGTCCCAAGTATCCATTTCTCAGAAGTAATCCAAATGTGCAACATAAAACTCAGTAGACTAGAAGCTTGATTGTCAGAAGGTAAAGACAAGAAGCATCAATTGTCTGAACAGTCCTTGTTTCCATTACCATGCTACACAACCAAAAATGGTCGCTTGATTACTAACGGAAAATTTTCACAGACTAGAAGGGAGGAATCATTTATGTTGGTGGTTGTCATTAGATAAAACAGCATGCAAAACTTCAAACGCGAAATGAATGATGCAGCTGACATCGACCCGGTGGTATTTATATGGATCCCATAATTTATTCGTCCTGATGAGGTGAAACGCAGCTAACTGATTCCCTGTGAATAAAAATTGTTCCGTTGTAAAAATCTCAGACATTTTCGTAGCAAATGTCTGGATTACACAAACATTGGACCCTATGTCTCGTTGATCTTATTCAGGTTCCTGAAGAATCAAGAAACCCTACAGAAAATTTTACATTATGACCGTTCCTAGACTATACAGGAGTGAAGAGGATCGCATAATACAATCAGGTGGAAGGGGTTTAGAAAGAACAAGGGAATGATGGAGAGGTGATACTCGAATAACAAGACAAGGCCGGCCCTACGGGAGATGAAGTGATTTTGTATCGGATATCCCTCGTCGCTGGAATTGAACAATAAATTGACGGGGGAGACCAAATACGTTAGCTAACCAACGCCGATGGTGAACCTCAAGGGCACATCACAAAAGTCACTTCGCAACGCTTTTCTGTATTTTGTCGTTTAGGGCTTGGCGGACATCTTCTACCGCAATAATCTTCAAAACCTAGTCTACCGCTAAAAATTCATCAATAAATTAAATTATTATCACTCTGACGGCGAGGGCGTCATCTATATCCCATCCTTCGCCCAAGGCAGATTAACCAAAAACAGAGGATCGGGAGTTACAGGAGCTGCTTACCTCCAATCAAAGAGGACAGGAAGAGGAGGCCGTAGATTCGAACGGCGGGAGGACGAGTTTTCGCCCTGTTCATGGCGTGCAACAGTCAGAGATTCCGGATTCTCCAGAACATAGAGAGAGCCCGGTAGGATTGAACCAGAGAAGGAGAAACAGGGATAATCCCAGGTAGGGTTCGATCGTCGCGAAAACCTCCTCCTATTCTCAAAGCATCCGCGAGGGAACACCAGTCGCGCCAGCCTGAAAGCCATCTCGGCCTCCCACCGGCGATCTACAACCCTACGATTGCAATCGGATGGCAGAGAGATAGCTTCTCCGACCGCGCCGTTGACCGAGTCATAGCGTAGACCAAAAGGTTGGAAGTCCCGCCACGATCGAACCCGGGGAACGAGTTACATCGTAATTAGTAGAAAAGCACCTTTAAGAAAACCCATTCTTTTGTTGAGTTTCGGGATACGCCTCTGGCATCTTCGTGTAATTAGAGTTATACCCCCGCTGTGGTGACGAATATTTATTTCGACAGTTTACAAGCATAACGGTCATTAACCCCCCCGGCCGTTTATCGGACTTTTCCACAATCTAGTAAAAACGTAGGCTTTCTCGAATTCAGAAATTCTTATGGGGACTAAAATTAAAAAAAATGCGAAAATGAATTACTCTGAAGAAATTTGGGACGTGGTCTTCTGTTGTCATAGTATAAATAAATAAAAAGGTCAAAACGCATTGGGGGCTAAGTGGGCGGAAAATCACGTGAGATTGGCCCATGCAGGTCTCGAACCTGCGACCTTCGCGTTATTAGCACGACGCTCTAACCAACTGAGCTAATAGGCCAATGTGATAAATAATTCCTTATATAAAATGAAAACCCATCAACATGGCATTTCTTTACATCAGAAATTCTCCTTGTGGAAGTGAAAACGGCTGGTCGTACTGTGGCTGAACTCCTGGGCGAGCACCCTCAGTTGGTTCGTGAGCGTCGGAGGGCCACAGTAGAAGACTCCTGCGAGTGTAATCCCCCCTGCTGCGGTTAGAATAGGAAGAAGGTGATGGCGGGGCGCGGAGAGTTCTCAGATGCATACCGATCCGCGAGGATCTGTGGCTGTTGGCCAGCTCCGAGAAGACCCTCCTCCAGTTTGGCCTCGCAAAGTGCGTCCGTATCTGCCGAGAATTGGAGCGGTAATTAATGGACACGATGTTTATCGATCTACTGAGAGTCACAAATGATTGTAAGAAGTCAACGGGGTAGCGAGAATCACGAACAATGATCCATGTGGACCGGACAGAATCGAAACTTGAATAAAAAAGCTCCTTTTTTTGTTCTGTTTATGAGAGGGGGAAGATGATTGTAAGAAGTCAACTGGGTACTAAGAATTACGAATGATGATCCACGCGGGCCGTACTGAATCGAAACTCGAATAAACAAGCTCTTTATTTTTGTTTTGTTTATAAGAGGGGGAGGATGATTATAAGAAGTCAACGGGGGAGTAAGAATCACGAGCAATAATCCATGCGGACCGGATGAGTCCAAACATGAATAAAAAAACTATTTTTTTGTTCTATTGATAATCGAGTCAACTCACCCGGCTTCCGGAGACGACGTCAACTCCATCCTTGGCGTGCTGGAGAGACTGGATCATTGCGATGAGCGCCGACCTCGCATCGCCCTCCTCGTATACGCTGGTCAAGTAGTTGTGCATTTCGATGATATTCTGAGGCAGCCGGGGAGTTTTCCTCCTGGGTCAGTTCTCCCGCCGGCCACAAGGAAAGGAAAGGTAATGGAAGGCGAGGTCTTCTTGGGGAGAAGGGAAATTACATTGTTGTCGCACTCTGCAACATCGTTCATGACGCCTTTGAACCATTCGAAGGAGCCTTGATCCCTCGTGACCCAGTAGAAGTAAGCTCTTGCCGGGTATTTCCCTCTGATCCTGCACATGTCTGTCGCGTTCTTGCCCTCTGCTTCCTGCATCTGGATCGTTGGACTTGTTACAAATTCATGGGCAGTGCACATTTTTAAAATAAAAGATAAAAATAATAATAAAAAATGTTAGGATGGCTCACCAGTATGGGTTCGTTTGATTTGATGTTGTTCAGGAGATCATTTAGAATGCTGATGAAGGGAGTTGCGCCGATTCCGAGACCAATGAGCAGAAGAATGTCGTATTTCTTGTAATTTTGAGCTGGGGCGCCGTATGGTCCGTCGATTAGAAGCCTGGGGAACCTGCAGAACAGGAGAACGAGATGAAGAAGAAGAAGAAGAAGAAGAAGAAGAAGAAGAAGAGAGCTGTCTGTGGTTACCTGGTCTCTTGGAATTCTCCATCAGCGATCACCGTGGTGTCAAGCCTGGACAAGCTAGTCTTCTTGGAGGTGAACTGAGCCTCGCAGACCTGCGCCAGGGAAATCCCGCCCTCTTAATTTTGGGGTTTGGGGCCGAATCGAGTCGAGAAATGGAAGCTTTTTTGACCTTCCCGAACAGATTTCTCAGCCCTGTCGTCCAGTCTCCAAGCGCACGAATATGAATGCTCAGGTTGACATCTCCGGGTGCAGAGGTGATGGAGAAGGGATGCCTGGGCAGATCAGACTCGAAAATCAGTAAGGAGAAGCTGCTAATTCATGGTGATTCTCTGGCATTATCCACATTATATAACTATATAAATATATATATATATATATATATATATATATATATATTTACCACTCATATGGGGACACATCAGGGCACTTGACGAACAGATACATCCCACTCTTGTATCTGAACCCAGGTGGCTTCTTCATGTGTAGCGAAAGGGCATTTCCTGGATATATAGCAGCCTGCATTTTTCAATTTTTTCAAAGCAGATATCAGTGGAAGTGAGATTTTTGCTATTTTTGAGCATCAGATTACAGACCACCTTCTTGATGGTTCTGTCATACGGATGATTTATAAAAATATTAATTATATGGTTTCTACATTTTTAAAGCTAAATATGCAATAATTTATATAAAAAAATAAAAATTCAAGTCACCACAGACCTTAACAATGGTCACATGGTACTGCTTTTCTCGAAAAGCTCTGACAAGTCGCTCACCAGCGTAGGCAATCACCGGAATCAGAAGATACATCCATGTCTGTGAGAGAAGCTTCCCGGTGAACCTCAGTTACTAGCGGCCGATATTGCCCAAAAGATTACTATTTTCAGAATTTAAACACCCATCTTACCGTCTTCTGGTACCATACCCTGGTGAGGAAGATGAAGTATGAATGGACGAGCAGGAGAGCATAGACGAGAGCCAGCAGGTGGTGGGCGTACCAGAAGGCATTGAAGCCAGCCAGGTAATGGAGTGGGGATGGAAGCTTGACTACATTCCTCCTGAAAGAGTGTGTGGCCAATGTGAAGGAAAACGACATTAAGATGATCATAATGATGCCAGTTATCCCAGTAGCACTTGATAGAAGAGCCAAGTATGTCGGTTGCTTGTAGCTGAAACTAGCTCCGAGAGCTCTCATGAACACCGGGGATTGTGTAAGCCTGGGGAAATCGCATGCCATGTGAACCACGGTGTGAGTGAAGGTTCCAGCAGTGATCCCCAGGGCAATGATCTGCAGAAGAAAAGCAGGTTTAATAAAAGCATTTTAAAAAATTGATTCTGCATTTATTTTGAATGAAAATCATAAAAATATTTCATTAACTAATAATTACATCAGAAACAGAACCCCTTGGATTCTCACTTTACAAAGACGATAGATTTATATTTTGAAACCAGTAATAAAAACCAGTGATACTACCAAACACATGAAGCAATAAAAACTTTATACAAATGATGATGAACAAGGCCGCCGCCGTACCTTGTGGAAGTTAATGCTGTCGTCAAATGGGATGAATGAACTGAGAACTGTTGATCTGAGCTTGGTTATGGTGTTTCGGCAGACAGGAAGCAGGATTAGTGCCATATTCAGTTTCAAAGTCTCTGCTGCTCCCTTGGCTACACAGACGCAATGTCCCATCACTTGGAAGGCTGATTTCTTCTTGTACTGGTAAAATTTCCACAGAAACAGGACCGCGTTCAATACCAACCACGCCGTGGTAATCCATAGCCTCTTCCAATTCTCGTGAAGGAAATCCGAGGCCTCGTTGAGGCATCTCTTTATGGGGTTCCTGTGTCGCCGTGGTATCGCCTTTCTAGCCAAACTCTGGCTGTTGTTCTTCGTGAAGCTCTCATGGGGTTCGGAGCTCAGCATTCCTCGAAGTAAGGTTTCGAGTTGCCAAATCTGTTGATACCGAAAAATCAATCTCCAAGATTGTAAGAAAAACTTCGCTGATGGATCAAAGGGAACTGCATCTGTATCGTGTTTCCTCTCTGCAGACCTCGATGTAACCAAGATTGTCGGGGTCAAGTTCTTCCATGATTAGAGAGGCATGATCTGCTGCGCGTGGTTTTATCTTGGCGAGCTTATTCGCCGACGCGCTCAATATGATCACCTATAGACGAATTACCAAGTTATATAATTTTTTCTTTCCTTCAATTCTTCAGGAACCGAGCTCATTCATGGATTGGAACGGGGGAGAATCTCGGTACCTCTTTCACCTCAGCTTCTGTCAACTTCCCATCGCCATTCTCGTCGCACCTGAGACATTCCAGCCGCTGCTACACTGTCAGGATATTCCAGAGAGAGAGAGGGGGGGGGGAGAGAGAGAGAGAGAGAGAGAGAGAGAGAGAGAGAGAGAGAGAGAGAGAGAGTTACATGTCGAAGAAGATTCGCAGGCGAGAATCGAAGCTCTGATCTGCCATTCTCTCCCAGAAGGCTTTCAATTCGTCCTTCGTGACACCGACATCCGACGTTATGCTCCGGTTCCTCGCCAACGCATCGAAGAGCTTGCTGGCGAACTCCGTAGAGTCCGCCATTCCTTTTTGAATCATCATTCGCGAGTCACAGAAAGACAAGTTCAGCGAGATCCGATCCTCTTTTCTGATGAAATCATCTCGCGCCGATCGGAGCGAGCGAACTCACCGATGCAGCGTCCGAAGTCCTCCCTTGCGAGTCTCCCGTCGGCGGCCAACTGGAGGAACCTCCTCTCCACATCCTTCCAACCTTCCTTCCCCCTGCAGGCCTTCTCGTCGAGGAACCGCAGGCCCCGTAGGCCCGATTCCGCGCCTGATATCTCTCCCCTCGCCTGGAGAGTCCTCCTCCCCTCCACCACCCTGCTCGTGATCGTCGTCAACCTCCTCAACCCGCTCGCGACCCTCGACGGCTTTCCCGCGCCGCCGCCGCCGCCGCCGGGCCGCAGCACCCGAGCATCCTGCAACAGGGAGTCCCCATCTCTCCCCCTACCATCGAGATTCCCCCATGAGAGGCTCTCGAGGGGTACATCCACGAACTCCTCCCCCAGGTCCCTCATCGTCGAAGCTCTGAGGAGGTTCCCCCTCGTAGATCCCCCACTCAGAGAGCCAGGGATGGGCGGAGGTCCTGAAATATAGCCGTTACGGCAAGCAGTTTACGCGCCAACGCGGACAACCAAATATAGCAGACAGAGCTGGCAAGATCACATCAATCACATCGCGACCGTCCATTGTTGAGATCATCACCACAGGTTCCTCTTCTTCTCAGTTGACCGATTATTTTCTTGACTAGGCAGCTTACGAGAGGTCTGAGGGATCTGGGTATAAGTTCCAATTTTTCCTCGACTTATGTGGGAAAATCCGACCTCCCACGGGGTAGAATCTATCAAACTGGTTGTCCCGCGGGACACCAAACCTCGAACCTATTCAGAGGAATCCTTCTACCTTTAGGGGGAGTCGCCCCCCCCGCCAGACCGAGGTCTTACTTCTATGGGAGCATCTCGAACGCTCCACCTCTCACCACAGATCGTGCTCGCCGGAGCTTCCCGCCTCCTCCGCTGCCTGCCCCGCGGTGTCGCCGTCAAGTGCTCCATGGCGGCGAATACGGTGAAGGTGGCCGCCGCGCAAATGAGCTCCACTAATGACCTGATGACCAATTTCGAGACCTGCTCCCGTCTGACCAAGGTAAAAATTCGGTCAAGCCTGCTGACTCCGCGTAACGGAGAATTGGTAGGAGCTCCGCTGTAACTACTCGAAGAGTCTTTCAGGCGGATATCTGTATTTGGATTTTCATCCACCAGTTTGATCCTATGATAGCTCAATGCTGCTCGTGTCAACAGAGGACCTAAGTCTTGGACGACCGCATTGCAGATTGGAGCTTTTAGTTCCGCCCTACCTAGTTCATTCTACCATGACCGCTTAACGTGCATTCGTTTTGTGACAAATATTTCTGCGAAATGTTGGATGATTGCTATCCCCAAATGATCACTCGGTGAATTTCCTCTAGCTTGTTGCATCGTTTCAGTTAAACAGTCATTTATTTAAACAAAACAACCCGAAAGAAGCTGTGCTTCAAGTTTTCATGCCATTATCTCCCCGGTGATCCTGTATCCAATGATAACACTTGAATTGTGGTCTTTAGGAGGCAGCAGCTGCTGGAGTGAAATTGATATGTTTTCCTGAAAACTTCTCCTTTATTGGAGCCAAAGAGGGGGAATCTCTCAAGATAGCTGAAAGTTTAGATGGCCCTATCATGCAAAGATATTGCTCACTAGCAAGGTAAAGGACTATGCAGTCCTACACTTGCTGGCCTGATACTTTATTTTCTGTCCAATACCCTTGAGCTCAGATTTGGCCGTTACAGCTTGACCCTTGCTTTCAGTGGATTCTAGGCTTTCTGCGGGGAATCTTTCCTTCCATCTGTAACATGGGATATAAACAACTATTTCTCATAAACGGTCTCTGATCTCCTTGTAATTTTCTTTTCTCAACTCCCTCTCTGTATACATCTACATATATCAACGTCCATATATATACATTTCTGTCTCTCTGCACACAGAAAAAGAATTGGCTGCATCTTTTGCAAAAATAACTTGGGCCAGAGTCGAGTAAAAGGGTAGATAGATTTTTTGTTTTCTAGTTCTTGTATGCCAAAATGTTAATCCACGTTTAGGCGTTCTGTTGCTGTTGGGGGCTTTAGTCAATCTGTTTTCCAGTTTTTCCTGCTCTTTGTTTTTCAATCCCTGTCTGCCAGGGAACATTTATATTTCGTAGTAATGTAACAGAGGTCGGTTTCTCTTAATGGTTTTCGTGTGAAAAAAAGTTAAGCCTTGTTACCCCCACTAATTGTTCTTCGCTTATGTCTTGCAGAGATGCAAAAACTTGGTTGTCTCTTGGAGGTTTCCAGGAAAAAAGCCTCGATGACGGTCATATATGTAACACCCATGTTCTTATTGATGACTCCGGGAACATCAGAAACAAGTATCAGAAGATACACTTGTAAGAAGGATTCTTACCTAATGTTTTTGACTTTGACATTCATTCATGTGAATTTCCTACTAGATTTCTTGTTCATGGTTCTCTCAAAGTTTGTCATACTGTAGCAGGATATAAACTAAGGCCTTGTAAGAAAAGTATCAGAAGCTATGCAAGAGTATCTGGGAATGTTACTGATGTATGTGGGGTTAATAAAGTGTATGTGACCTGTGAATGTATGGGGTCACCACCCTGTTTTGTCTTATGAAAAAGTGGTCTCAACTGTTTTTTTTATGATGCATCCTTTTCAACAAAAAATGTAGACAATCAAGAAGAAACTGTGCTAGTGAGCAATTGGCACGTATTGCTGACAAATTCAAATGAATTCATCTTGGGGCCAAGTACTATATCACTTTTTTCCATTGACATTGTTGAATGTAAATTATTTATTCTTCAAAATTAAATTAGTTGCATCTAGTGACCAAATCTTATTTGAAGATGTATTTTTGAGACACTCAGTAAAAGAACCTGAAATGTGCATCTCCAGCTATGTCTTCATACTTGTGAGAAATCCTCCCATTAATATTTGAAGCTATGTGAGGTGTATTTTTCTCCACATATACATTAGAAATGGGAGGATTTGATAAAACTGATGGCTTTGATGACCTGAAATCTTGATTTTTCCTTTATTCAGTGTACATTCGTTACCACCAAAAGACATGTATCCCTAAAAATATTTTTTGACATTTTAATCTCTTCATTTTCAGGTTTGATGTTGATGTCCCTGGAAACATGGTGTACAAGGAAGGCAGTTTTACCACACCAGGTGTGCCCCGACACATTTTTCTTTTTACATTTTCTTTTAGAGTGATTTGTACCATTTTCTTTCTTATTAATGGGTCTGTATTCTATTATTTTATTGACTGGATTTGTTGAAGTTAGATGAAAACCAAAACTCACAAAAAATCATGAGTGAGTTTTCAATTGAACGTATTAATTGTGTAGAAGGCAGTGGAGGTGAAATTATTTAAAGCATACGAGTCAATTGTTTAGAGATTCTCCCAGGTCTTATAGAATTGGCCAATTTGTGGGATTTTTTTTCAGACTATAAATTTTACTGGGAAAGTACCCTGCCAAAATAAGTTTTGGGATAATGCCACATATGCCGCATTTTGATCTTGAATGGCATATCATCAGGCTGCCAATCTGGTGGTCCACTGAGTTCTGGGGGTGTAGCTAAAGTCACCCTTGAGAGGAGAGTCCATTTTAATTGCCCTCAAAAGCCACCTTTCTCAAGTATGGCTAGCTCATCAGTGCACCATTTTAGCTTCGTAGTTTCCCTTGAGAAGGCCGAATGGCAACCGCCCTAGGACCTAGCCACCATCCACAGGGCATCTATTTTCTGACAGATGCCCCCGTTACTCATTGGGCCTTTCTTCTATGAAAATCGCCTCTGACACGAGCAACCTCCTTTCTTTTGTTAATGATGTTGAGATTGCATAGGTTGAGCAGTCTCTAACAGATACGTACTTTCCTCTAACCACGTTATTTTTTGGAAAGTATGAATACCTGAGGATTCATGAGTGATGCTTTCATCCTAAAAAACGCATTCAAGGTAACTGAATAGAATGTCTTTAAGGACTGATGCTAGGAGTTGTCGTGGCTCACAAAACCATTTTCTATATAATGTCTTTAATCAATGCTTCCAAGAATCTAAAGAGCTTTTGATTATCAGGAAGTGATATCATTGTGGAAGACAGTCCTGCTGGGCGTTTAGGTCTCACAGTATGCTATGATTTAAGATTTCCGGAGATTTATCAGGAGCTGCGATTTCAGCACCAAGCACAGGCATAGCTCTCTAGTTTTTATTTATTAGTTTTGTTTGTTGGTAATCTTAGTTCATGAAAGGGACATCGTTATTAACACCTGTGTTTCGTGAAAAAGGTCTTGCTGGTACCGTCAGCTTTTACAAAGGTAACTGGTGAGGCACACTGGGAGATCCTTCTCCGGGCTCGAGCAATCGAGACACAATGCTATGTAGGTCCATCTATTTGTGGCATTTTGTGCTTCTCTTCGTATAGACACTCTGCAAAATCTAGAATATTGCCATTTTTTTTTATCAATATCCGTCCCTATTGTCGACTGTTAATTATGTTGATCGATGCAAGATAATTGTAAAAAGGCTATGTGAATTGCTGAGATCGGACCTTTCTCTCTCTCTCTCTCTCTCTCTCTCTCTCTCTCTCTCTCTCTCTCTCTCTCTCTCTCTCTCTCTCTCTCTCTCTCTCTCTCTCTCTCTGTCTCCCACTCTCTCTTCCCCTCTCACTCTCTGTCTTCCTCTCTCTCTTCCCCTCTCACTCTCTGTCTTCCTCTCTCTATTCCCCTCTCACTCTCTGTCTTCCTCTCTCTTTCTCTCACTCTGTCTTCCTCTCTCTCTCTCCCTCTCTCTATCAATATCCATCCCTTTTACTTTTTTTGGATATCAGAAGAGGGAGCCATGATTATTAAGAGTGGGTCTTCCCGATTCCAGTAGTTGTGAAATGAACCAGAGCTCTAGATGGTATGTGGTGTTATAGAGTCTTAGATGCTGATCTCAGTATGCCTCTTGATTTCATCTTCTCTCCTATCTGACGGATTTATGTGAGCTATAGAGTATGTATATAAATCATCTGATGTTCTCATAAGGTCAACTATTTACAGAAATCATCTGCTATTTATTATCACTTCTATTCAAAAGATTTGATCTGGCCAATCTATAAGTAAATGTCTCTTTTAATGGTGTCAGGTCATCGCTGCTGCCCAAACTGGAAAGCACAGTGAGAATAGGGAAAGCTATGGAGACTCTCTGATCATCGATCCATGGGGAAGGATCATCGCTCGGCTACCAGGTGTACATTTTTAGAATAAATGATAGCATTCAAAGCATATCATTAAAACCACACTTATTCCAATGTTTTAATACCACATATCATTTTTTCTCTCGTTATAATTACCTAAAAAAGAAAGTATTCGCTGGTCAATTTCCTATCTTGTCATTGAAAGGCTGATCAATAATCATCATGCATTGCCACAATTCATTGGCTGAGCCAGAGATTAAGGACACTACCTGTTACCGTCAGTTGACTCTCCTCATACTTCGTCCGCCATTTCAGACCGGCTCTCCACGGGAATCGCTGTCGCCGACATTGACTTGTCTCTGATCGAATCTGTCCGCGCCAGGATGCCCATTTCTGAGGCTCTCTCTCTCTCTCTCTCTCTCTCTCTCTCTCTCTCTATCCACTGCCATTTTTACCATGCCACGCGTTGACCTTGTTCTTATTCGAGCACTGTATTGCAGCATAGAAGACCAGACATTTACCGGCGTTCTGCCTGACAGTCTGGGTTTCCGATTAATCGGGAGGCTGATTTGGTAAGTTTTGGATGATATCAGGGAGATGACGCGGTCAAAATGCCCTTCGGATATCAATCTTCTGAAAAATCCTAATTTTATTAGGTTTGCAGGGGAGAAACAATCGAACCCGTTCAGAGTCCATAAACAGCATCAGCGAGAAGATCCACAACCATTCTCATGAAATGGGAACGTATTCCCTCGCCTCGAGGCCCCTCTCTCTCTCTCTCTCTCTCTCCATCTCTCCTCTTCTTGAAACTCCTCTCTTCGTTGACTTTCTTTCTCCTCGGTCGCTTCGATCTCCGCCGGGCGCTTTTCTCCGGAGTAAGGGGGTATTTATAGCCGGGACTTCATAAATACTCGTTGAATATTATATTTTCATAATTTACCCCCCTACTTATGGCTTTTTTCTATTTTGCTTAATGACGGCGTTAATGGCATTAAATGTGATCATAATTGTCATCGTCATAAGCATGTGGGGCCGCGTCATGCCACCGACACTCCCACATGGTGCTCGCCGTCACCGGATTATTTTAATTAGCTAATTTTTCAAAAAAATATCTACACTGCCGTGGGAAAGAAAAATATTTGTTACTAAGATTTCGGTCGGAAAAATAATTATTTTCTCATTTCTGTGATATCCGGGCCTACTTGTCCGAGCCCATCTGGCATAGCTGACTGTCGGTGGTTCAGGGGGGGCGGTGGACTCCGGGCTCATCATCCACGTGACACATTATTCTCTCTCACATTATTCTCGCACTAGGCTGACATGGACATCTCTCTCTCACCCCTTTAAATCCTATGTTCGGATCTATGGGATGGATCTCTTCGGATTATTATAAGGGAGTTTCGGATTCGATGCACTTCATGCTTAATGGGCCAGTTAATTAGGAAAACCAGATTGGCCCACTGATTTGTGGGGACTCTCGAACGTTATAAAAAAATACTGAATTACCCCCTACAGTAACCATTTTCTCGGTACGGCCCGGCCCGTCGGTGCTACAGACAAAGGATCTATATCCCGTTGTATCTGAGTCTCTCTGAGACGTATCCATCGCTCTATGTATTGGTACATTTTCACGATGGTATTCAAAGGAGCCCGGCTCGAGGGAAGGCTGAAATTGACCCAGTACGTGGAGTTGGGTAAACAGAGATCCAGGGGAACGAGGTGAGAAGGGAGGAAGATCGGGGGAATCAGTGGGGGATATAACGCGACTGCAGCGGCGGCGCCGCCATGCAAGATCCAGTCTCCGAAGCTCGCCTCCTCCCGGTGATCTCCTCCGTGCTTCCCCAGTCCGCCCTGATCTCCCAACTCTGCTGGAGTGATCGCTTCTGCGGAGGGAGCACAGCTCCCATGCGCTGACTGAGGGGGTGGGCGCGAGCTGCGGGAGGCGGAATTGGAGGCGGCGGTGGGGACGGCGGCGACTGTGAGGGACAAGGAGGGGGAGTTGTGCCGGCGACCGGCGAAGTCGACGGACGAGGTGACCGTTGGAGCGGAGCAAATCTGACTCCAGAAGCGGCGGAGGAGCGGAATTCGGAGGGAAGGGAGACGGTGAGGCCGAGCGGAGAGGGGCGGCGAGATGAAGGGGAAAAGCCTCCCGATAATCACTTTCGAACACAAGAGGTGGGGTTCAACTGGCTCGCGGGGTCTTCGGATCTTTCCACGTGGCGGCCTGCCCACTTCCTTTGATCTTTCCCGGGGATGACCGCGAATTCGCTACGTCGTCCGCGTTCTAGGGTTTTTCATCTGTCTCCGTATTTTCTGTTTCGCTTCTTCGCCCTCCCATTGATCCCCAGCTCTTTGCGTGCCTGACGTGCAATGCTGCTTGAGATTTTCGGGCTTCCTCATTGATCTCGCGCTTGTTGTTTAAAATCTTGGGTTTGATATCGATTTTGAACTTATTCCTTGGGCATTCATGGATCCTGGTCTATTCTCTCTACCTGTTGGAAGAGCAGGGACGGTTCTTGTGATTTCTCCCTAGTAGAGGTGGTAGGCTACGTTCGGGGATCCGCTCCTGCAGATTGTACCAGTAGAACGATAGATCCGGATCACGCACTAGTTTCGAACCGGTGTTTGCCGCCATTGACTGATGCGTCCAAGTGGCAATCACTGAAATGGAAGATTCAATGGATAAGAACTTTTATGTCGAATAAGATCATTTATGGAAATAGATTTCAGGTAAAATGAAATGTCGGGTTTACTGACAACGCAATAAAATCTCTTTGGCAATGGATTTTCTTTTCAAGGCTAATTCTCTCTGTTATGATTTCACTTATCGTTTTCATGTGTTTCGTAAAGTGATATATCGCCTTGAGTTCTTATAGATTGTGTATGGTCTTGGGATATCCAACATTTGAACAGGGATGCATATGGGTTTGCGGTACGACCTCAGCATTTGCAGAGATACCGAGAGTATTCGAACATTTACAAGGTATGCCAATAGATAACTTCTATCATTTTTTTTTTTCTTTGAACATGTTTCAAAATTGATGATTTCTAAGACACTGTCTTCACGATGATTCCAGGAAGAGGAAGAAGAGAGATCGGACAGATGGAATGTCTTCCTGGAGCAGCAGGCCGAATCAACAGAGACGCTTGCAAATGGAATAGTGGTGGAGGAAGAAAGAACTGGATCTAACGTGGAAGGAGAAAGTGTCTCTGAGGAGAATGGTGCCTCCAGCGTTAGCAGAGATGACTCTTTGGATGCTTCCTCCTTGGAGAGAGAAGCAGAGACAAAGGACATGAAAACCCACTGTATACAAATATGGGCTCGGATAAGACCTTCACTTAGAGCCATTGAACATATGATGAGCACCCGTGTTAAAAGGAAGAATAAACTGGTTGGAGGAGAACACGATGCGGGGAGAAAAACTTCACAACTAGATCCATTTGAAGTGACAAGACATTCAAGGGCATCTGAAGAGGACTCTGAGGATGAGTTCTACGATGTCGAGAAGACAGATCCAGTTCAAGAGCCTCCAAGTGACAGTGGCTCTGCTGATCATTCTACGTCTTTGGAACCATATTTTCCTTGGAAAGAAGAATTGGAGTGCTTAGTTCATGGGGGAGTTCCGATGGCTCTTCGAGGAGAGGTGCCGCCACCATTACATCTTCTCTTTGAGTTTCTCTTGCTTTTCTTTTATCTTCATTTTTTTGTCGGTGACCCTCTTTCTTACATTGAATCCATACAGCTGTGGCAAGCCTTTGTTGGTGTGGGAGCACGGAGAGTGGAGGGATACTACCACAGTCTTTTAACGACTGAAGAGAATAGTAATCAAAATGGGCATTTTAACAGTTCATCCAACAGTTCATTTTCAAGTGATTCTGCAGAGAAGCGAAACAAGTCTCATGGATGTGCCCCCGAGAAATGGAAAGGTCAGATTGAAAAGGTGAGTTGATGCAATTGTTTGCGAGCTAAATCCTGCACAAAACCTTGCGTCGCCATGATAACAGGTTTTCAACACATTGTCTGGGTTCATTTGTAGGATCTACCTCGAACATTCCCGGGCCATCCTGCTTTGGATGAGGATGGTAGAAATGCTTTGAGACGTTTGCTTACGGCATATGCTCGGCATAATCCTTCTGTTGGTTATTGTCAGGTATTTCTCATGAATGAGACCAGGGTTGTGGCAATGTAAATATCTAGTCCTTATCATCTCTTGATTTGTTTTATGTTGCCTCTTCGGACGGATAAAACGAACTACATCCAATCTTTTTGGATTTTCTGGTATTATTTATGGTTAGAAAGGGAAATAAATGATGCCAAAAGTGAGGAACCTCGTCCTAATGAGAGTCAATCTTAGTACCATTGCTGCTTCTGTATCAATGCAGAAACTTTCTCATAGTAAACAAAAGCACGAGTTACTGGCATTCATCTCATTTTTCACCATTACTGGCAATCCGCTGTTCTCTACCAAAAAACGAAAATAAAATAAAATCTGGAACCAGGTGTCAGTTTTCAAGAATAGCATAAGGATATATGTGCTCACAGATTCGATAACATTACACACAAATGTGTAGTCTTAAATTTATAATTATCATAGTTAATCGCCTATCAGGCCCAAGTGCCTTCCCCGAAGTAACTCAGTAATCCCTCATTCTTTTATATCTGCTCTATAATGACGGGTTTTGAGGTTTTACTCATTTAAGGCCTCTAAAATTTAATCTGGGATGCAGGTTTACTGGCAGTGCAAGTGCATCCCTCTATAACATATGAACCACATTTATGATAAATTTAATTAAATATGAAGAATAATTATGCACTGTTTGTTGCTATAGAGAGCTTTTTGTCTCCTGAGATAATAATGTTGCTACTTGTGGGTTTTTTTATTGTGTGCTCTGCAGGCCATGAATTTTTTCGCAGGCTTATTGCTGCTGTTGATGCCCGAGGAAAATGCATTTTGGTAAGTATATGCAATCAACAGTACTCAGGTTTTTATGGGTTCTACTAGTGCAAAAAATAGATTTCAAAGAAACATGTTTAGTGGCAATAAATACAAGAGTAGGAGAAAAAATGGTGACATTAACTGGATTTGTATATGAATTGACAGGAATACTATCCTTATATTCTTGACACCTGCTTGGCTGAAGACCATTTTGGGGATCTGAGAGAGTTTCTGTTTTGATCATTTCTCCCTTGCACTGTGATATTTGTTATTCCTTCTTGTGGCATTTCTCAGGCTCAGTGCTATTTAGGATTGTTTGGCTACATTTGTGGGAATGAGATGAATTTTCACTTATATGTCAAAGGTTTTCCAGAATAGTGAAGCTGTCTCCTCAATCACGGGCATGCAATGAACCTCTTAATCTACACTTTTTTAGTGCAATGGCCTTTATGTAGTAGCAAAATATTAATCTGTCAATGCATATGAATTCTGGGTGGGGAATGTCTGGATTTGCCTTTGTTAGTGAGCTGTGTTTCCTTGTTTCCAGTAGCCAGTAGCCTGGCAAGAACAACCTGCTTTGTCAGTGGACATGATGAGCGAGTTATCAGATGAAACATCAGAGTAAAAAGTATATGTCGACTCCTAGGTCAGACGTACATGAGATTTATAGATCTGGGGATTGTAGCACCTGGACGAAACTATCAGTGTTTAACCGTGATGCATCTCCTGGTGATATTTGTGCTATCTTATGAGAAGTTGTGTGATAATTTTACCAAAACATCGAATATCAACTGTAGTAGGTCTCGAATTGGGTAAAAAGATTACAATCCTTGCCAATGAAGCATAGATTCCTGTTGTATATAAATACTCGAATGGTTGAGTCATATTCGCATATTTCCATTGGCATTCAGCCTGGCACTCACTTTCCAATTTCCTGCTATTTTCTTCATAGTTTTAGTATAAATTATCTATGTGAGACATGACGGTACCATTTTGTTCGTCAATCAATTGGTATATTTTACAATTATAGACTTTTAATTTATGATGACGAAAAAAGATTTGTAAAACTGCTATGATGAAAGATATTTCTTCCACCCCAAAAATGAGTTTCATATAAAATTTCAGGTCCTTGTTGGGCATTATCGACAACTACTTTGATGGATACTATTCTGAGGAGATGATTGAATCTCAGGTGATTTGTTACTTTTTTTTTTGGTTGTCTTGCATTATATTGAATAATTATGTCAAATAGTGGACAATTTTAGTTTCTATATTTCGTGATAACTTTTTTGAGCATTATTCAGGTAGACCAACTTGTTTTTGAGGAGTTGGTTCGTGAGAGATTTCCGAAATTAGGTTTGTAGTTTACCAAGCTTTCTCTTATTGATGGAATTTCATATGGTTCTGCCATCATCAATGTATTTTTCTGCTTTAAATATATGATTTCCTAATTTGAAAAAGTATTCTCAGTTAATCATCTGGACTATCTCGGAGTGCAAGTGGCATGGGTTACTGGACCGTGGTTCCTTTCAATCTTTGTGAACATGCTTCCTTGGGAAAGTGGTCAGGTTTTATTAATTGTACATTGTTAGCATGAATATCTTTTCTTATGTTTCAAGTGTTTGTAATTTTAATGTGATATATTTTTCTCTCTGGAAATGGCAGATGCTTCATGTCATATTATTTCTTAATTTTACGAAATCACTTCTGTGATACAATCCATCTCTTATTTTCTTTCTGATTTCAGTTCTTCGTGTGTGGGATGTGCTACTATTTGATGGAAATCGTGTGATGCTGTTCAGGACAGCCCTTGCTCTTATGGAGTTATACGGTACTGGGTAATCCATTTCTTGTTTCATTATCATGTTTGAAAGTAGGGTATATCTGGAAGTTATCAGCCTATTTCACTAGTAAAATTGTTCAGGGAACCCTTTGAATTTCAGGTCCTGCACTTGTAACTACTAAGGATGCCGGGGATGCAGTCACACTGCTTCAATCACTTGCTGGGTCGACATTTGATAGCAGCCAGCTTGTTTTGACTGCTTGTATGGGATATCAAGGTGTGAATGAGGCAAAATTACGAGACTTGAGAAACAAGCATCGCCCAGCCGTAATAGCTGCTACGGAGGAGAGGTCCAAAGGAGTTCGTGATTGGAGTGATTCCCGGGGTCTTGCGTCAAAACTATACAGTTTTAGACATGACCCTGTGTCTCTTCTAACCGAGACGGTTCCAAAAGAAGGGTCAAATGGAGTGAACGGAAATGGAACAGATATTAATGAATTTATTAGTGTGACTGGAGATGGTGAGATTGATTTGATTCCCGACCTTAAAGATCAGGTAGCTTTTTGAATACTTCAGTTTTCTGAGACTTTTATTTTTGCATACTTTTCTCTCGTAAAAAGAAGAGAATTTTGCCGTTTTATGTAGCTCCTTTCAGTGACAATTTATGTTGACGTGGAATTATTTTTAAAAAATCACCTGTTCTCAATATCACCCGATTCATTTGTTGATCGGCAATAGGGCACAAGAAGAATGAGACATAAAAGTTTGTCACATGCGTCATGACAGATACGAAATATTGGTTTCACATAAATTCAAATCCTGAGAAAGTGAAAGGGAAGAATGAAAGGACAATTTAGTAAATCATATGCCTTTTGGTAGCAAATCTGTGCGCATTTATTTGATTAGTATCTTGAGCTTTGAGACAGTAACATGTATACTCGGCATCTTTAATGATGATTTTTATCATTTTTAACCAAGCTGAGCTTCTCAATGAAATTTTTGCATCTTAACTAGTCGTTAAACATGTCATTGCTGTCTTTGCTTTAAAGGCATTACTATCAAGCTCTATTTTCTATGTACATGGAACTGTGGAAATCGCTATATTGTCTTCGCATCCTGGGAAAATATGTTTTGTTTGTTTCCCTAAAAGAGTGTTTTCGACGGCACTGGATGCCTTCATGCCTGGTTTTTCTTTTTTTGTTCTTGTTTGATGCAGGGGGGGGTGGGGAGACTTGTTTCTTGAGTCATTTAGAAAAACTCTTTTTTCTTCCACTCGCTGATGCATCACTTCTTGAGCACTGTGCTGATACCTCCATACTTGATATATTTTTTGAAAAGTGGACAAAAAAATCTTGCTCACTCTCTAAATTACCATGTCTTCCTTCATCTAAGACCTTTTTTTGAAATTGGGTGCCATTCCAGGTTGTATGGTTGAAGGCAGAGTTATGCAGATTAATGGAAGAGAAAAGATCAGCACTTCTCCGGTTTGTAGATTTACTTCTTGACCGCTGTCCGCAATTAAACTTCATTGAACATTTATTGCATCAGATTGAGAAACTGGAGAAAAATATATATATTTTTGGTCATTATACCTTGGTTATTTTATTCATTACCAACCACACCGATGTTGGAAGATTTATCCCCCATGATGTGATCACGTGCACATGATGTTTTCGAGGTAAATAGTGAAGGTAATTTTCAATCGGAGAAAGCTCCCAATGGCTCTGTTCCTGCTGTTACCTATCTGTCTTCTTTTAAATGCCTTTTGAAGGAACACCGGCATCAGAGACCTGTTACATTGTTAAACTGTGTTCCCAACGTTTCAACTGTGTTCACTTTTTTGTGCATAGCTTTTTTTATCGTTGTTTCTTCTTTCCGTTTACTATTTTGTCACTAGTTTAGGAAACCCAGTTCCTCAGTTGAAACGTTTGCATAATTGCTGAAATTGTTCAATGGATTCAACGTGTCAAGTCATGTGCAGTTTGTATACCGTTTTTGAAACTTAAAACAAGCTTTAAAACTGAACTGACAGAAGATAGTTAAATCTTAAATTTTAGTGGCGGATCTCTTTAAGTGGGAATTATCTCATCTGAGAACGGACATTTGAGACAAGAATATAAATAGTATTTAGGGTAAAAGGATAAATTCGTGAGACCACTTTCATCTACTATGATATTTCCAATCTTGGTGACCATCCTCAGAAAGGCGTCTTTCTTTGTGATGTAAATCCATTTCTGAGTTCCGGTCCTCTTGTTGGGCAGATCTGAGGAGCTTGAGACAGCATTGATGGAGATGGTCAAGCAGGATAACAGACGGCTTTTGAGTGCCAAGGTATGCGATCCGTTTCATGGGGTCCTCTATTATTACTTACATTGATTTCGGGTTAAAAATTTAATATTCTGGCACCTGTAAGCATTTTTCAAATCCTTGCTACCTTACCATTGATGACTGGATGAGATACTAATTCGGAGGATTTAAGGAGCAAGTAAATGCATATCAAACTTTGTTTTTGGCCCTTTGGACGGTTAATCTCACATCCGGTGTGGGATTAATGACGTCATCTATCTCCCTTGCTTTCGGGCTCCATACCATGTCTCCCTCCTGTGCCTGCATCTTGCCGCCATATGCATGTGCCGCATCATTGCACGCTCTCGTTGTGCTGCCGTCCACCTCCGCCATGCCGTCAAGCTCACGTGCCATCGTGCGCCGATTGTGCCAGCTTATGAATCTATGAGCTTTGAATTTTTCAAGTGCAGCTGATCAATGTAGCCTGTTGTGCCAGACGGGTCTTCCCTTCCCAGAAGATTTACTAGTAATTTCTCAGTTCTCTTGTAATGGGTATTTCAGTCTCAAGATGTTTTTATGTCTAGTGTTCAGGCCGGCATCAGCAAGATCAAGTCCACTCTTTTTATGATTTTTCTGTCATATATATTCCCTTAAATCGGCAACGCATTGTTTTCTGTATTACTGAACGTATAGTCAATCAATAGGTCGAACAATTAGAACAAGAAGTGGCTGAATTGCAGCAAGCACTTTCTGACAAGCAGGAGCAAGAGCTCGCCATGCTTCAGGTTGTTTTTCTTCTCTACCCGGCACCTCTTACCATGGAACTCGTCTACGATCAGTTCTTAGCTTCTGCTCGTCTTCTTGCAATCATTTGATTCGATCATCTTTCTCATGTTTCCCTGTTTTCTGAGTACTGTGTAGGTTTTGATGAGGGTCGAGCAAGAACAGAAAGTGACGGAAGATGCCCGCATATATGCCGAGCAAGATGCTGCAGCCCAGAAATATGCTGCTCACGTGCTTCAGGTTCCCCTTTTTGGTTCTCTGTTCTTCTCTTTCCTATTGAATGCCTTCTGGGTTTGGGTCTCTTGGGGCTTATCTACCTCAAGAACAGTAATATTAAGTAGTTAATAAATGTAAATTAATATTTAAAATGTAATATAAAGAAGTTAATGTGCAAGAACAATGGATAATATATATATATATATATATTATCCATGGTAGATAACTCATACTAAGTCAGGGAATATATATATATATGTGTGTGTGTGTGTTGTTAGTTAGAGTATTGTTTGCATTCCATAATCTTTTTGAGTGCAGGAGAAATACGAGGAGGCCATGATGTCGCTTGCCCAGATGGAGAAGAGAGCGGTGATGGCGGAAACGATGCTGGAGGCTACGCTGCAGTACCAATCCGGGCAGATGAAGGCTCAGCAACCTCCCCCTCCATCTCCCAGGTATAAACCCACCACCACCTACGTTTTCACTATCTCAATAAATAAATAAATAATATTGTCTTAATAATCCGGGCAGATGCTGGAGGGGGTGTTGACTAATTGAGATACTTACTGTCTGATGATCGATTCTATGGCAGATCTGGGCAGACGGCTCTTGCGCATGGGCAGGTCAATCAAGACTCTTCGCAGCACGAGACCCCCGCGAGGAAGATTGGCTTGCTTTCTAGGCCCTTTGGGCTCGGCTGGCGCGACAGGAACAAGGTACCCATCTCTCTCTCTCTCTCTCTCTCTCTCTCTCGCTACACGGTAATAAGAGGAGATTTCTCTCTGTGTCTGGCTCAACAGGGGAAACCTGGCAACAGTGCCGAGGAGGCGACCGCGACCGAGACCAAGACCTCGAACGAGCGGGTGGAGGGTCAAAGTTCCACGGCCGAAGGCGAAGGGCCCACCCCCACCCACGACCCGGCGAGGTAGCGCAAGCTCGAGAACTCAGGTGGGGCATCCATTGACCCATCCGTCTTCTACTGTCGGTTATATATATATATCGATAGAGAGAGAGAGAGGGAGAGAGAGAGTGCTGATGTAATAGCGGGCGATTCTATTTGTTGTGACTCAGATACGATAGTTCATTGTTTCCCAATAAAGTATATGTTTTTTTTTCTCTCTCCTCGTTAGGAAGTGTATAGCAAGAGAGAGAGAGAGAGAGAGAGAGAGAGAGCCGGAGAGGGCCCATTTTGTTCAGTTCTTAAAATGGTACGCTCGGCCTCGTTAATACCGCAGGGGGTTTGAACGGCGCGTAGAACTATTTTGCCGTTGATCTGGTTTTCCCTTTCGGTCTCTAATCTCCACCCAGAAGAGCCTCCCACTGAAACCGCGGCTCCTTTTGTTTCAAAAGAAGTCAAATACTTGTGAGCAAGGCGCTACATTCAGTGAACTCTCACCAGAATAATTCCTTGACATGTTCTTACATAGAAATAAAGACGAACACTCACCAGCTGGGTTTGACCAATGCGATCGGTCTGCGGAGATTCATCAAATCGAGTCAACATGACGATGCTGAAATGATCCACTGACACTAAGAAAACTAAGAAAAAGAAGAGATATATATATATATATATCTAATACTGAGCTGACTTTTCTCTTCTATATATTTTCTATAAACCCTGATTTGGGTTCTCAAGCAGATTAATCCGGCCACCCAAGAGGGCGGTCGATCCAGAGCATCCCGCTCCAAGAACACCAAGAACCCACTCATCTTCCGGCACGAGAGTCAACGCAGCGAACAACCAACTCAAACAGTGACGACAAGAGAAGCTCAAGGCCAGCGTTTTCGGCGCAGAAAGAGGGAAAGCAAGGAATAGCAGAGGCTGAGAAGAAGATCATCCCAGAGTTAAGAGGAAGACATCAAGCACGACGGCGAGGGCTACAGATACCAAGACCTCGAGGGAAGAACGCAGATAACATGTACAAAGAAAAAAAGATTACCGGCCGGCGGCCCAGGCTAGAGATGATCCCCCTTGCCCTCTCCATCCATGCTTCCGTCGCCAGAATGCCTGCTGCAATCGGAAGCTACAATCAGAGCATTCACTGGGAGAAGACGGATCTGAAGAACAGGGAAAGGAGTCTTCCCCCAACTTTTCAATGGAATCAAGGGGGGAAAGGAGAAATCCAGGGAGAGATTATATGATTCCAGTTGATGAACTGGACATCTGACTAGTTTTTATAACCCTGCCGAGAAAAAAAATTCCCATTTTTTCCATTAAATTGCAACGGAATGATAAATCCGAGAAGATCAACAGGCAGATAATCTTCTTGTATCTTTCTGGGCATTTGTGGACTGGTAAGATATCAAAAAAAGACTAAATTATCCGAGCGCCAACCAAAAAAAAAAAAAAAAAAAAGATAATCTCGGGTGAATAGGATCCTAAATTTTTTCCATTTTTTCCATGAAATTGTAAGGGAATTATAATTCTTTTGTATATCTTCCTGGGCATTTATGGACCGGTAAAATAACAAAAAAATAAAACTCAATTATCCGAGTGCCAACAAAAAAAAGAAAAAAGAAATCATCCCGGGTAAATAGGATCCTCAACAGCGGTGCAGTGCAGTGAAGTGCAGAGAGGGGTGTAAGATGCATGGCAGTATTTATTCAGTATGATCAGCATTGCCCTATCAGAGAAAACCAGGAATGGACAAAACCAGGAGGTGATTTTCCGATCTAAGGGACTGGGGGATGGATACAAAGCCTACTTCAGGGCCTGGAGGTCAAGGAGATCTGAACCATATAAGATAAGCCTGATTACACTCATAGATTGCCTCTAGCCACTCACTCCCATCCAGCCAAGAAAACTCTAAGCGAAAAGGAAAAGGGAAAATGGTCGTCTGGTAGTACCTCCAAGATGACAAGTTCCTTGTTTTCCTGTCCAGGTGGATGTTCTCCAGGGCGCTTGAAGCTCGCAGAACGTCGTCGGAGATCTCGTCTGGATCGTACCGCCAGCCGTACTCATCCTTCCGATACCCAGAAAGGGAAGAACCCATTCTCCTCTCTGGAAGGAAAAAACTGCTTCAGAGAGAGGGGAGGATGGTAGATAAAAGCAGAGAACAGCTGACTGCAGAGCACTGACGAGATATACCTGACGACTGAGAAGGGACAGGCCTGCCATATTAAAGAGAAGAAGAAACTGTCATTTAAGATTAGATAAAAGAAATAAACAATGAAGCAAGAATGGCCTCGTGACCACTAGCCATTCAGATCAATAAGACGTCACCTTACCAACGGAGGCAAGCCCCCTGCAACAGATGATGAAGCCCTGCGGATGTTCCTTGGTTCGGTTGTTGGCAAAGAGTCAAGCTCAGAGGGAATCACTCTCCTTTCCACCATTCTTGCTTGAGATAAATTCTATAAAAGGTGGTGCAAATGAACATGAAAGAACAAAAGCTGAAAAATAAATGTGGGAGAAAAATGAATGAAAGTAATTTAGATACTTGAAGATAAGAATAAATATTTTTTAAAAAAATAGTTATTTTTAACTAAGACCGAGCTTCAAAGTTTTAAAATTGCGATTCACCCAGCTGATTGGGGGGTCTACAGTTTTTTTATGTTCTTGTCGTTGACAGAAATTTGATCAAAATTTACCTTGTTTGGGTCATGTATGTAGGAGAGGAGGATGCATTGCTCACCAAAAAAATTACCCAATATACCAAGAGAGGAACCAAGACGATAAAATCCAAAGCAGAGAAACGGTCGATGCCCTATGCCTTGAAACAAAAAATATAAAAGTCTTACCGACTAGGTCATCATGGTAACGGACAGAAATCACAGACTTCAGAGCTCCGTTACTTCACTTTTCACTATGGCTTTTCTAGCAACTTGCCATGATATAATCACGTAACTTTAATGAATGCCAGATCATACATCACATAGTGTTAAGACATATAATTTAATGTAAAGACTCAAAAAGCTCAGAAGAGACACCAGATAGAGAGATCTGGGTAAGGTTGCCGTAGGCATTTGGAAAGGACTGTTATCAGCTATATGGTGAACGGAAAAAAGATCCCAGGTTGTCACCCAACAACTTCTCCAAAATTTAATGTGGCATAAAACTCATCAAAAATATTTTCCCTTTTAGGTGTCATCCAATGTAGAAGCATCACTGATGAGCCACGAAGAAAGTCAAGAGAATAGAAGACGAATAAAATGGGGGGTATAATAACAACAAACCTCATATTTTAGATACCCCTCAAGAACATCCAGTAGTAGCGGTCCGCTATCACCATTCCTGCTCAAGTCAGTTCCATTTTTGACTCGAAACTCTTGCAACTCGGCTTTCCAAACGTCCCTTTGCTGAAAAGATGTAATCCAAGTAAAGACGGCGCCATTGATTGTGCCCCTGAAGTCAATCATCATAAATGTAATAGTTTAAAGTAAATGACAGATCAATGATAGCATCTTTACCAAGTTGCACTCAGGCAAATAGACTTTAAGTGTATGACTAAGCTGAGCCCAGTCTAAGTATTCACAGATCAGTGCTGTTAGTAGCCTACCTGCACATCATGAGAAGAACACGATTGTATAGTCAAAGATCGCAGGACAAATCAGGATTGCCTTTTTGAACAGACCACGCAGTGAAATATATTCTTCACATGATCAGAAAAGCCTAGGCCTTACAAGTTTAGACACAAAAAGGAACATCATAATGAAGTATGCACCAAAGAAAACTCAATCCTCCTAAAGTAACTAACAAGAAATATATATATACATATATATACATATATGCTAGTATAAAGACAACACAGAAAAATAATGCAATAGAAAAAAAAAGCCTCATTCCAAATTATCCTAAAGCGTCCGGCAAGCATTTTGCAAAGAAACAAGTTTGAAGTAATTTTCACGATAACAATAATGAAAAAAATTGCAAAGATGCATATGTCCACCCCGAAAGGCTACACTCTCCAGGCAATAATCCAATAAACAAAGGATACCATATAAAGGTACTGAATTAAATATCACTGTCGACATATTTCGTCAAGCAAAATTTTCGAAAAATGGTTCTTGGCATCTTTAAACACTTCCGAAAATAAAATATGAAATGTTCAGCATATGTTTTAATCACTTCAAACGTCTACCGAACAAAAACCTCCCCAACAAGTTATGGACATCAACAATAAATTCTATAAATGATCACCCAAAAAAAAAAAGCAAATAGAACCTGATGGAGAGGCATGTAGTTGCTTAGCTCGGTCATTGCAACTACCAAGTAATGCAGGAACAAAACCTTCCTCATTTTCCAGAGCCCTGTCCTCGTCTTCAATGGCTTCAAAAACACTTGCCCTAAGTTCAGCCTACAAGAAAGTCGAGGCTAACATATCACTGCTTATACGATGGAACAATTTTTTATGATTACAACACAAATAGTCCACGGAATCCATCAAAACAAAGCCATGACTAGAAATTACAAACGTTTTGGAAAAAACTATAGAAATAAAGGTCAGATGCATGTGTAGAAGTTGGGGTGCCAAAACGTTATATGACATGTGAAAAAACTTATGGCACAATTTTTTAGCTCGTGAACAGAAATGGCTCCAAACTGTGAGTTCTCAATTAGACATGGCTGCAATCGGCCACACACACACAAAAAAAAGGCAGAGTCCAGAAAGATTTAATACCAGAGGTACTTAACATTCGCTGTGACCTATGCACTAGTGAGCTATCCACCAGCGCCACAGTGCCGGTGACTTTAGACATGCCGGGTGAGCTATCCACCAGTGCCATAGGGGTAGAGATAGATGGGTAAATCTCGAACATTTTCTCCGTTGATTTTCGTTCTCTCTACTATCCAGACAGCTAGGCCAACCATCGTTAAATAAAATCAAAAGGCCACTGTGGCAAAGTGCTATCCATCAACGGTAAGGTGGTCCTAAAGGTGATTCTTCGGGCAGCAAGTCATTTACAAGGTAACTATAACCATAGGTCGTGCTTTCCTCTCAGAGTACAGCTTTGTTTGTTCCTTAGTTTTACTTGACTCCCCCCCTGGGGTTCCTTCAAATACCGGTATTGGTAGGACAGAGAGTGTAAGAATACTTTCTTCCTCACATCCCCAACACATGCATAACTCCGATTGTAAGAGTGTGAAGGCAGCAATGCTCGTGACCAAGGCAGATAGCCATGAATACCCAAGTTTGTGGCTTTCCGACTAAAATGTGATCTGGGCAAGTGGGCTTTCTCGAATTTTACGAGCATGTACTAAAAATTTAGTGAATTGATATTAATGAATACTTTATTTCGTGATTTACCCAGGCAACCCTAACATTGTCCCGCAAAAACAGTTCATTAGCCACGAATTCGTAGTTCACCGACAAGACCATCACTGAGAACACTCAAGCTATGAAAGCAACACAGGGATCAGATGTGAACTGGAACATTTTAAACTTCGAGCACAAGCTAAGAGGCATGCACAACCGGGAAATTTAAGATCAGAGGCATTATGACATTCGGACCTCGTTAAGAATCTCGAATTGATGCACCCGCTTTTATAATCGATGGCCAATGCAGTACTTTTTTTTCTACAATTAGCACTGGAAAGACGGGCATCGGGTTTCCTTCGAGAAGAAGATGGAAGTTTCTCCTATGGAAGTCCAGAAAAAGGGCATCAAACACTGAAACGATACTGGTAAGAGATGACAGAAAGAATAGCGCGAAGGGACATGGTCGGGTGAGTCAAGCAATTATGAATTACCGGATCCAAACAAGAACAGTTAGTATCACGGACGCTTGAAAGGCTGTAAATAGTCTCGGTTTTGAGCTGTATTAATATGAAACCCTAAAACCGTTCTTGAAGCCCTTACGACTAGCTTAGATAGAAATTATCCTTCAGGATCGCTATGTACGACCCGGTTAAATTCCTACGAGACCAAATGCGGAGAGTTTTCCCCTTCTACCTTTAAACTCGAACGCCCCAAAATTGTGTACTTGATACCAACCTCCATCATACGCGTTATGAAAAATGTGTGAAGATTAGAACGATCGAACACTAATATTTCGAGGAAAACAATTGGACACGACGATGAGCACGAATGAGGTTGCCGAAACCCTAGCTTTCCGCCGTCACTCCTTTCCTCTTTCGACTCGCGGAGAAATGCGACGGGAGAGGCGAAGAGCATACCCTGATTTTCGCGAGCACGCCCTTCTTCTCCAGCGTGCGGGTGACCAGCGTCTTCAGGTCCATCATTTCCCTCGTGTAGTCATCCATCCTCCCCTCCCTCCCTCTCACAGATCCTTGTGTGCCTCGTCCCCCAATATATAGACGAAATGCTCGCCCTGGCCCTTCGTCAGCGCACTCTGCTTCTTCCACTGCCTGCCGACTGCAGATCCCTGCTCGATCTCGCTCGTCACCACCGGCAATCAAAAGCGTACTCTCACAGAGAGAGAGAGAGAGAGAGAGAGAGAGAGAGAGAGAGAGAGAGAGGGGTACTGAGAAGGGTGACGCACTGGAGAGCTATTCGACGGAAGTGGTGACCTCACCAAATAACGCTAGCATTTTTATTTTTTATAAAACCTTCGGTAATATCAGAAATGTCGTTAAATCCATTTTGACGACGTGGCAATCCACGTCACTCACCACATGATCGTGCCGCTCTGTTTATTAATTTATTTTACGTATTTCCTCTGATCACCGAGGCCGTTGTCTTCAGATCGCGTGGATAGAGTCTACTGGCGGCGCGATCGCCACGTGGCAAGGTGAGTCGGAGCAGACTCCCCCTCCCCTCCCCACCTCTCCTCCCTCTTCTTCCCCAATTTGATTTCTGTCGCTCTGTTTGCGAGCTACGTATCGGAGAATTCGATCCCCAGAGGGATGGATCTGCTGGGGAGATTGACGCCGCGCCGCGTCTGGTCGCCTCCGCTTTCTTCTCCCTCGCCGTGTTGCTCCTCCTCGTTTCTACGGCCGCGCTGCTCCAGAGACGGCAGGGACGACGAAGGTATGAGAGATCTGTGAGAATCACGATCCCGCTTCTTCAATTCAGATGCTATCTTCGTCTTTGACTCGCCTGCTTCGTCCGCCGAATCCCTCTCCGAGCAATCGTAAAGAACAACTGCGGCGTCATCTATCCGGCATTTTCGAATCGGCCACGGCGATGCGATCTGAAGATTCGCCGCTGTAGAACACATCAAAATCATCAGATTGCCAGTGAACCTTCGAGACGAGCATCTGAGGTACCTTGGAATCTTCAGTTGATTTACCTAGCCATCGATCAGGATGGAACACAGCCTTTGACGAACATATATTAGTGGAAAATAGGAAACAGGAAACAATAGCAACCGTATTTTTTGTGCAGATAGGAGCAAGAACCGTACATAGTGTGATAACAGCAAAACCTGTTTATCATTTTCCTACGATCTTGATGGCATTCCCTGTAGCTTCTGTACTTCAGTCTTCTTCTTCTTCTTCTTCTGTTTTTATCTTCGTCGAGTATTCTTTCTAATTTCTGTGGACAAGAGACTGGATTCAATGGAGCAACGACCTCGGGGACTGAGGATTAGATGAAGGCCCTCCTTTCGTGCTAAATCTGACTCGCCATAGCTTCTTCTACCTCTGGCAAATGAACATCACTGGAATCTAGTCGTCGGAGGTGGACCTTCCATGATTCTGATCACTTCCATGAAGAATTTGATCTAACGCCGTCTTCGTGTGATCAAGGTGGCAAACGGCCGACGGACTGGGACAAGGCGTGGGCGAGCTTCAAGAAGCGCGGCAAGAGGACCCTCTTCTCCCAGTTCGATGTCGACAAGTACGTAACCTGGAACCCAAGAAGGTCGGAGTACCCTCTCTCCGAGGAAGTGGACCCGATAAAGAAGACAGAGAGGTCAAACCTGGGGCTCTGGACCAGCCCGAGGTTCACACTGGTGGGAGCCATAATCCTCGTCTCCTTCCTCCTGATCTACACCCTACTCGCCCCGCCACCCAAATAGAATCCAATCTCTCTCTCTCTCTCTCTCTCTCTCTCTCTATCTGACCAATTATTATCATATAAATCTACCATGGTGTTCTTATCAGACTATTGTTATTCTTGTTCTAAGTATTGGGCAGTCTCCCACCTTGGTTCCTGGCTAAGAATAGAAAATACCGGCCCTTCCTCTCTCTCTCTCTCTCTCTCTCTCTCTCTCTCTCCTCCCTGTGACAAGGACATGGAGATGGTCGTCGGACTGGTTGATCTCCGAGCAGGTCCAAACTGGTTGATTTGCAAGGCAGGGTCCAAAACTGGGTTTAGGAGAATACAGGAAGATATTCTAGTAAAACCAGATTAACACTTTTCTGTAATGTCCCCTAATGAGAGCCGTCCAGGAAGTCGTCTCCAAGCATCACGGTCCATAGACTGCCTTCCAGGGACCAGACAGGACCATTGCATTCAATGGGGAAGATCGAAGGAAATAAATCCTCCGAGGAGAAGAACTTGATGAGGGTCAGAAACGAGAGCACATGTGATTGACCTGAGCTGCTCGAGGTTGAAGACGAGATCTCCGGTGAGTCGCGTCCAGGAGAAGAGTGAGGAGCAGAGTCAAGCAGCGAGCCTGCTCCGGCGCCTGCCAGAGCCCAGTCCGCGTCTTGACTCGGTCCAGTCGTAGATGGTGACCCCGACTTAGATTCCCCTTTATGGCAGGCGCGACTTTTTGGCCATGAAGACGGAACCTCCTCCAGCGAGACTTCCTGCCCAAGCTTCTGTGGCGACCAACTTGCTGATTTTTTTATCATATTCTCTGGGTGATCTCTTTCATGATTCGTTCAAAGGAGTCTGACTGGAATTATTTCTCCCCAAGAAAGCCTACTCCAGTTTTGTGACCAGGACCAGCACGGATTGTATATATGGGGACACTCGCCTTCTCTGCAGATCCATCGCCGTGGTCTGTCTCTTGTAGTGTACCTTGCAAGCAGTCTCTGCTCCACTTAGTTAGTGCCTCCCAGATTCGTCGGAATTCCAGCTATGGATTTCGTCCATCGCGGCGATGCAGAAGGGGCGAGGAGAAATCCCCTGCCGAAGAGAGGTCAGGTCAAGGCAAGGATCGTGCGCACCTTGTTCCGGTCGGTGGTTGCCATCGGTTCGGAGACGCAGGGAAGTGGACACAGTGAGCGTCCGAATGTCAAGCGCTCCGCTTCCGCGTCGCCGTCGACGTTGAGCGGTTACGCTTCCGATGTCAGCTCCGACGAGTGACATCAACGCCGGAATCCGGGATTCCGGAGATCTTACTCCCGGCTCGCTCGGCGACCAGTTTTCTCTGCGACAGAACCACCGAATCGATCAAGAAGAGCTAAATCGGAGATGAATATTTCGAATCCTGAATATCTATCCGATCAGTTGAAAAAGCGAGTGCAGGGAGATGAAAGCTGTAGAAAATTGTATTAGCATGGTTTTCAAGTTATCTTCCTTTGTAATTCTCCGACTATCCCCGGGATTGTATATAAATCTAACGTTAGTGTGAAATAAAAAAGCCTACCGATTTTTTTGTTCTCGTTGCAAGGATTCACATTGTTGAAGAAGGAAACGTTGGAATTAATTCATCAGAGGAAGATCCAACTGCAAGAACTGCTAGTGATTGAGATGAGCTCTGGTACATCAGGGACACCCGATCGCAACAGTTACGAATAGAGCGCGGCTAGGACGGGCGAAGCTGTGCGTTCGCACATCTGAGACTTGATTTCAGATAATATCAACTCGGATTAAGATAAACTCTCAATATCAAGATGATCTTAAAATAACTTTATCCGAAACGTTTCCCCCAAGTTTAAGCTTCGTCGACTAGGTCAGAGATCTAGAACCTGGTCGACGAAAAGGAACTCGTCGATAGGAGGAACACTCAGAGGGCCAAGCAGATCTTCATCCTCCTTCGTCGGCTTCCTGTGCCTTCCGTCTCCTTCGAACTCGGTTGGTCTTTTCTTTAGAGATAGAATAATGAGCCTGCGATCGACGCCGTAGGTTAAACGTCCAATGACAGAGAATCATACCAGAGACGGTCGAATATTCAGGACGCCGCCGCCCGCCGATACATCCATCCACCTCTGGTTCTGCCCTCCCCCAAATCTCTGCGAGCGCTCTCCTCTCTCTAGAACATCTGCCACGCCCTTCACGGAAGCTGGTCTTCACAAGGGAAAGATTCCACGGTCTGCATATTCCCGACGGCTGATAACGGCAAAGCCGTTTAAACAACCCCCCGCTCCCCCCTTTTCTCTCTCTCTCTTCAAGTGGCCGTCGGAATTAACAGAATATTCCCTGACCATCTCCATCTTAGTAGACCGAAAGTTTTCACAAAACTACTACTAGCCGCTCACCGGTTCAGTATTCCACGCGCCTTCTTATGCATTGGGAAGTAATAAGTAGTGGGGGTTCCTTGCGAATTTTCCTTCGTATCTCTGTTTTTCATCTCTGTCTCTTGCTCTCCTACTCCCACAGCTCTCTGATGGTAGAGCGCAAGGCTTCCGGAGTCTCCCCTGTGAGGGAGAAGGGGACGCCGACTCTCCGGAGGGGACAGATCAGAAACCGCATAATCCTGGAGTTCTTCAGATCACTCGCCGGGATGGGGCAGCTCGGGTGGGGGATCGGAGGCGTTGGATCCAGCACCACGACTCCGGCCCCGAGCAGCACCGGCGATTCGGACGCCTCCTCTGAACTGTGACAAGAACGGTAGAATTCTTCGCGAGAAAAATTCTCTTAGATCATCCATATTTTTTTTGAAGGATGGTAGAAGGGGAGGAGGATGAGAAGAAAGAGACCTTGGGATTTGATACTTGTGCGTCACTTTTCCCTGTCCTTAATCTTCGATTTTCTCCGATCAGGTGAAGATTTGAAGGAAGGCGTTCATTTCGTTCCCCTGTTTGATGTCGGTGATCGTCTAGTCCGGTGACTCTGTTTCTGTTTTTCAATGCTGCAGATGATCCGTAAGTACTTTATGTTTTGATTCTTCGGTTTTCTCCTCTGCGACGACTTTTTGTTCAAGTTGCAGGTGGATAGAAGCGAAATCCTCTCGTCCTGATCTGTATTATTCAAAGATCGCAGGCGAGAAGCATCCCTCAGATGCATACTTGTATTTGTTGTAGGCTCTGTGAATCCCTCCATTGCCTTCTTTTTCTGGCAAAGTGGGAGTTCCTGTTGTATCAGTTTGTAATCCGTCAGCGTCCTTTCCCGATTATCACCAAATTGAGTGATCAAGTTCATAGTGTTCTGCAAAAATTTCCATGGCTCCAAGTTCGCTAAGCATCTGAAGAACCTTAATTACTGAAAGAAAGTGGTTCTTCCAGGCGTTGATCCGTATGTACAAAGTCCACGTGGGCCCCATCCGACGTGGAGCCCTCCCCCCCCATACCGCGTTTCCCACCAGCCTAGTATTCCTAGAGATGGATGGATTTCTGTGCCCCCGTAAAAGGGCAACCACGGTGGGCTTAATCTGAGCTGGAATCGACGCTTTGACAGCGATTAATTCGATGGGACGGATCTATGGCTAACGACAATCCTACGTGGCACGCCGACCATGTGCCAGGGAGGTGTCTGTCACCTTCCCGTCCGACAGCGTGCCAACCCGTAGAGTCCTCCGATTTCTACGCTGGGCTTTTCGGGCGTGGGCCCTGTGGACCCGTGATCCTTATTTTCGTTATCGCTCCATTAATTATACTAATGGGCCACGATGTCTATATGTGGGCCTTGAAGAACTCGGTATGGGCTGGATTGGACCCATGAACCTAAAATCTCATTCTTACTCTGGAATACGAATTGTTATCAAGCATGACCCAAAATGGGTTCCTGGTAAAACCTCTCTCCCTTCAGTGTGATCTTAACAATGAACGGCTGTGATTTTCCAAGTCAAGACCAAAATTGTGGTCCACTTTTTTTGCGGTCAGGATCTCACCATATGCTATGTACATTAGACCATCGCGGAAAGTAAACCTCTGAATAGATCGTATACCCTAGTAGAGAGAAGGTTCTAGCAGTAGTACGAAGCCGCCGAGCGGATTCGGGAAGAAGCGGAGAGGAGATGGACAAGAGTATGCTGGGAGATCTGGATAGTCTTCCTGAGGAAGACAAGATCAAGATGGCGCGAATGATCGACCAGCTCCAGGTCAGCGACAGGTTGGTTTCCTTCCTCCCATGCCGTCTCCTTTTTTTTCTCTGATTTTTTCCTATTTTTTTGTACTAGTTGGCATCTGTTCATTATTTCTTAATCTCATTCAGTAATCTCTGTTGGTGTTGCTTCTGTTTTTTCCTTTCGGGGACTCTCGGTGCTCAACATTCATCTTCACTTTAGTTGGATTTGGTTTTTCTGGTGCACTTCTTCGCATGGTGTATGTTTTTTTTTTGGTAGAAGCCGTGTGGAATGGAGTGGAAATTTCTGAATCAGTCGGCTGTTTAGGAGTTTTGAGTGTCAGTGCTGGGAACTACTGCTGAAGCGTAGATCGGTGTTTCTAGTGCTTTCGGGCTGTCGTCTCTTCCGTATCCGTCTCACTTGCTTGTTATTTTTTAGGCCCTTCGCATTGTGTTCGTCGTTGATGCGACTCTTAGCTATAGGTTCAAGAATGTGTACAATCGTTTTTAATCGCTTCATAGTTTCTCCACCTCCAGGTGGGCGAGAATTAAAATGCTTAACAAGAATCTTTGATATTTCCATCTCAGAGCCAGGTCGAATCAGTTTTAATTACATTTTATTTAACAAGGATCCTGCTCTCACAACTTTTTTGTGAAATATTAAGAGATTTTTTGTCTCCTGTGTCTTAAATTGTCTTGACAAATTCCATTAGCCTCTGAACCTTACACATCTGCGAGAGCAAGGCATCATTCTTTGGATTAAGCTGAATTCCTTTTTATGTGCTGTGGACAATTGCGAAGGAGCATTATGAACACAAAATGCGTAGAACTGTGCTCAAGAGGTCTCCAACCAGTAGAAGTTTGAAAAATCTGCAGTTTTGTCACTGCGGAAATTCTTAACGATAAGGCTACCGAAGTTCCATCTTTCTCTCTGCTTCTTTTTTTTTTTTTTTTTTCCTTTTTAGATTTCAACACGACCATCGACCTTCTGTCCTCAGTATATTTCCCACTCCTACTTAGGACATATGAGTGTCATTGATCCCTTGTTTTCAATGTCCAAGGATTGACAACCAAGAATTTTGGAAAGCAATTCCCTTGGAAATTCAAGAGTTTCTTGAGCTGGAATATCAATATTTATTCGAATATTGAGGTTTATATGTGGACAATTATCTCGCAGCTTGAGGATGTACAATTCCCTTGTGGAGATCTGCTTCTCCGACTGCGTGGACACCTTCAGACGTAAAACTCTTGACAAACAGGAGGAAACCTGTGTCCGCCGCTGCGCCGAGAAGTTCTTGAAGCACTCCATGAGAGTCGGTATGAGATTTGCAGAGCTCAACCAAGGTGCGGCCACTCCTGATTAATTTTCTGGGACGTAGAAATGAAAATAAAATGACTCAATGAGTCAAGCACTGACTGCTATTCTTGACTGAGAGTATGGCTTGCTTTGGATTGAGCAATGGGTATGTTATTGCCATTCTCTGCTGCGATGCATTTGAGACTCTTTTACACATCGCCTCGCCCTTTTGTTTCAGCATCTGTTATATTAGCATATATTCTGACATTGGATATGATCAAGGAATGACCATAAGTTGAATTCATCTCTCTTTCTCTCTCTCTCTCTCTGAGGATGTTGGTACTCAGAAGACCGACGGACACGATCATCTGAGCAGACGTGTGGTCCTCACGTTTGGTTCGGCCAAGCCCAGTATGCCTGGCCTGTATATCAGGTTTAGCGTTTTCTCTCTCATTTTAGAATAAAAAAAAATATTTTTGATTTTTCTCATGGAGCATCGCCATGAATATCGTTGATAATCGCGTTATAATTGGCTAAATATCTATATAAAGGAAAAAATTAAAATAAATAAACAAAGGGCCTTGCAAGTTTATTTCGAGACTTTGAATTTAATTTTAATTATCACGTAAATAAGGAGTAAATAGGGCCCCTTTTCTGATTTCCAATAATGTAGGTAGCTCGTTGATAAACACTTATTTACAATTTTTTAAGAATTTCAAAAATATGTATTTAAAATTAATGAAAAGGCCTTGCCCTTTTATTCTGCGATTGTGAATCGTAGAGAGAGAAAGAGATGGGTAGACTGGTATGGGCCTCTACAGTCGAATGCGATTTGGGTCTATATATTGGGCCTGATCGTGGCGCAATATGGCCCAATAGGAGGAGGAGCAGGAGGTGGGAGTTGGGTGAAGTGGGCCCCACGGAGGCTTCTCGATATTTTCTGGAATAGGGAAAAAAAAAACATGTCCTCTGCTCGTAATCAGGAGGTTGGCGGCCGGGCGGTCACGAGAATGCCAGTTGGGGGGGGGGGCGGGGGGACCGGTGCTGCCAGATATCTCCGGCGAGATCCTGGCGGGCGCTGGTGAGGGCGGCCCCACCGCTGCCGCCACCGACGGAGATGCCACCTGAGATGGCGAAGAAGATGAGCAGCAACCGCTTCACCTCGCCATCACAGTTCAACTTCACCCTTGCTCTTGAGGCCTCAATTCTCACAGTCGTCTCCTCCTCCGATCTCCCCGCACCCCTCCTCCTCATTCGGAGCGCCAGCTCCGAAGAAGTAGGGGGTTCTGTTTCTCTCTCTCTCTCTCTCTCTCTCTTTCTCTCTCTTTTATCCGTCTCCTGTAGGGTTTTTCTCTACTGGCAGTCTCCCCCGTGCCGTTCTGGTATCTTCCTATTCGTCTCAGATGCTCGTACGACGACTCATCTATGAGTCAGAGCTGTTCATCCGACCTTATACAGGGCACGGCCGCAGCAGGCGACTCTGGGAAGAAAGGCCGGAAGCCCTACACGATGACCAAGTCCAGGGAGAGCTGGACGGAGCAGGAGCATGAGCGATTCCTGGAGGGGCTCCGACTGTGAGTTAGCTTGTCCTGCTCTGCTTCTCGTGCTGTTGCTGTCTGTTGGTGGCTTCATGTTTTGATGTTTCGTTTTCCATCCTCATCCTCTGCTGGGTCACTAATTCTGCATGCGTGCTTGAGAGAGACTCGGAAGCTAGTGGGTTTAGTTTTCGAATTACCGTGAGGATTGCTGGTCTGTTGGTGTCAGCTTTTAGGGAGGGCATTTTGATCTGGATTGACAGAGTCACTGCCGAGCAAGTGTTTTGAACCACGAGGAACGGAAAATGATACATCTGGTTAATTGTGCCTTCGTTTTGCGTCTTTTGCTCAATGCAGATACAACCGAAACTGGAAAAATATCAAGGACTTTGTTGGAACCAAGACAGTAATCCAGGTGTGCATTTCGTTGTGATCATCTTCCCTTCTTGTGAAGTTATATCTTCTTAGTTCGCCAACTTCTTTAAAATATATCGTGCATTTTCACCTTTTATTAAATTATATCCACGCATATAGTTTGTAAAATTATATATTATTTATCTACTGAGGATTACCGACTTGAGTTACGTGACTCATGACAGAGTACTCGATGTTATGTGACGAGCAGTCACTCTGTAAAAGCATAGTTTCTCTTGCGTTTTCAGCTAATCGCAAATCCAAATCTTCATAAGATGTATGGACTCGCAGATTAGAAGTCATGCTCAGAAATATTTCCTCAAGGTTCAGAGGAATGGGACTGATGCACACGTACCCCCTCCTCGACCAAAGCGGAAAGCAGCTGATACTTATCCACTGGGAGATTTAAAAGGTGGTCTCGTTTTCAGTTTATTGAAGGCGGCATATCTACATTAAATGCTTAAAATATAACCTTTGTAGATGAAGCTACTCACAAGGTATCTGTACAGATGTGGTACTGTTGGAAGCATCAATGCCTCATCCTACGCCAGTGATTTGCCCGAAGACTAGAACTCTGATGGGTGACACATCGATGGTTATGAATTATCCAGCAGGGGGAACTGTGCAACCGGTAGATAATTCAATTTTTTTCCATGTAAATAAAGGTGCTCATATCGTATTTGTTTGTTTCCAATTAATTTCGGCCCTTTTTTGCTATTCGAGTCTCATTACTGGGATCCCAACTTATGATGAACGAATTTGAGGCTGATTATACACTGGCAAGTGATATGATGTTTGTATCTCAGCTAATGCTCACACGGTGGAAGGAATAAAAGCTGGCAATGGGATTATTCTGCCCAGTTCAAGTCAATCCTTATTAGAACATGAGATACCAATTCAAGGACGTCCGAGCTTCTTACAGGGAGGTACTGATCACTGTCTTTTCAATGATCCACGATCGTTATAGGACGGCTTTCTACTATTGCTTGCTACTCCCTGGAGAGAAGTAGATCATGTTGTCATCTACATGCTGGATTTTGTGTTGCATACTTGCTGCGGGTTGGGTGGGGGTGGCTGGGCCTTTACCATTCTGAAAGTAGTCTTTCTTCTGGTAATCATCTCTCTATCCCTTAACCTCATGGTTCGGGAAAGTACGAAGTGAGGAAAGATGTAGAGATTTTCTTACCCTTGAGTTATACACCAGAAAGAACGGTTATCTTGAGAAAAAAATTCCAATTAAGAACGCCAGTAGCTCTCTTCTTGCCACATAACAGTGAACCTCAAGTTGGATATTTTTATTCTTAATTCAATAATGCGGTTTTAGATCCTCATCAAAGTCTTAAGCAGAAGATTTGGATGCCATTACTTCTTCTGCCTATGGTAATCCCCATTCAATGGCGGTATTAAATCGTTTATGTTTTTAAAATTTTTTCAGCATATGTATTATATCATTAATAGACAAGCGTAAAGAGATTTAGCCGCCTAGTATGTCGCAAATGTGTTTATTCCTATAACTTTCTAGGTAGGTGAAGCATCGTCTATTGGCCTTTTTTTTTCAACTCACAGAGATGTGAAGTTCACTTGTTTGTGGAGGAAATTAATTATCTAGAAAATTGATGAGGCGCATCATCGGTAATATTTTTGTTGTTCCAAATGGTGACAAGCTTTCTTGCATCTATTTTATAGTTCTGCCAGACTTTTCAAGAGTATACAGATTCCTCGGAAGTTTATTTGATCCAAGCACCAAAGGCCATATTGAGAAGCTGAAGGAGATGGATCCGATCGACAGTCAAACGGTAGGTCTCATTTTCTTGTTGCACTGTTAAGAGTTAGAAGCCCTGAGTCGGACAAATGCGAGATCAATGATAACTAACCAGAAGAGAAAAAAGATTTGATGCAAAAATTCTACAGTGATGCACTCTCAGGGTTGAGAGCTACACCTAATGATTGACACTGGATTTCACTATCGACCCCATGAGAGATCACAATGCGCTTCCCTTGCTTGCTGTCGTAAAAATTTCCTGATATTAGGGCATACTTTACTGCACCAGAGTATCGAACATACTCCTGAGTAATATACATATATATATATATATATATGAAAGATCTGTGTGCCAACCCTTTTTCACGGTGTACATTTAATTTGCTCTATGGTTCTGGTGGAACAATCCATGGTTCTGGTGAAATCTCTAATAGATATTTATGATGATAGAGACTCTAGATCGGGCGGTACCAGCTGGTTTGGCTGGATATAACTCGATTGAGCTGGTTGAAAGCACCACTTCAAAGCAATTCGACGATCGTATGAAAATTTTCTTGCTTCTGATTCAGTATCTAACTAGGTTTATCTCGGTTGACTCAGGAAGCTCTTTGTGATTTGTGTGCTGGACAGGAATACTATTAGGATTGATCTTCATCTTTATGTGTTAGATAATAAACCCATGCGTAAGTTGAGAACTCATAGACTACAAAAAAATCGTAAATCCTACCACTACGACTGAGAACTTTAGGCAGACCAAACTACTTGGCATGAATTAATTCTGGAGTTCTAGATGCGGATACAATGTTCTTAGATTAACATAATACCCTCATTTATTTTCCTCTAACGCAGCATCATGCATGAAATCTGAATCAAGTGATATATCAGGCAAGCCACGAACACGATTCATTTTCCCCAAAAATTGATGTGCATTTTACCCTTTTAAAGCTACAGAGGGATATAAATTCTGAAATTCATGTTGTCACTAGGTCTACTTTTTAATTAATGTTGCTTTGAAATGAAATTCTGATGGATTAGTGAGCAGATGCTCTCTTTTGGCAATGAGTGTTAAGATAAAATGGGATTTAAGTGATATACAATTATTCCTCGATTAATTTTTTCCCCGATTATTGACGTGTACAGGAATACTGGTTTTATAATCAATTATTCTTCTTCTTCTTCTTTTACCAATTTTTATGCGTTTTTAGGTCTTACTGTTGATGAGAAACCTGACTACCAAGCTATCAAGCAGCCACTTAGACCCATTTGTGAGTATTCATAGCCCCATCTTTGCTAGCATGCCATCACGGTTCCTAATTCTTTTCCCTTTCTTAATGCGGATTTAATACCACAAATAGAACTGAAAAATTATCTAATCAACATCATTTACCGAGTGCTCAGCCCACATCCTCTGGATGATAATTCTTGCCCTTTATTTATATATGGAAAATCAGCTTTTGATGTATTTACATACCACAAATATTATCGCCGTTGTTTCAGAAAAAATGAGGTAGTAAATCAATAAATTATATGATCATATAAATGCCTTCCAGTATATGAAGATTTGGAAGATTATATTCGGCTCGTTTGTCCAGCTCTTCCCTCTCTGAGAGCTTCAATACACGCTTTCACTGTGCAGAAGGGGTTGCCCTCATCTCACAGAGAAGACAACCAAGGTCCAGGATCCTCCTCTACCAAGGTCGCTGTCACAGATCTGTTCTTCTGTAAGCTTCTCGCCCATCTTTCTTCCCCACTTATTTCCTCTTCGCGGCCACACTAACCGCGCAGAGGCTCGCTTCTTTTGTCCCACCGAAGATCAAGGTGTGACGTCATCATCGCGCGATGCCTGGAATCTCCATAGATTCCCTTCCGGAAGTGGTAAGATTATGTCTGCCGACGGTATGTGATTATGCCCTCCAAAAAATAAAAGAGAGAGAGAGAGAGAGAAGCTGCTCGGCCACTTTGGGTGGAATGCCGCCGGTGGTTTAGCTCATTAGCTCCATCTTTTAAAACGTATTTTGACTTCATTTTCCTGACCCTTTTTGTGTGTTCTTGGGGTTCTAATCATCCGTTGACTGGGGAAGGTGGTGGGTAATTCTTTATTTATTATAATTTTCCTTTAGGTGGAATATGATTTGAGCTTGTGGGACCCACCCCAACACGTGTTGTCTTGACCTTTTCCTCTGTTGTCGCCGGTTGTGGCGGGATTTTATGGAAGAACTCAGAAAAAAAGGGTTTTTTTTATAATATTTGACATCCATAAATATTTATTATTCGACTCTATTGGTTGGTGCTTCATCTACCAATCTATCAAAAAAAGGCGTCATTTCCCAGAAACAAGTCTTCTAGTTTAGAGAGAGAAAGGATTGTATAAATGACCTTAATGCCATTCACGAATAAAGACCTACTTAACTCTCTCTCTCTCTCTCTCTCTCTCTCTCTCTCTCTCTCTATAATTCACAATCGCAGAACAAAAGGGGAAGGCCTTTTTATTGATTTTAAATACATATTTTTGGGGTTTTTTAAAACTAGTAAATAACTGCTTATCAACAAGCTACCTACATTATTGGAAATCAGAAAAAGGGGCCCTATTTACTCCGTATTTATTTACGTACGTGATAATTAAAATAAAATTCAAAACCTCGAAGTAAACTTACAAGGCCCTTTAATTATTTATTTTAATTATTTATTTTAAAAATATAATTTGGGAGCCAATTATAAGGCTATTATTAACGATATTTACGGCGATGCTTCATTAGGATAACCCATAATATTTTTTAAATTCTAAAATGAGTGAGAAAACGCTTAACCTGGTATACAGGCCAGGCCCATTGGGCCTCGCCGAACAAACGTGAGGATCACACGGTGATCAGATGATCGTGTCCGTCGGTTACACGATCAAAGGAGATAGCTTGACCTCAGAGTCGTCCCAGTTCCTCTGGTTTCTATCTTCGACATCTCCAGAGCGGCAACCAGTCGACATACCTCGCGTCGGAAGCTGAAGGAAAGAGGGAGGAGATCGGAGAGGAAGGCCGGCGACTGCCGCCGGTGAACTCTGACGCCCTGTCTAGTTGTCGCCGGGAATCTGTGATCGACGGAGGTTGTGACGATATGGTTTTGAGCACCAACATCCTCGGAAGAGAAGGAATGCGGCGCCGCTAGCTTCATCCTTGTCGTCGTAGCTCTTTCCGTGATTTCTTTCTCCGTTCCATCACCGATGTCGAGGAACCTTACTTTGAAGGTCATGCTGGCCTCTTCCTCTTCTTCTTTTGCCCCCTTTCTCCCCTCCTTGGCTAGACGCCACCGATCTTTGAATATCCTTTTCGCGGCGCCCGGCAATCCTTGCCGATCATCAGAAGCGGTATCTTTTCGGACGGGGATGTCTTCTCGCTGTTTCTCTACCTGGTTGTACGCGGTCTCGGCACCTGCTATGTCGGCTTCTTCCCGCTGGAATGGATTCTACCCTACTCTTCTCAAGTACCAGACGCGTCGCCGTGTCCCGAAGGATACTCCCTCTCTGTTCCGAACCTTATGCTCCGTGTCATCAGGGCAGGAGGTCGAGTGGAGGGAGCAGCAGCAGCAGCAGCTCGGTTCCTGCTCGGAGGATGATACCTATACGGAACATCTTCTCGAGGTCCAGCAAGAGAAGCAGAGCCGTTTCATCCCCGTCAAGGCCTATTTCATCTCTACCAGGTTCCCTCGCTATGCTTTTATTTTATTCCGTTTATCTACATTTATTTCTTTCAATTATCAATTTTAAATATTTTTGGTATGATTGTGTCTTCGGCAGCATTGACTTGAGGGGCTTGCAGGCTCAGAATGCTTTCAACGTTGTTCCGCCCACTTCTCGAGCAACAAATTATGTGGTCCTCAAGTACTATGATGCAAAGAATTCTCCACAGGTAAGTTACCTTATTTTCCTTTTCGTTTATACATTCTATCTCTGGCAATTTGGATCGGATGTTTTTCCGGTTTTCTACAAAATATCTCAATCATTCCAAGTCCCGACAAAGCCATAGCTGTATTATATCGTCAACAGCTTCAAGTACACGAAGGATTTCAATATCCTCACTATGTTCCCACTTTAACTCAATGTTGACTTGGAAATCAAGTTTATACAACATATTCAGTAGTGACAGTATAAAGGCGGATTAAAATCCTTTCTGGCAGTTTCTTTCCGTTGTGCTTATATACTATCTGTTTGTTTTTTAGTCCAATCACGTATCCATTAATTAGTAATTTTTTGAACTAGATCTTTTTCCAATATCCGGATATTCTCATGGATTAATTTTATACGTTGGCAATCTAAAAGGATATGTCGTACTTTTCTATATTGTCAACAAAGATGTGATAAAAAAGAGATATAAGTTTACTCTTGACAAAAAAAAACTCTTTGGGATTGGGACTTTTTTTCTTAGTGTCAAGATATCATGGTAGCCCTGACGAGTGAGAGCAGAGGATTTCTAAACTTCCACCGTGAATCAAATATTAAGATTGAAATAAATGAAATTTCTATTACAGCAGCTCTCAGATCTCTAGATTGCAGAGTATTGCGCATCGTTTGGTCTTTTATGGTCAGTCATCGTTGGTCTCGTCTGGTAAACATTATCTAATCTTAAAACTTTGTAAGAAACTCAACGGAATTAAATCTATAAACTTTCACGCCTAATGCCTCATTTGTTGACCTTCACGTTTCATCTTACATTAATAATGCTATCACCATTACTTACAGGATCTAAATGGAATCTCGGTGAATGAGAGCATTTGCTCCTACATGGTTGTCTTCCAATATGGTTCCATTGTTCTCTTTAATGTTTCTGATCACGAAGTTGATGGGTATCTGAAGATTGTAGAGAAACACGCTTCCGGCTTGCTGCCAGAGATGAGGAAGGACGGTGAGCTCCTGTAATTTATATATCAGCACTCCCTTTTTATAATGATATCTGCCATATGTTAGCATCTTTTATGACACCATTCGATTATATTTAAAAAAGATTATTTATGTGTCTTATGAATTCGAATGTACGGCCATGGCTTTAACACAGTTTTTCTGTGTTAGTCAAACCTTCGATATTTCTAGATATTGCTATTCTTTAAAGAAAAACAAGAAATCTTTACATCCAAGGGCAGATCTCATCGGATTTGCGAGAATGCATGGTTAATTCGTGGGACATGGATGATGAAGCTTTTTTTGGTTGTCGACTACCAATAACTATCGTTGTAGCTCCAGAATTTTTCAGTTTATGCTCCTACCTATAATCAGGAGATACCAAGAGTGGGCACTGGGTACAATGTGAGTAGGATCACTTAGTCATGCTTCATAATTAGAAAAACGAGCGCCAAGGAAATACATGCCACTAAGCCAAACAAAGATAATGGAGAGTCGGAATTTTTTTTTACGGAAATAACCCTACGCTTGTTGAAGGTGAAGTTAAGCTTGGAGATAGAACAAGGCCCTCTGTCGTGTATCCTCATTAAACTTGTGATATAGCTCATTTTCTTGTCTCATCTCCTTGTCCGACTGACATAACTTGGTTTTGAGCTGTGGAGGTAGATGATGGTGTGCTGACAAAGAAATGTATGAAACAATTTAGGAAAAAGTAGGTGCCCACAGTGCGAATGTGGGTAGATGTGTTTCAAGATTGATGCTCCTTAAGTGGCTGGGAAGAAGGCAGCAATGTGGGGAAGATGATGGCTAGTTGAAGCTGGCCCTCAAACAGTGTAGAGCTTAGTTATCTGGAGACTGACGGGAATCAGTCATTGATCATTCGATTTGTTCATTGATCCCAGTCTTGTAGTACGACGAGTCAGATCACTTTTTATGGTATATAAGACATTAAGAAATGATTACTGCAGTTTTTGAGCATGCATGCTCTGTGGAATGCAATTTCTTTTACCTCATTTTGCTCTGTGGAATGAAATTATATCATATCACATCTCATTCTCCGGTATTCACGGATATCATCCTGGTGTTTTATGTATCTGATTGATTTTTCCTTTCCTTTAATTTCAGATTATGCGGTGGTAGAGAAACCAACATTAGAAACTTGGATGCAAGGTGGACTCGACTACATACTGCTCAAGAACCTGAACATAGATGGAATACGTACCATTGGAAGTGTTCTTGGGCAGAGTATTGCTCTGGACTATTACATTCGCCAGGTATGCAAATAATGCCCCTGTGGCTTCTATAAAGTCGAATATTATTAGCCATATATTATGTGATCAAGCTGAAGACCAGCAGGAGCTGATTGGTAACCGGTCAGGAAGGTCTATTATGGGGTGAGCATAGATTTTTCATGAAAATAATACCGGAAATGGAATCTATATACAGCAAGAACACGAAAATGGTCAGTGCTAGATATGGGGTCCTTGCATGCTTAGTAATAATAATAAATTAAAATTATAAAATACAAGGAAATATTTCTCAAACCTCTAGTGGGCTGTGGATATGCTGTTATAAGTTTCCCCACGAGAAAATTTATCTGGCTGTGGACGGATATTCACGAGTGTTCTTCTCCCTAGGTGGATGGGATGGTTGCCGAGTTCACTGATATAAACCGTGGCATGGAGAAGACTGGTACCTTCACAATGAAGAGGAAGAAGCTTTTTCAGCTGGTTGGAAAGGCCAATTCGAACCTGGCTGATGTCATTCTCAAGCTCGGCCTCTTTGAAAGGTTGGTTGTCTCCACGTTCCTGCATCCCTTTTTTTTTTTCTTCCAAAAAAGTCCCCTTTTGTTTGCTTGATCACTCGATTCTCTCATCCTTTTCCGCCATAACTTTTTTTTTTCCTAATTAAGGCCAAATAATAGAAAATTTCCAGTGTTCCCTGCCGCATGTTGACCTTCCGTACTCTTTTTATATACAAATAAACCTTAAAGTTTTCTAATTAGAGTGATTTTGCGCCGTCAAGGTCTGACATTGCCTGGAAGAACGCGAACTACGCCCAGATTTGGGAATATCTCAGGGACGAGTACGAGCTGACCCAGAGATTCGGGAGCCTCGACTTCAAGCTGAAATTCGTCGAGGTAGACAGACCCTCTGTCTCCCCCCCCCCCCCCCAGACGTTGATTAGCTCGAGGGCAGCCTCTCCGTCGTTCTTCCTTCCTTATTGTTCTTGTTCTTGCAGCACAACATCCGATTCCTCCAGGAGATCCTTCAGAACCGCAAGTCCGATTTCCTAGAATGGCTCATCATCATTCTCATCGGGGTAGAGATCCTGATCTCTGTCTACAACATCGCCCGCGGTTCCTTGTGACACACCTTCTCAGCGTCAGAACCCGGCAATAAGAAACTGCGAGCTACTTACCAGGTCAGAATCATACCGCTTCTTCTCTCTCTCTCTCTCTAGTGGGTTAATCTACTGGTCTCCCTGTTCATCTCTCATTTAAATCTCCTTCGTGGGTTTTCTCCAGGGACATGTAAATCGATCCGGGACTTCATCTGGTAACTCCCCGATACTATAAATAGCGGCTTTGTATACGAAATAACTATTTTCCATGCCAGTAGTATCATATTTTTTTCAATCTCTCTCTCTAAGTTTGGAGCTTTCGACGCCATCACGCGGATGAAAAGTGTTTGACATGGAATTCGCAGCCTTTTGCAGCGTGATGGTCGATATAATATCTACAACCTTTTCCGTCGTAATGGGCCTTCAATAGTCTGCACCTTGGCCCATTTTGAGATTATTTTATTTTCTCGGGCCGGGTTACCCACTAAAAGTAGTAATTATGTAAACTTGCTATCATAGGGAATTTCGTAAAAAACCCAATAAAACGACAGAGTTTAGGTACAAGTCCCTCGTCCATGATATCTCGTTGTGCCCTCTTTCACTATACAGAAAGACAGCCTCAAATCCAGTTGTTTGTAAGGGCTTATCTAACAAATTCCATTGGGGAACCATAGGCTGTTGACATATTCGCCGTTCTGTCGACATTTTTCTCGGTCCGCGCTCGAGAGCGCTTTTACTCTTTTCCAGAAGTGGCAGGTATTTACTTCGATCACGTTTCTCTCGAATCCCCCAAATGTCGACATTCTTCTGTACATGTGGCATCCCAGCCTCCTAGAAAATAGTTATTACGTGGCTTTTAAGTGTCATTCGAGCTGCCTTTTCCCTCTGTCAAGGCGTTCCTATAAATGTCGACATTTTTTTTACTCGAATCCACTTTTCAAACTGACATTCCCGCTCTAACCCACATGTTTGGTCGAAAAAACCAGATCATTGTATGGATTAACACCACGCTTGCCTTTTGCTTTATGGGGGTAATATGGGTACTTCGCACATGTCCCATCGCTCCCGAGCGGTGAAGTCATGCGACAGATCGGACGGTCATCAATGATCTACCTGTTAAATCTCTCCGTAACTATTTAAACGACGGGGAAGATTGACGGAGTACGCGAGATTCCCGCCGGTAGGAAGTTTGCGTCGCTCGGGATCGCGCTGTCTATCTCTCTCCAGGTCGGGAGACCGCTCGCCTTCCCTGGTGTACGCTCGTACTGGTACGATCTCAGTTGTAGAAGTCCCGCTTTGAATCCGGTGTTTTTGGTGTAGAGCTTTGCTAGTCGAGCGATCGGAGATGGGGAAGTCGTACCCGACCGTAAGCGAGGAGTACTTGAAGGCCCTGGACAAAGCCAAGAGGAAGCTCCGCGGCCTTATCGCGGACAAGAAGTGCGCTCCCTTGATGCTGCGTCTTGCGTGAGCACCGTCGACTGAGATTTTCCTCCCGCTTTACTCCGATGTCGCGATCGTTTCGTTGCGGCTTTAAAATTGTTGTCTGCTGTCGACCAGATGGCATTCGGCGGGCACTTACGATGTGTCGACGAAGACGGGCGGCCCCTTCGGGACCATGAGGTTCTCGACAGAGCTCGGTCATGCAGCCAATAATGGCCTCGACATCGCCGTCCGTCTGCTGGAACCGATCAAGGAGCAGTTTCCAATCATCTCTTATGCCGACTTTTACCAGGTGAAATAGTCAAGAATGTTCATATTTCAATACTGTATATTCCTTGTTGTTTCTCTACAAAAAATCGTTATATGCGTATTTATTTATTTATTTTTGCCGACAAGTTGGCTGGAGTTGTTGCCGTCGAGATCACTGGAGGACCGGACGTTCCGTTCCATCCCGGCAGGGAGGTAAATAGATTAACGTACTTTCTCGCTTTGTATCTGATTCAAAAACGTCTTGTCCTCATTTTGATTGTGATCTCCGTTTTTTCTCAAATCACTTGTACGGTAGCCTAGTCGAAAGACGTCCTCTGTTGTGATTTTCTCTTTAAGTTATTCTCAGGTTTCGGATATCTCTCACCTTGTGCCGTATAAGGTTGTCGTCCATGAAAAATGGCCTACGTGATGCTGTCCGTATGCATCTTGTGAACTATTTCTCCCTTCTATTTTTTTCTCAGATTTCCTTGCAGTAGAACAGGCTATGCAACGGGCTAACCTTCTAAGATGAAAAACCATCGTTTAACGAATCTGATGGGGAAATACATGAGGACCTGAAGATGCATTCTAACTCTCTACAGAGCTCTAAATACTTATTCGGGAGTTCGGGAGCGTCGAGTTCAGTTCTATTGATTTAATTTCTAGCACGTTTATCTTTTGGATTATGTGATCCATGTGTTACAGTCATGTGTTTTTTTAATTGAATACTCCACGGGGGAATTTGTTTATGCTCTGTTTTTTGAATGGTCTGGTTCTATCTGGAAATCGGGTTTAGAATGGGTTGTCGTTTTGCCTAATTGATGGATACAGAAAGAACGTCTGTTTCCTGCGGTTCCGTTGAGGGTGATATATGGTTTAGCTCAATGTGTAGGTGCAGGGAAAAGCTTTGCTATTTTCTTCCTGTTTTATACTGGACCTTCCTTCTAGGTGGGGAATGGACCTTCTTTCTATTGGCGTTCTATTTTCAGTCAACAGTCCCACTCTCGAGCATGTTTTTAAACTCTTCCTAGGTGGAATGGGAATCATCAAACGCCTTGTAAGGCGTGTACTGTCTTGCGAGCGAACATTGATACTTGGTTTTGTTTTTTCGATTCATCGTAGAGCGTGTTTGTAGAATCATTCTATTGAAAACAGTCCAGAATTTTTGTCTGGTTTTTCTTTCTGGATGGACTGATGCAGTTATTACGATGCCGCAATGCTTTGCTGGACATTTTTTTCCCTCTTTCTTCCGTACAGCCTTCTTTTCTTATGAATCTTACTTGTATGAAGAGGAGCTCATATTTTCTGTTAGTTGTGCGGTATAGGCAAAAGTGTTATCGACATTTTCTATCTGTTTCGTCGTTCTTTAGGTGTCACCATTGCTTATCGTTTATTTAGTTTTCTTACCATATCTTATTTATCCCTCCAATTTAGGACAAGCCTGCCCCTCCTGTGGAAGGCCGCCTGCCAGATGCCACAAAAGGTTTCGACCGTAACCTCTTGGCTTTCCTTTCTCTCATTAATCGTTTTTCTAATTAATATATCATTGCATTGCCACATCTATCGGCTGCATGGCAAGAAGGGGATGCGTGATATCTTGGCTATACCCGATTGAAACCCAGAGAATGATCGGGCCGAACTTGGTCCCAAGCTCCTTTAATCGGCTCCACTGATACCCCTCTGCTGTGTTCTAAGGGTTTGCGTTTTTTTTTTTTTCCCTGAAAGCAGGTTCTGACCACTTGAGGAATGTCTTCCGTGATCAGATGGGCCTCGGCGACCAAGACATTGTCGCCTTATCCGGGGGCCACACCCTGGTAAGAGAATAACCATCACTTACGCACATTAGTTGAAAAATCCTCCGCAATGATATTACCATTTTCTCGTAACCTCGTAGGGAAGGTGCCACAAGGAGCGTTCCGGCTTTGAGGGCCCCTGGACTACAAACCCTAACATCTTCGATAACTCTTACTTCAAGTATGAAAAGCTACCGATCCATTCTTTCTTCATCTCCTGTGGTGATTCATTCAACTGGGCCAGTTGCCTGATGGTCTCTTCTTGCAGGGAGCTTGTTTCCGGAGAGAAGGAGGGCCTCATCCAGCTGCCCTCGGACAAAGCCCTTCTCTCTGATCCCTCCTTCCGCCCCCTAGTGGAAAAATACGCGGTGGTATGTACTCCGTTACGCCGCATTATTTCTCTTTGCCGGAGGACTCGGCCGTTGTGCCCCGACCCCTCTGAACTTGCTCTGTGTGCTCCCTCGCCTTAGGACGAAGACGCCTTCTTCTCCGACTACGCTGAAGCCCACCTGAAGCTCTCTGAGTTGGGGTAAGGACATCAGTCAGTCTACCAGAAGTTTCTATTCTGTTTCTTGTTCTATAGGGGCTTACACGGCTTCCCCATTTGGGCCCCATTACGTCTCCAGCTTCGACGACTGCGCGGGATGCGCCCGCGCCGCCCTCGTGAAGTAATCCGCTCCACTACGTGCTCGTACGGTGCGGTGGCGCTGTCTTTTGCGGACTAGAACGGATACTATTTTCGCTGATCGCGATATTCCCGACTGTTCAAGCTGTCCTTTCGTTCAGAATGACTAGTTTTCCACGTGGCTTCCCCAGCGTATGCATGCCTCCCCGCCCTTCCATGGCCTACAGAGTCCACTAGTAGTCTCTTGGCACGGCGTTCGAAGGGATCGCTACTCCACGTCGGTCAACGCCCGCCGCGTTCTGCGCCGAGCGCCGTCTCTATACGAAAGATGTATTTGCGCTAGGTTATTAGCATTAATCAGGTCATCAATTACGATGCTAAGTAACTATATGCGATCAGTTATTAATTTGCTCTTTCATGCAAAATGGATAATCGGAGGTAACCATAAATGAAAAGTACAGGTCAACTTCGGTGGCTCCGAATTGAGTCAAAATCTTTGCGAAATTTGCTGGCGGCGAGGCAACTACAGCTGTAGTTTCCCAGAAGTTTCCAAGCGTCAGTCGACAACTACTCGGTGGGGTCAATGCGACGTCGAGAAGCATTAAGTGGCCAAGTTTCCAAAAAACACTGGCCAATCCACGGGTTTACTGGTTAAAATGACGTAATGTCTATATATATATAGAGAGAGAGAGAAAGAGAAAGAGAGACAATCGACCAACCCCTAAACCCCGAACATGACGGCGGCTAGAACACAACGTTAAAGCCATCAAAGGTCAACACTAGTTTTCTGTTAGAACACATTCACATTCAACCAACCAAATTCAGCGACCAAAAAAAGAAAAGAAAAAGAAAAGAAAAAGAAAAACCCATGCAGTACACCACGGCTGCACATAATCTTCTTCGAGGTCAACGGACCCGGGAGGCCGTCCACGCCGGACCGAAGGATCCTCATTGGGCGGCGTCCTGATTCAGCTCTAGGGACTCGTTGTAGATCAACTCCTTCATCTGCTCCTCGGTCAATACGTGCTGCTCAAAGTCAAACGAGAAGGGTTCCTTGCAGATTGGCTCGTCCTCCTCATCGTGAAGCCTTGCCAGGTAGGGATGCTCCAGGGCCTCCTCAACTGCGTCATTTCCACAATTAGTCAAACACACCGATTATTCCAAAAAAAGAAAAAAAAAAACTCCACATCGGTTCGTTAATATACCTGAGATTCTCCGATTAGGGTCAAAGGTGAGCATTCTCTCCGCGAGGTCAATGGCGTAGGGACTGAGATGAGGGAACAGCTCGGCGAACGGCCTCCGAGGGTGCTGAGAGAGATGCCTGATGTACCTCCTCGCTTCTTCGCTCTGGACGAAACCCAGCTCGGCCTCAGTGGGCGTGCCCAGCACCTGCACGAACGAGAGGACTTGTCATGAAATCTGACTTTTAAAGTCAACCCAATGAGAGAGAGCGACAGAGAGAGAGTAAACGTTCTCTGCATCTTTATTTTCTGGGTGGGATCCTTGGTCAACTTAACGATCATCTACCAAGGACTGGTCAGCCCGATAATAAAAAGGCGAGCAAATTGTCAAATTAATAAAACCAATCCTCTTTTCTTGGCGGCGTCAGAGACGAACAGCGTTGACTAATCTATGATCATAGACCCGCTTTTTTCAACCCAACTCTGAGAACCTCGTCACAAGATCAGCTCAGGAACCCTAATAATAACACTTCAAAAAAGAAATCAACTTTTCTTCTCCAATCTCAAGATCTACCAAGAACTAGCTGACCGAAAATCTCCTTGCTCACCTGGGTCACAAGGCACATCTGGTGCATGTGGTCTCTCCCGGCGAAGAGCGGCCTCCTGTTCAGGAGCTCCATGAAGATGCAGCCCACCGACCAGACGTCGATCGCCGCCGTGTAGTCCGTCGAGTTCAGAAGCAGCTCCGGCGCCCTGTACCACCTCGTCACCACGTACTCCGTCATGATATCGTTCTCCGCCGTCGGCCGAGCCAGCCCGAAGTCGCAGATCTTCAGCTCGCAGTTCGCATTCAACAGGAGGTTGCTCGGCTTCAGATCCCTGTGGATCACTCTCGCCGAATGAATGTACTTGAGCCCCCGGAGGATCTGGTAGAGGAAGTACTGCAACAACAGCGACGCCCATTTTCCGGGCCTTTTAATCCTTCCATCTCCCTCGTGAACAACCTCCCGATGATCGGAGGTTTCGAACGCACCTGGCAGTGATCTTCTGTCAGTTCCTGGTTCGAGCGGATGATCTGATGCAGGTCCGAGTCCATGAGCTCCGTGGAGATGTACACGTCGTTGAATGGCTCCCTCACCGGCGGCGGGATCACATCCCTTATAGCGATGACCTGTAATAACCGAGTCAAGATCAGGAACCGAGTATTCTGATATGATTCCTGGTTGCGGGAAGAAATCTCTTGAAGAAATATCGATTAGATGGGCGGAAGGGGAAGCCGGATCGAAATCCCGCAGGAGATTTTTGACCCGGAAATCTGAACCTCTGGATTATCGGAAAGAGAAGAAGATTGGGGAGGGGGATGTGGAGAGGGATTGATGCATACGTTCTCGTGATCTAAATGTCTGAGGAGCTTGATCTCCCGGAGAGTCCTCTTAGCGTCGATGTGGTTGTCGAAGGCATTGGCTATCTTCTTGATCGCCACCATCTCCCCGGTTTCCGAGTTCATCAACGAACTGCAAACCCCAGAGAAAAAAAATTAGATCACGTTAGATTTAATCCCCAGATGAGGAAGAACATCCAGGGAACCTTGTTGACAGAGAGAGAGAGAGAGAGAGAGAGAGAGAGAGAGAGAGAGAGAGAGAGAGAGAGGGGGATGGGTACCAGACGATGCCATAGGCGCCCCTTCCTATTGGCATGATGGGGGGCTGGTACTTGGCGGTGACCTCGAAGGTGGTGCCGAAGATATCGTACTTGAGGTAGCGGCCGCCATGGGTGGGGACGAAGGGGAACTGTGAGGCGGGGCTTGCGTCCATCTCTGAACCTGCGAATCCCTGGGAGGGATGAAGATTACCTTCTTCCTCTTACTCTTACTCTTCCTCCTCCTCCTCCTCCTCCTCCCCTTCTTCTCCTTCCTCGCCCTCCTTCCACAGAAGAAGATGGGCATCTTATACGGAGGACCCTCATTTCCGAGAAAATCATCGGAAGGGGGTTGGAAGAAAGAAAGTTAGGTTGGGGGAGAGAGAGACAAGCAGAGAAACAAAGATAGAGAGAAAGAGAGAGAGAGAGAGGGGAAGGAAGTCGTCGCAGTATTTTTACCGGGTGTGGCTGCTGGGTTATCCATCTATTGGTCCTCTCTCTCTCTCTCTCTCTCTCTCTCTCTCTCTCTCTCTCTCTCTCTGGTGGGGCTGCAATTCTCACTCCCAGCGCGTTGCCATTTTGTCGGCTACTCAATGACCCTCGCGTCCCTGGAACCGCTGGAACAAGGGAGAGTTGACTTCTGAGATGATCGGCTCAGGAATATCCATGTCCTGTCGACGCTTCTTCGTCCCCTTGTATTTTAATAATACTTTAAATATTTATAAATTTGTACATTTATAAATATGGGTACATAATTTGTACACTCGTCCTCTCTCTCTCTCTTGCACGGTCAACATTATGGGTACATAATTTATAACTACAGGGTTAGTATAAAATAAATAAAAATAATTTAATATTATTATAATAAATAAATAATTTCATCACAGTTTTACTATTGTCAATTATATATTTTATAAGAAATATTAATTAAATCTACCCGATTCTCCCTTGTGAATATATGGAGATGAAGTGAAAGTTGACCCAATTCAGGGCAGGATTAAAACCAAGCTCCTAAATTGTGGATATAACATCAAAAAATAAGTTTACAAAAATGATTCTCGAAACTTATAAACTATTATTGGATATGTTTTGACAAGTTGTGGTATCTAACGTAATTTAAATGGCTGAAAAATGGGAATTATTGTTGGCTATAAGAAATTTGGGCGTCTTGCCTAGTCTTTAACGCCAGGTCAACAGCTACATCAGAACAAAAAGGTCAACAAGTTGTCTTGGTATTTTTTCTTCTCTTAATTGGGAATATTTCCCTACGTGGCATATACTAAGTCAACAAGTTGTCTAGGGTACGTGGCATAAGGACTGCATCTATATGGTCAACACATAGCGTTTGAGAGACGTCACTTGTTGTTAACTAATTATTGTAATGATATAAAAAATACATTATTTTCCCCAGGACTAAATAAATTCAGCAAAATGCAATGTGGTGGAGAACTATCTCCGATAGATTAGGATGTGATATCAATAATTTCAATTAAACCCGCCATTTTTTAGCAAGGGTTTTATATATTTTCTCTAATATGTTTATTTGTGCCCCATCCAGTAGCCTTTACATCTTGGACTCTGTCATCCTTAAAGCACACTTAGTGAGTGAGAGAGAGAGAGAGAGAGAGAGAGAGAGAGAGAGAGAGAGAGAGAGAGAGAGAGAGAGAGAGAGCATCCGTAAATACCCTGAATGTGATCATTTTATTAAGCAGTCAATTCCCTTTTTGGGTAAGTCAACTTTAATTTTTTTTCATAATATTTGACTCTTTTTTTTTGTTTATTGCGGTGGGAAAGGTGGGGAGCATAATTCTCCGGGGGCAGATCTCCTCCTCCCTCTCGTAGCAACACTTGTATCTTTTTGCTTTACTCTTCATACGTTAATTCTTTCTACGGGGAAGGTTCCGTCTCTCTTGACCGACCGCCCGACGACTTGACTTCCTGTTCGGCGGCAGTGGGTCTTCGTCACCGGGCGGTCAACCCACGCGTAGGCACGATCGATGCGGGATTATCGTATCTTATATTGGAATAAACCGCTCGAATCCTTCCACCTAAAAAGATTTAGATTTTCCAGTGTGGGGGAGCTGGTCACGACTGTGGGCCAATTCTGTACATATATTATCAGCCCATTTACAGTTTGGGCCCATGCGGGGGAGCCATTTGGGCCGTGTTTCTAGTACCATTTGGATTAATTTTATGTCCGCCCCGTTTTCACTGGCACTGCGAGAAATTTATGGATATACCCTTAAAAAGAGTTTTGTGTTCAACAAGACTATATTTTTTGCACTAGCGAGAAGGTGAGCTCACTCGCGGTGTACGGGATCCGGGGGATTCCTTGCTTTCTTCGGAGGAAAGAGAAAAACATTCCGAGACGGCGTGGGCCGGTCGTTCCGAGCTCGAGAAACGAAATATTCTATCGCCCATTGACCATAAAAAATCGCGAAATGTGGACGGCCCAGATGCTTCGGCAGAGAATCGTTTGACTAGTCGAAGAGAAAGTGAACGATCTCCGCTATGCGACAAGAGTTTTACGAGTACTTGGTGGGTTGATCTTCAGACAAAGATCAACGATCGGACGGGTGAGAAGAGGCATACTCGTTATCGTAGGATTTGGGCCCATTGGGCCCATTGGGCTAGGCGGCGGTGAGTAGACCAAGGGGTGTGGACATTGTCGGGGCCCACGCGGTCGTCGTGAGTCCAGTGGCTTGGATTTGTCGTCGCCCTCGGACAAGGCAGTGGTCTGCTCATTCGAGAAGTGATGATCACGCTCTGACTCAAACACTCGCCCCCAAGACCGAACAGACCGCTGAATACCCTTCTCTCTCTCTCTCTCCCTCTCCCTCCATCGGCAGTTAAAAAGACAAGTCCAGAGCCCAGCACTCCTATCTCTGTTGCCCCTCTCTCTCTCTAGCGTTCGGAGGCGCCTTCTGAGTTCCCACGATCACTTGCATGGATGGAGACCTCTAATCATCACCGGGAACAGGTAGCTCCGTAGCAAAGCAGCTGGAACTTCTCTGCCCATCTCGTTTCTCCATCTTCTCTCTCTCTCTTTCAATTTATCTCTCTTCTTCCGTTCTCTTTTCCTCGATGTAAAACCCACAGCTATTATATCTTTCCTCCGCAGACAATGGGCGGTCACCTTCTTCTCCCGCTGCCGCAGGAGAAGCGGCGGAGTGAGCAGCCGGAGACCGCCGTGAGGTGCCCCCGGTGCAACTCCGGCGACACCAAATTCTGCTACTACAACAACTACTCGCTCTCCCAGCCCCGCCACTTCTGCAAGACCTGCCGCCGCTACTGGACCAGAGGCGGCACCCTGAGGAACGTCCCCGTCGGCGGCAGCTCCCGAAAGAAGAGGAGACAACACTCCTCCTTCTCCTCCTCAAAGAAGGCTCGCCTTCATCGGCCACTCCCTCCCTCGGCCGGTGGCGGAGCTTTCTTCGTCGGAAGCCCCAGTTCCAGTTCCGACCCGCCTGGAGCTCCCACTTTTCTGGACATCCTGAGGAACAGATTCCTGGAGAACAGCGCGGGGGATTTCGGGGATCTCTGCGACGGGTTCCACGGCGGCGCAGCGGCGCCGCTGCGCGAAGGCTTCGCCGTCGACGGGGGAGAGGAGGCCTTCGTGGGGCTTCAGTGGCCGCAGCTCGACGGCGGCGGAAGCGGTGCGGCGGAGCCGTTCGGGAGAGATAACTGGGACGGATTTGGATCTACGCGTCACGGCGGCCTGGTCAACACCTACTTCGTCTAGAGAGCGGCAGTACTGGTCCCCGTGATGCCCCTTGTCTTGCCCGCTGGCTCCGCCTCTTCCACCTCATTCCTCACCTGCTGGTTCGCACTTCCACGCTCCTTTCTCTCTCTCTCTCTCTCTCTCTCTCTCTCTCTCTCTCTCTCTCTCTCTCTCGCTAATAATATGTAAGCTCGGAATATGATAAGAAATATTACTAAAAGAGTTCAATTTCGACGACCCATCATCAAAATGGGCAATGATTCCTCGGCCGAAATAAACCCGGGGGATTTTGCGGTGGCCCGCATTGAGGAATTTGATTGTGTCCAGATATGTAACGTCTTTTGTCACCATAGGAACCTGAAAAACGGGCCCGTTGAACTTCTGGAGACGTGCACGACTGCTATACGTGATCATATGGGATGTAAATGGGTCATTTGGGCTGAAATAAACGTTTGGAAAATCAGCCTAGGCCTAGGCCCAATATAGGCCCAAATTAATTAAATAGAGGGAATTTTTTTCCCGTGTTTGCCGAATGTATGCTTTGGGCAAATTAATCAAATTATTCGTGCATGTAGGTTTATATGTGATGTGGATTCTCATATGCTTAGTCCAACATTGGTCATACCACTCCTTTGTTAGTGTTTAACATTATCATAAGCTATGAATGAGACTGCTATACTTATGTTGCTTGAGTCCTATCTTCAAGAGCCAAAGGAGATCAAGTTATGTCCACATCACCAATAGCTCTTCCCAAGTTGATTAAGGGATGATTTTCTTTATTTTTAAGCCTTTGATGTGATTGAACCCCTCTTATCACAAGCACCAATGAGGCTACCCCATGATTAATTAAAGAATAAGCCATTTGATTTGTATTTTTAACCTTTCATTTTATCATGTGAGGGAGAGACATGTCTTATTCATCTAGTGTGGCTTTCCACCACCTATCAAACCCAACATTCATCACCACTTGATCCATTGTCAGCCACCGCCTTCATTGAGTGCCATTGCCATCCACCATTTACTATGTATTGTTACTATCCACCATCTTCTACCACTAGCCACCATCCATTGCTGTCTAACTTATGTTGAATTGTGTTTGTAATATTGTTAGCACTACCACTAGCCACATTGATGCCGAGCCACTAGCCACAACAATTGTCACTACCATGTTGGCAAATGATAGACTACCATCAAAACCACCGCCTATAGTTATGACATCCTACTAGCTTGGGGTTAGACTTCTACTAATTCATAACCTAGTGAATTGTTAGATATGAATTGATCAATGAATCATTGATGAGAACTTCAGTAAATAGTCAGCAATTAGGAAAACAACTATGAGGTGTGTTTTTCTCTTTGGTAGTTGCCCACTTTGATGTAGGGGTGATTTTTGCACCCTCTTTTTTTATGAATTGAGTATGTATTTATATAATATATATATTTTTATAAGTAATGTGGAGTATATTATATAAAGGTTTACTTATTCTAATATTTAATAAAGAGTGTATCGAGATCAAATTGATTTAAACTAATTAATTTATTGTGCGTGGAGCACCCCAACCTTATTAATTTTTTAATTGTGTTGATTTATTCTATTATAAATCATACAAGTGACCACTTGGATGTCTTAATTAGCTCCTCTAGGGCATGTAAACTTATTATGGAAGTCAATTTTAGAATGTTTGTATAGATTCAAATAATCAATCATCCCACATCAAATTTTGGTATAAGATCTTGGGTTTTTAGTTAGTGCACTAACACTATCAAAAAACTTATTGTTTTCATCATTTAGTTACATGCCTACTAAATCTAGTTAAAAAATACTAAGTAGTGAGAAATCAACTAAGTCATTGAAAAAAGGAGATTTGTTCGATTGGGTAAAGAATATACCATATAAATTTTTATAGAAGACTCTTTTGTTTAAATTGTTGACATATTCAATCAATTATATATATTTAAAAAAGGTGAGTACCATGAAGTATTTATAATCACTACCAAACCTCTACCTTAGATGCCCATATGATTTAAAAGGCTAACTTGAAATCTTTTAAGAGAGTGTCAAGAATGACATATTACTATATCATTTAATTGATCCATATCAATTGACAAAATAGAGCGTTAGAGTTGAAGCTTCTTACTTTGATAGGTACCTAGATCTTACAATTTTTTTTGATTGGGATGTTGAAATAGATTATTATTTTGGATGATATGAAAACTTGGAAAAAGGTAAAATTGTTTAATTAAAATTGGCAAGACATATCAAAATTTATTGATAACATGTTGTGATATTACTTCTTAAGAAGAGCCATGAACTAATGAGAATGTGGATGAAATGAAGGAGAATTATCTTTCGACTGCACATAAGTATAGTCTTAGATAAATGGTGAAAACTGATCTAATGAAATTGATATGTATTAGAATATATCTTTAAATTTAATGAACTCTTCATGAGACGTGAGACAAATGAAGACATAGAGGTAACTCTTTCAAAATTTAGGACAATTAAAATAAGATATTTAAAGAAAGCTTTTCCTCCATGATGTCATGATATTAAATTATGTCTACTAGTTATATCTACACAGATTCTAAAGACCTCAATTTCCAAGGTTTACACAATTGGTCTCTAGATAATTGAATAAATCAAGGGGGGGATGAAATGATTTCTATTTTTTTTAATTATTACTTTATTTTATCTCTTTAATTTATCTTTTCTTTTCTCAAATTAAGTGGGACTCACATATAATCTATAAAGATGATGAAAGTTTGTTGATCAATACAAAGTTTTTAAAGTAGTTTAGCTTGCAATGCTTACATCTACTTCCCAAGTTGACAAACCTTGGTTTTCTACTAAGTATACTTCATCATTAAAACTGACTTTTGGGCTTATCTCTCTCTTACAACATAGACTCTTCAAGCCTACAACTCTACACTAGAAGCTACTCTTATAACAACTTTTACTTAGATGTGAGCTCACTAGATGCTTCAATCTATATTCAACACATTATAGGTGTATTGAGCATGACTTGAGCTCATCACAAGAGTAAGACTAACCAACCAAGTATATCATTGGTGCTTATCACTTGACTAAGTTCACGATAGATACTTTTCATGTCACCACTACACCACATGTGCATGTCTTCCATCAAACATAGTAAATGTGTAAGATGCACGTCCTAACACAACATAATTAAAATAAAAAAATCAATCAACTTGAAATGAAGTTACAACAATCTTTAAATGTTGTTTTCATACATTGAGAGTTGATGAGGAAATTGAGAGGAGTTGGACTAAAGAAGGAAGTAATTGAGACTTGGAATAGTATTCACAACTCTCTTGAAATGATTAGACCTTGTCTTCTCAATTTTGAGACTTCAAAGGAAGAATGCCTATTAAAATACTTGTTATTGGTCTGAATCTTTGAATAGTTCAAATTTTTATGCACAATTTTATTTACTAGTACATGCTAATATCTGTGAGATATTTTTTGAGATAAAAATTATTTTCTGACTAGCCATAACTTTTATATTGTTTTGCCCCTATCCAAACATATGAAATCAATAAGCTTGTAAAACCAATAAAAAATAAATGCCTTAATCATTTTATTCAAAATCTATTTCATTTGACTCATTCAAATACTTTTATATTGATTATTCATATGCCTTTATTAGAGAAGCCATTTGATATAGAAAATTCAAATCTTATGATTTACACATAATATTATAATATATTTGTCTAAGATAGATTTTTTATTATATTTTATATCATAGAGTAATAATTATATTCTTGATGAGATTTTAATTATTTAAAAAATAATATATGCTATTAATCTCATCTAATACATCAATCCCTGATTAAATTTACATCTCAAATTATCAATTTCACAATTTCATATTAATCTTTACAAAATCATAATAAATTAATCTATAACTCAACATATACTCCCACTCCAACTCATAATGTAATGCACTCAAAAGAACACAAATTAATAATCAATTATCCATAGTGTTTCAAATAAAATTCCTTATACATGTGTTATATTAGAAAACTCACAATTCTCCACATCATTTGCTCTAAATGTGACTCACCTTCAAAATCTTAATGTTAAATTGTCCTGAAAAGAGAAGATAAATAGAAAAGAAAATCAACCAGCAAGTCATCTTAAGTTAATGCCTATAAAGATGTGTTGTTGATGTTATGGATGTTGACATCATATCTATAAATATCCAACCCTTACTTTTTATATGAGATAATCTAATGTGGATCAAAATTAAAAGAAAACAGCTAATGTATGTGGCTAAATAAATGAAAAGTACAATATTCAAGATCACATTGTCTAACAATTTCAATAGGATAAAGATTTTGTGAGTTGCATTATAAGTGAAAATGTTCAAAAAGCTAAATAGGTGATGAATTAGATGATGTATGCTTGGGATTTATGAGATGTATTCTAACCTAGTTCGAAGAATAAGATGATACATGTTGTACATCCATTTTTTATGTATTTCTTAAGATTAAGAGAATTTTATAAAATCATAGTAGATCGTGGGAGTTGAATTAATACATCTCAATTTACATTATATCATGCTTAAGATTTGCTCAACTTAACCATCTCAACTCACACAAAGTATCATGATTGAACTCATCTTCTATTCACATTTGAAAAATATTTTTTGAGCCCATTAATTATGTACTCATATGTGGATTAAGTTTGATGTGATGTTCTATCCATATAAGGTATAAAGTCTCATATTTAGAAGTCCATACTTATATGATCTAAAATCTCACATGACTTTGAAATTTTAACACATACTATTTTGTGAATAGTGAGAAAAATATCACATAGCATCTTCATCAACTTTGACCATCTGATCTTAAGAAATCAATTATTAGCTAGAATTTTTTCTTAATTAATACACATTGAGAGTTTATGCTGTCAATCTATTTCATCTTATTCTTATTCTTATTCACATTGAGAAATCAAAAAATAGTTGATCTTATTCTTGTGTCGATCCATGTTAAAAAGTTTCAAAGTTAGTTGTCTTTTACATTAAGAGTTTATGTTAAAACATTGAGCCATATCAATGCCTAGTAACTCTCACATATAGTTCAAATAGTTTAAAGAGGGAGACAACAGAAGAAGTTCTCATCAAGTGCTAATGCAAAGTTAAAATTTGCAGAACATGGTCTTTAAAATTTTGAGATAAATTAGAAAAAATACATGCTATTAACATATCAATAACCACTAATTATTCTCATTAATCTATTTGAGTTTTCTTCATCTCTTGTGATTGAGTCAGAACTAAGTGTCCATTAGTCATATTTCTTACATGACATGTTCAAATGGATGATGTATTTGACGAACAAGTTATATATCTATTTGGAGGTTTCAGTGATTCCTCATATGTTTGAAGAGGTGACCACCATTTTTCATAAGATCTATGAATCATCTAATGACAAACATCCCTTTTAACATACAAAGAGTCACTAAAACCCTTCACTCTATATATAGATAATTTGTTTATCTTAGATATCATATGATATGCCCATTAGGGTGCAATGGTCAAAGGAGCTTGTCTAGATGAGTTGCGATCTTTGTCTTCTTAGGAACATGAAAAAGTGGCCCGTTGACCTTTTCTAAATGTGCTACTTACATACATGATCAGAAGGGATGTTAATGGGCCACATTGGGCTGGCATTAAAAGTTTTAAATGGGTTATGGAATAGGCCCAAATGAATTAAATAGCAGTCAATTTTATTTTCACATTTTTGCCCTCCGTGAAGTGCATTCTCTTACAGATGCTCAACCCCATGCATCAACATATATTTTAGAAAATTACACATCATGGACTGAATAAAGTCAACTAGAATAGGGGGGAATAATGGTTATAAAACAAAATAAAACTATTGTAGGAGCCTTCAAGTTATGTTTTAACATCGTTTGGGCCTTAGCCTTTTCAGATGGACATCGAAACGGATCCTCTTATATCGCACCCGTCGGTTTCTCATCTTATGGTCAGAGAAAGCGGTCTGCCCTAATTTTGGAGCCCCCGGCCACCCCCGGCCACCCCCGGACCTGTCCCGTCGCCGCTTCGAATCTTCAGGGGAGTTCGCCGGAACGTCTGCTCAGCCTCGGGGCGGCGATCGCGGGATCCGCCAAGATGGGGTAAGTTGTGAACATCTCGTCAATCACTGCGTTCTCGAATCCAAGATCTGGCTTCTCCGAGATATTTCTTTCGGGTCGAGGTTTCCTGTCAACGGTTTTGAGTCTTTTCGATCAGCTGTCGGATTGCTATTTCCTTGTTGTTCTATGTGCACGCAGGTTTATATGTGCTGCGGATTCTCATTCCGTGTGCTTATTGACGGTCCAGCGCTGGGCAGATCGCTCCTCCGCCTGCGCTTAACATTATCATAAGCTACAGATGAGACTGCAGCACTTGCGTTGCTCGAGTCCTTCCGTCTGATGAGGCGGAAGGACTCCGCATCTGTGACCGAAATTCTAAACTCCGATGTTGGAATTTACATTGCAAGCTCCGGTATTCTGGATTTTTTTCCATAGTTGAAGCTATATGCTACGAACGGAACGGCCGCTTGCATTCAGCACGACGTAGATCTGCATCTGCGGCCGAAAAATCTACGAATCTGATTTTGTTCACAATTGAGACCCTGAGACCCAGAATATGATCCGCTGCGATGCCTGTGCATAACCCGAGACACATCACATAGGGTGCGCTGGAATACCAAACTCGGTGTCACCCATCATAACTGGGAATCGTGCTTGGTTTCTTCAGTTTTCCCTCGCCATGTAATGCATGGCCTTAATATATGACCGGTGATTATAACTTGGTGGCCGCGAGAATCAGCGGATGCTGCTTGTTCTTCAATGGAGATTCTATAAATTGTTGCAGATTCTAGATTGAGATCTCGGTTCAAGAAAAGCGGGCACAATCTCATCATAAATCGGTCCATAACCCGTAGTAGTTGGGTCATCTTAGATTTCTAAGGAGATGCAACACCATCCTAGATAATAATCTGATGTACAGTCAGTGTAGCAACAGGGAATGGAACCTGAAGTAAGTAGATTCAGAGCCATGGGCCACTAAACTAGGGGACATGTTCGTATCAGATTATAGGCCTTGCAGTGATTTGATGATCACTCCGACTTTGGATTTCTATCCCTTTATCTGTTGCATTGCCCTATTATGTTAAGAGGTATATATATGAGATGGGATCACAATGCCGGTGGAATGCTCTTCAGGAAGACTCGTGGGATGGGAGCTGCCCGCAAGCTTAAGAACCACCGGAGGACTCAGAGGTGGGCCGACAAAGCGTACAAGAAGAGTCATCTTGGGAACGAATGGAAGAAGCCCTTCCAAGGTTCTTCCCACGCCAAGGGCATCGTCCTGGAGAAAATGTTAGCCCATCCTCTTCCTTCTCCCCCCCACTTATCTTCCTTCCTGAGGGCACCATCTTTCTGCTCACTCCATCGGCAATGGAACCCTGATCACAGAGGCATCGAGGCCAAGCAACCCAACTCTGCCATCCGCAAATGTGCCCGAGTCCAGTTGATCAAGAACGGCAAGAAGATCGCCGCCTTTGTGCCCAACGACGGCTGTTTAAACTACATTGAGGAGAACGTAGGATTGGAAATTTCTCACTAATCTTTTCTCTCAAGATTGGATTGGAATTTATTTTCTCTTCGCTGGGAGGACTAAAAATCTCCTGGTTTTGTGCAGGATGAAGTGCTGATCGCGGGGTTCGGGCGGAAGGGGCACGCCGTCGGAGATATCCCCGGAGTCAGGTTCAAGGTCGTCAAGGTCTCGGGCGTCTCTCTGCTGGCTCTCTTCAAGGAGAAGAAGGAGAAGCCAAGGTCCTGAAGAGACTGCTGCTGCTGCTCGCCGTAACAGGTACACTACTTACCTCTGTGGGTGCCTCCATTGTAAGGAGAAGCCAAGGTCCTGAAGAGACTGCTGCTGTTTCGCTGATTCTGGGGGTGCTGGCCAATTTTGTACTCTCGAGAGTGTTCTCCATTGAGTAGACGCTTGGCTTAGCCAGCAGCCGACGGTGTTGTTTTCCTTGCCAATTATTTTCACGAGAGTGCTCCCCATCTCCAGCTCTTGCTTCTTTAGAGACCATGTAATACCTATAAGTAGCTGCTTGCTACGACTAGTGTTTGCTAGTGTTTGTCGAGCTTAAATCAACAATGAATAACTAGTTAGAGAGAGAGAGAGAGAGAGAGAGAGAGAGGAATAAGGTTCTTCACGTGAGCTAAGCTCCCCACAGATCAAGCGAATACTGATAAATCTTACCGCTTCTCAGTTGGACGACTAGGTCTACACAAAAAACGATTATATTCTTATTTTCTGGTCAATCGGGCTAATTAATATGGTTTAACATATACACATGTTAAACACTGAACTACCCTCACGATTATACTCTCTCTCTCTGCCCCCTCTTCCCGAAATGTTTTGAATGCTGTCAATAGTATTTTATTTTCTTTTTCAAAACAGCACTATATTTATCAGATGATGCAAAATCTCTCCCCCCCTGGCAAGCGGTTTAGTCTCAGATGCCATAAAAAATAGTCAACGCTTAGAGAATGAGGACTTACCGAGAGGGCGTGAGATTCCCTTAGCTTGCTGGTTGACTGCGCGAGTACGATGAGGACAGCACCTGCACATGCGGGTTTTCCCACTCAGCAAGACATCTAAACGGTCAAAAGCTCATCATCTGCCATAGTCGAGAGAGATGAAGATAAAGTTCACGACAGGGGAGGGCCCAATTTCTCACGGTCAACCTGAAAATCTCCTCCAAATGTCCCACATGAAATTTCCGCGCGCCCCATTCTCTCTATCTTTGGTAGTGTTTGTCTTCTCTAGTTCCCGATATGGCACAGTCGATCTCCAAGGTTTTTCCTTTCATGACTTCTGATCTCTCTCAAGATGGCCGTCCCTAGTGGTCATATGTCCACCAATGAAACGGGTCTGACGAGAATTAGTGCCAGAACACTGTTGGTGCTGGGGTCAGAGGGCTCATGGGTCTCGTGGCGATCCTACACTTTTCACACGTGGGAAGCTCCTCTCTCTCTCTCTTTCTCTCTCTCTCATCTTACACCTTCATGTGCACAGGGGTCCAATATGTGTGAATTTATGTCTAGAAGAAAAATGCGTCATGAAACCATACCTGGTAACTCCTGGGGCCCTTTTTGAGCAGATATCCAACACTATTGAGATTTTCTACAAATGTATCAATGTCGGGGACCCTCAGGCTGATTCTGTCGGCCAGACTGTAAATTTCCTGTTGCAGAGATAGCACGGCATCGGATCAGAAAACAGAGCTCTTATACTGCTTCAGATGCTGCTCTAAGAATAGCCCCACATTGTAAAAGGATGAAAGAACTGGAATATAATAGAATATAATAATATAAAAATAGAATAAAACAAAACAGAATCTTGTGGGTATCGCCCATTACTGATCAATGGAGACACGCCTGAACAGATATTGAAGATTCCTTACCGAGATAGAGAAGCAGTCCTTCTGTTGCAGTTCTGATTGTTTATGGAGCGCGCTTAAGAATCTCTTTGCCTCCTTCTGTTGGCTCATCCCACCGCTTCTGGCAAAGTCCACGACTCCATGCTCATCCACGTACTTGTCGTACAATGATTCTTTCATGATCTCAACCACATCCTACAGGGCCAGAGAGTTGGATTGGGTCGCTGAGAAAGCATAGATAAGCTGATGCCAGATAACTTCCAAATTAGGCAGGGATGAACAGAGGAAGGAACCATCTCATCCCCTCTCCTCCAAGAATATGGGGATGGTCGATAAGTGAGCATAAATACCCAGAGAGAGAAATAAAATTGGTTCTTCCTATTCCTCTTCATCGTCCTTCCCCCTGATGTGTTGCTGCCAGAGTGTCTCTCCTTCCCTTCGTGTGACATAATGTTTTCATCCCTGTATATCTCCTTTTCTCCTTTCTCCCTGGTTGGATGAAGCCCGTCTTTCCTCCCCCACAGAGTAAATATTCTTTTGTGTTTTTTATAACCGCCTAAGCAAGAGCATGCGGGCAAATTATAATTCAGCGTAGATGTACGCAAAAAAGTTTGAAGGGAGTTAAACAAATTTGAGTTCTATATTCTTGGGCAAGCAACGTAAGAGAGAACTCTCCAGGACACAGAGCTTGCGACCTCCTCCCAGTTTCTCCCCTTTTCTTGGCTGAAGAAATTGAGGCCTCTTTCTCGCTCACTTGGATAGCACTTCTATGGGAAAGGAAAGGAGCGGCAGAATAGGTAATGTGGCAAGCAGTTTGCCTTGGATGAGCTTGAAGTGAATTCAGGACAGGATATGGATGATGAAGGTGAATGAAGCTAATGTGCAATTTCAAGTGTTGGGTTGGAAGTAAATTCAGGGCCAAGGAGAGTTAATCACCATTGCATCCTCGGCAGTTATCTCTTCTCGCAGGTCCAGGCGGGCACGTGCTTGCGCCAGCCTCACCAGGCTCTCCAATTGCCTCGCAGTTATCGGTGTGCCATCGGCTGACATGTTATGATCTCTCAGTTTCAAGTAAAATTTCTGTAGAATTTCAGCAGCTGGTTTAGACATCCTAAATCACCACGGACAGAGGAATCAGAGAGTTGCGCTTGCTAAGATGATAAAACCTCGCCATCTTAAATCAGCAGAAATCACCTTGGAAAGATGAACTGTCTAGCATAAGCTACATACTTCCTGAGAAGAGGGCCAGGTAAAGGAGCGAAGTTTTTGTCTTTCACCGGGTCAAGTCTCAACCTCAAAGCCAAGGAACCACTTTCAAGACCGATGTTCAGATTTCTATCGTTGTGCAGAGCTGCATAATGAAATGAGAATAAATACAGGTGAGATGGGGTCCAAAGAAGTAGCACTAGCAGTAAAGCGCCGTATATTACCTAAACATTGTCTCTTGGCTGGCAAGGAATGCTGTCCGTTTCCAGTGTGGAGCTGCCCCACGAAAATATATTTATGAAACATAGTTTAGGAAACAGGAACCGTAGGTCAATCCAATCATTGGAAAGCAGACACTACTGATTAGACTTTCATAGACAGACACAAAGGTAGCATTTATGGCCGTTCTCCAGCACATTGTAAAAAGGATGGAACTTACTGCCATGATGTGATCAGACACTCGCTTATCTAGCATTTCATCCGGTTTATCAAGCAAGATAAAGATCAGATCAAATCGTGAGAGAAGAGCAGCATTCATTTTCAAGTTTTCGTTAACCGTCTTTGCACGGCTGCAAAAGAAGAAGAAGAAAAAAATACAACTTCGTCAACCAACTTTGAAAATCGATATCAGACAAATAAAATATGGAAATCGATCTGAATGCCACAGAAATTCATCAAACCCGTGTATATCTCGATCAAGAACTGAATAATGTTTATCCATAAAAAAATCAGAATAATTCAGAAGGCAGATTTATACGATATACAGTGGAACACATAATAGCATTAAGACGTAAAAATTAAATACAAAAAGAGACATGCCCATCAGGATGAAGCAGGGCTAAAATTACACCGAACGCTTTTGAAATAAAACGATTGGAATGGTATTTTACCCCCCATCCTTATTTCTCTGATGTAGACGAGAGATTTCGAGGGGCCTTGAGAAATGAACAAGGATCATAGTGGACAACAAACAAGGCAACCTGCAAAAGTCTGTTCATTTGTTTTTGGTGACACTCAAACCAAACCTTGAGGCAGCTTTTTCAAATGCTATTTTCGTCTTTGAGATGCATTCCCTCTACCTCTTGCCTTCCTTTTTCCTCTATCTATCGTGCAGTTTTGAACCAATGTCACCTTGGGTCTGCATCTGGAACTGGACCACCGCAAACAACCCCATTAGACACATCTCCTGTGCATCATCTTGCTATTCAACAACCTTGGGCATCCAAAGCCATGCGCTATCTTGTGACATCCTTGTCTCTCACCTCGCCCACAAATGCTGCCCAAAAAATATGTCACCATTTTTATCACCACTTAGCTAACTGTCACCAAAAAAATCGACTGCCTGATAAGTGTCACCAAAGAAGGCTTCATTTGACGAAGAGAAGGCTGCGTTTGAAAGGGACAGATTGCTCCACAACGTTTTCGTCATCTAGTTCACAAATTTCAACAGAAAACCACAGAGGTGAGAACACTATTGTTTTATATATTTTTTCATAGCCTCCTGAGAATCAACCAAGAGTGAACCCAAGTCTGCCATAGCATAATTGGGGGTATTCTTGCTCAAAGAAAGGCGGGAAATAATTGATGGTTATAATTTGTTGTATCATCTCTTGTTAGCCTCTTGTCAGGAGGCCACATGTGGACTATAAGTTCAGAAGAGCCACTGAACAGGAAGTATCTTGTTTCCCCCCCTCCTCCCCAGCAAGCATTGCCCTTTGAGCTAGTTCACAAGGGTTCACCTCTAACACTCGACTAGGTGCCGACTCACTCTGAAGAGAATATCAATAGATCAGAGGTCGGCATCCAGAAAGCTGCCGGTCACTATTCTCGCCATGTTCCCAAGGATCCATTGAGAATGTAGAATCACGGAAACTTCCGAAACGGAGGCAATAATAACGGGCACAATGTTTCCATAAAATCTCAAAAATGCAATAGATGGTCTAATTCGAATGTTTTTCTCTAGCGTTTTCTCTAGCGTCTAGCAGTTTAGAAATGCTAGCCACTACAGAAAACGTGTCCCATTACATTCTCTTTATACTTTTTGTCACTGTCTGCTATTCATTACGAACACTCGTCAGAAGTTCGGACGGACAATGGAAAATATAAACGAGACACCACGAATAAGAGAAGCTATCACATTAAACACGTTGTATTTCGGAGGTCATGATTGAATATAAAAGTTTCATTACTTGTAATGTCCGCCGACAGGGTTTGCTGCTGCTAAAACAGAAGTACGTGCTGATAAACTTGCAACAAGCCCGGCCTTTGCAACAGAGACGCATTGTTGTTCCATGGCTTCCAGGAGAGCCTGAATCATACAAACGAGGAAATTCATTAGATGCATCCCGATCCCAGATAACTCATATCAGATACTTTTTACAATTTAACATAAAAATACCTGATGTTCTGCTGTCATTTTATCAAACTCATCAATACAGCATAACCCATGGTCGGCAAGAACCATGGCACCTGTTGGGATCACTGAATGTTACGTACACAAGATTTGCAAAGAGTAAAAACTAAAATTTTATGGACGCTGAGGTGTTAAAAATACTCCTGACTTGGTCAGTCAACAACTAACCAAAAAAACATTTAGACCCATCATCACCATTTGTAACCTTTTTTGGCTGGAAATGTGGCAGTGACACAGATCTTGACTAAAATAAGTACGCATGTTTTTTGAAAGCAAGCATATATCAGAATTAGCATCTGGTATTGAAAGCAAAATCCCCAGTTTCAAAATCAACATATACTTCCTAATTTTTTTTTCATCATTTTCGTTTTATGGATTTCAAACTTCAGACCAATGTTCCTCACCAATGGTTATCCATTCAAAACTTTTTTTTGCATTCATCAATTTTTCATTTGAAATATTTCAAAATTAATTTCATAAAAAAAAAGGTACTTCTTCCTGTCAAATTGTCAGATTTCATCTTGAGTCTATATTTCTTTATATTGTAATAATACCCTTATGAGATCTAATTAGCTATAATAGATACTCATGATGGGTCCTTAGATCCGAAAACTAATGAGTACCGATTATAACCTGATCAAGGAATAAAATAGTCTTTCTGTGTTTTCTTGAATTCGAAGTCTTAGAGCAGCAGCCTTGGTGATCTAGGGTTTGAGGAAGAAGAAACTTAACATGGTATCAAAGCTCGATTATCAGGTTGGGTTTCACACTTTGTTCTTCTAGTTTTTTGCAATCTGTGCTATCTTTATCCACAATCTCTGGACCTTGATTGAGAGGTTAAGAGAAACATGAAGGAATAGAAATAAGAAAAGAATCTACCGATGCCAGTAGCACGCAAAAACTAAAGAATGAAAGAGACCAGAAATTCACTAACATCAGGGGTTAGTGAATCATCCTCCTCTGCCATACAATCATCAATTACAGAAAGGGAGAAATTGGTTCAAATTATTCCAGGTATTTTAGAAAAATTGAAATATGATGGAAATAATTTAATTTAGTGGAGTCAATATGTGGAGTTAATCCTCCTCGGAAGAGGATTAAGTTCACATTTGACAGAGACTCTTGATCTGTCAACTCCTAGATATAATATATGGAGAGCAGATGATGCTACCATCCATACATGGCTTCTTAGCACGATGGTTGGAGATGTATATGAGAATTACCTATTCGTGAAAACTACTAAATAACTATAGGATATAGCTCATAAGAGTTGTTTAAATTGAACAACGATTAGAGAGTATACAGCCTTGTAACCAAGGCTACAAATCTCACACAAGGTGAGAAATCAGTACTTGAATATGCTTGTGAATTATAAGTAATTTGGAGAGAAACTGATCATCATCAGCTAGTGCAAAATCTAGAATCTCGAGAGTGGACATACACCTTGAAGGAAAGGTTATATAAATTTCTTATGAGACTGAATGTAGAATTTGAGTCCTTAAGAAGTCAAATTCTAAACAGAGAGAAAGTGCCAAGTTTGTAATAATCAATTCAGATCGTGGTGGATGAAGAGACACATCTAAAGTTGGTATCTTGTGGTGCCCAAGAAGATTTGGGAGTTGTGTTTACAACAAAATCAAAAGTATCATCAACATGACAACAACAACAAGTAAATAATGTGGGAAAACAATGTAAAAGAGAAACTAGAGAAAATCTTTGGTGCACTTATTGTAAAAAGAGGAATAATACAAAAGAGAATTACTGGAAATTACATGGAAAACCTCAAAGACACGGATAAGTATGTGCTATAGTAACACAAGGAAAGGAAAAACCAACTATTGAACCTACTGTTATGATACATCAAAATACAAATCAGAACAATGAATCAGGTAAAATCAATTTTCTGAAAGAAGAAATTGAAAAGTTGAAGACTCTTTTCGGCTCTACTTCTATAGCACGATCAGGTGATCCTCAAATGTTTCTCGGTATATTCTCCTCTTTATTGAATATTAATTGGATATTAGACATTGGTGCTGCGGATCATATGACTCCAAAAAGGTCAAAATTCACTACATATTACATTTGTAGTGGGAAGAAAAATATTTTTACTACAGGTGGCGAGATTCTTCTAGTCGTTGGTATGAGAAGTCTTGAGATCAAGAATGTGAGAATTCTGAATAACGTCCTTCATGTTCCTAATCTCAAGGGCCATCTTATTTCCCCTCAACAGTTGGTTAAAGATACTAATTGTAAAATAATCCTTGATTGTGGTGGTTGTTTCATATATGATAAGGAGTCGAACCGGAAGATTAGACCTGTTAAAGAGAAGGATGTCCTACTCTATTTTGAAGAAAATGCTATTTCAATACTTATGGTTAATGGCTTGGAACCAAGTGAAGGAAATGACTCAAGGAAACTGAATCAAATCAAGTTGTTACACTATCGGATGAGACATCCCTCCTTTGATTGTTTGAGAATAATGTTTCCTTCTTTTGTTAAACAATGTGATGGAGAAAATGCCTGCCAATTGTCTATGCATAAGCGAACCATCTATGGAGGAGTGAGTGAAATAAGTAAATCTGCCTTCTATCACATACATAGTGATGTTTGGGGTCCATGTCAAATGGTTACTACCTCTGGAGCTGGCTAGTTTTTGATATTGATTGATCACAGTACAAAACTCACTTGGGTCTATCTTCTTAAGCACAAAGCACAAATCTCAAATAACGGGGGTAATTCAAACATTTTGCTCCATGATAGAATCAATTTGGCACTCTCATCAAAAGGTTCAGATCTGATAATACAAGAAATTATTTTAATGAAACCGTGACATCTTATTTTAGACAACATGAGATAGTTCATCAGTTATCATGAATTTACACTCCACAACAATATGGAGTGGCAGAGAGGAAAATTGGGAACATAGTAGAGACTACTAGAGCTCTATTGTTCCATCATCGTCCCAAAATATATTTGGGGAGAAGCTCTTTTGACGACTGTTCATCTAATTAATAGGCTGCCCTCAAAGACATTAGGATATCATAGTCTACTTGATCTAATGGTTCAATACCCTCACATAAAGCAAAAGACAAACTTAAGTCCAGAAGTGTTTGGATACACAGCCTATGTGTATGTAAAAAATCCATGAAATAAATTGTATCCGAGGGCAGTTAAATGTGCTTTTGTGGGCTATTCTATGACTCAAAAAGGCTATAGGTGTTATCATCTAGAACTGAAGATATTTTTTTTTTCAGCTGATGCTACATTTAATGAACGAGAAAACTATTTCTTATCTACAAGAGAGGAGCAGATGAAAGTCAAAGAATCATCTGGTCAAGACAACATCGTAGTTCAGACTGAGTCATCATCGGAAATAACTTCATCTCCACCTGAAGATCGGAATACTCATACAAAGGAGATAACATAAGTGTATACTCGGAGAGCAACATATCCAAAAGAAAAGAACAGTATATTAGAAGGCATGCATGTCCCTATTGTAAGTAATTCTCATCCTGAGAATTTACTAGATTATAATGAATCTTCAGAAGATGATGATAAGAATATTTCGAGACAAGAAATAGTGAATGAAGAAGATCAATTGGATCTGCCTATTGTCTTAAGAAAAGGTACTAGAACCTGCACAAAGAAATTATTATATCCTATATCAAATTTCGTGGCATATTAACGTCTTTCTCCTAAATACAAAGTATTTGTCACAAGCTTACATTCCATAGTCATATCTAGAACTGTGGAAGAAGCTTGCAAGGATATAAATTGAAAGAAAGCTATGAACACAGAAATGGAGGCACTAGAGAAAAATAACACATGGGAGATAGTTTATCACCCTTAACACAAAAAACTTGTTAGCTGTAAATGGGTGTACATTGTGAAGTATAGCTCAGATGAATCCCTAAAAAGATACAAAACATGTCTGGTTGCCAAAGGATATACTCAAACCTATGAAATTGATTATTTGGAGACCTTTGCACAAATTGCAAAATTGAACACCATGTGCATATTAATTGCACTAACAACAAGCTTTGGTTAGTCACTTGATCAATATGATGTGAAGAACACTTTCTTTCATAATGATCTAAATGAAGAGATATATATGGATCTTCCTCTGGGGTATTATCTATCTTCTCATGGGCAAAAGGTATGTAAGTTGAGAAAATCATTATATAGACTAAAATAGTCCCCTCAGGCATGGTTTGAGAAATTTTCTAATGCCATGAAAAGTATGGGTTATAAACAAAGTAGTGGTGATCATACTTTCTTTATTAAGCACTGACATTCATATGGAATGACAATTCTTCTAATGTACGTGGATGACTTTATTATTACAAGAAATGATAAAGCAGAAGCCTATAATTTGAGTCAACAACTTTCAAAAATATTTGAGATCAAGTCTTTCGGACGGCTGCAATATTTTCTAGGCATAGAAGTTGCCTATTCCTAACAAGGAATTTTCATTTCTCAACACAAATATATTCTTGATCTTCTTCAAGAAGCAGAAAAAATAATGTGCAAGCCATTGGGTACTCTTATGGATCTAAATTTGAAACTCGGAACTTATGATGAGGACAGTCCAGACATTGCTTTTGTAGTGAGAGTCCTCAGTCAGCAGATGCATGAACCCAAGGAATGACATCTTCAAGCTACCCATAGGGTGCTGGGCTATTTAAAAGGTACAGTAGGCCAAGGATTACTATTTAAGAGAAATGGTGGTACATCAGTAGAAATCTACAGGGATGCAGATTATACAGGATCAGTGGTGAATCGAAGGCCAACCTCAGGATACTGCTCCTTCATTGGAGAAAATCTAGTTACCTGGAGAAGTAAGAAGCAAAATGTAGTTGCAAGGTCTAGTGCAGAGGTTGAGTTCAGATCGATGGCACAAGGAATTTGTGAGGCACCATGGATCAAAGGTATTTTGGACGACCTTAAAGTCCAGAACTATAGACCAAATAATGTTAAATTGCGATAATAAATCAGCAATTAACATTGCCAATAATCCTGTGCAACACGATCAAACCAAGCATATGGAAGTGGACAGACACTTTATCAATGAGAAAATTGAGCAAGGAATCATCCAAACTACATATATTCAATCTTCATTACAGGTGGCGGACATTTTTACCAAGGGCCTCCTAGGTCCGGCATTCCACAAGTTAATTCACAAGCTGAGAATGGAAAACATCTATACACCAGTTTGAGGAGTGTCAAACTGTTATTATCTTGAGTCTATATATTTTTCTATATGTAATAATACCCTTATGAGATCTAATTAACTATAATGGATACTGATAATGGGTCCTTAGATCCGAAAACTAATGAGGACCGATTGTAACCCATATATAATATGGGCCCGATCAATGAATAAAGTAGTCTTTCTGTGTTTTCTTGAATTCGGAGTCATGGAGCAGTCACCTTGGTGATCTAGGGTTTGAGGAAGAAGTTTAACACTTACCATGCATTTGGGGCATAAAGAGCATTGGAATATCAAGCCTTCCTCTGTAATATCATGCATCATTGTGATAAGGAAAGCAGACTATACAATCTATTCACAGTGAATAGGACAGTGGATGCTAAGCTTGCATATTCTAGTGGAAGGTGATGGTCTAGAAACATCCAATTTGGATGTTTGTAAAGCTGATCAGAACAAAAAATTCAAGGGCGTTGTCAAATGATAAATACTAACAAGTACAAATGTGAGAGTGATGTACTACCAGCTTCAAAAGCATAACCACTCGTCATGGGGTCCTTTACAACAGCAACTGTCAAACCAGCATTTGTCGTTGCATTGCCACACACATAAATCCCTCTTGGTGACACCGCAGCTGCTGCTTGCAGAAGTTGGCTCTTACCTAGTCCAGGATCACCTGAGGTAATAAGATAAAGTTGCCTCACGCAAATGAAAATTTTCATGATAAAATTATTAGGCAAAAAACTTGGAGGCGCTAACACTAGAACCAGATAATCCTCACCAACAACAAGAACATGGATGTCGCCTCGCACAGGGACTTTGTTTTTATCTGTTGAATGCTTTTGTACTCCTCCAAAGAGTGCAAGCGTTATTCCAGCTGTATATGTAATGAAAAAAAAATCAATGAAATTATAAGCAGCATAAGTAATTCAAAAGTACCCTTGAAATGCTGGTAAGAATACGAAAGGAATGTACAATGCTAAACCATCTACAAATCAAATCTTCTATCCAAATTTTGCTGCCCGTCGTCAGAACTAAAATTAGAGAGCTTCTATTTTCTGACTCACTGCTTGACAAGGTTTGCCAAGAAGTGCCAGACAATGGTCCAAGACCAGATGGCTGGGGAAAAACTCTCAAAAAGGTTCCTGGCGAGTATAAGATGAGATCCTAAAGAACAGCTTCAACAGAGGGATGCAACCTTCTTTGAGGAGCCTACTTGGCAAAGGGTGACTCAAAACACTGGTTTTTGTGACGGATTAAATATTCATTGGATTTTATATGTTGAAAATTTCCTCCTACTTATGATTTCAAAAGCAAGGAGATAATTCTTCAGTTCAATTTTCTCCAATAATTATAAGTTCAATCTTGATAGAAATAAAGGCAAAACAGAATGAAAAATCCTAAATTTAAAATATACATTGGTTGGGATATGAAAAGATGGTGTAGTAATGTTCACATCAGAGGATGGACCTTAAAGTGCGGTATGAAGGATTGACAATGGAAAATTCCCAAACAGTGAGCCCTCTCTTGATGAGAAGAGCAAAAGCTTAACTGTGCTGCATTGGACCTAATAATTTGAAAATTTATTAACAAGGTCCTACCAGGAGGAAAAGAAACTCAGAAGTAGACAAACCATCTGGATTTATGCGGAAGCTTGTATCTCATAAACTTCAACAGTCTTCTATGATATTTCAATTACACAGGCAAGAGTGGTGTGGATAAGGTGAGGGGGGTATATAGAAGTTATATTATGTGATCACTGCTAGCATTGAAGGATGACAAAGTGCTTGAAGATACGCACTTGCCCAAAAGTTGGCAGATTTGGGCTGTGTAAGGGGATATTCTGTGAATATATGTATGCACTTGAAATCACTTCTGGATTTTTAGCATTAAAATTGAAAATGTGAAAATTCGTATGGGTGTACTCTTGACCAAACTATGGCTGTACTCGTATGGGGGTAAGGTGTTGGTGTCTAGCTGTTCAGGATCATTCAATGTGCAAAACATGAACATGTTGACCCTAAGCTCGAAATTTGGATCAACCGAGTTTTTCATACTCATCACATAAACCAAAACGCAAAGTTAGATGTTGAGGACCTCTTCTCATTTTTTGGGCCCACGTGTACTTGATTAATACATAGACATAACCGAATGGTTTTTGAGTCAAACAACTCACTGAATCATCACTGTATGAGGGAATTTAAAAAATCTTTGCTGTGAAGAAATTATAACCTCTAAATAATAAGTCAAATTTAATGTAGAAAATATATTTATTCAAAACAAACGTACTACCTTTCACAAGTTCATGTCCATAGATAGATGGGCAGAATGATTGAAGTATTTGGCGGAAGACATCTGAACCATGCTCCTCTGAAAACTTAACAATAAATTCCAAGTCTCTATTTGTAAAAGAACACAAATCAAACGGCATTCTTTCTGTGGTGTCACCGCCAGTGACCTGGAGAACCTCAGAAGTAGATTGGGACTTTGAATTTCTCACAGAAACTGCTTCCAAATACAAGTAATACAACCCTTGATTTTTGCTTTTTGACTTCCCTGAAAGATTAAAATTTGATTAAGTGGTGCCTGACTATGATCGCCATAGACATGCCAGTGCCCTTGCAAGTTTTTCAAGGAATAAAGAAAATGTTCATACTTCACTAAAATGTTTATGGTGAAAGTAAAAAAACCTAAGATACAACAAAATAATCGAACATGAATCTTTAAAACAGGCAAGCATATGAGGTCCCTGTAATACCTCCTCCGAGATCCATGTAAGTGTTAATCACTTTAATAATCCCCATAACAGTCACAATGTCACCAGGTATGCATGAATCGACAAGGTCTTCCGTTAGTTCGCATTCCACAGTACGAGGAACACGGCCTTCTTCATGGCTTCCAGATTTTGATATTTCCTGCAGTCTGTGCAGAGTAAACTGATAACAAAGTCAGCATGGTAATAATAACTGTAACGTCTATGTAGGAGTTGATTGCGTGACAACGTGCCTTATTTTTTGAAAATCTATAAGTCTGGCAGTAGACCTAACGGGGGTAAAAGTTCGGCCTTTGCATGAATAAAAACTGCAACTCAGTGGTGGTGAGTATTTCCCATCAGGAAAAAGTCGTCTAATAAGAGCTCCACATTTTGCACATGAAAAATCCATTTGATCCACCAGCGGCCTAACGCAGCTAGCCTTTACAACATTTCCACGCACCGAAACAAGCCTGCCTGTTGTTCAAACAATGTCAGCATTGACGTCTGTCATTCATCTCTTATTCGATTAAATTTAACAGACATAAAGAGGCACCTATATATGCTGCTTTTAAGTTTTTGAGAGTAGTGAATGATTCAGGATGATTGTGCAAACGAATGTTAATCTTTTCTGTATGGTCTAAGTCGTAACCCTTCTTCTTCAGCAGCAGAGCCTGTCGGAAAAGAATCCCAGTCATCACAAAATCAGTATGATCTAGAAAGAAAGATAAACCTAACAAGGAAAGGAAAAACGTACCACTTGAACTGCAGCCCCCATGCATAAAAGGGCCTCTTTAGGTGCTACCTCCAGAGCTGTGTAGAACTCTTCAACCAAACATGTCTTCTTAAGATATTGGAAATCGATTGGTAAAACAAAGAGACCATCATCAAGTTGCACCTATTCCATGAGAAGAAGTAGCTTAATCAGTTTGCCCAAGACAAAAAAGTGATTCATAAAATTATCGTGTCAAGCTGAAAGCAGAAACTTGTACTCCAGCTCGAAAAGGAAAATCAACTAGACATCCTGATCAGCTGTCCCCAACCACGCAAAAGGAAAGAGAACACAAAGAATCTCATGGATTTCACAGATATGCCAACAGAAACGTCACATTATACCTTGAAACAGGCCCGTGTTGATCGATGAGTACTGTGAATATGACACACACATTACTTCTTGCACTATTTCTGCTGCTGAAAAAGGCATAAACAGTTGTAGATGCACTAAATTGAGGCAAGACTTGAAATCACAGTTAGCTACAAGATCCCTTAAAAGACCCAAAATCCCTTCTTCATCCAATGCTTCTGTTAGCATTATTTTAGCGCATTGTCATGGATGAATTTGGTTTTCTACGAAGGTATGCGTCTGGGAATTCCTCATGTTATCATGAAAAAGACATGAAAAGCGCCGACCTTGCACAACCTTCGTAGATTTCTTCATCATCTAAAGATTTTTTTTTTTCTCAAAACTTCATAAATTTAAAGTCTCCTGATTTTTTTCTCAATGACATCGTGGTGGGGAGTTGCACCCCAGGAAATTCATATAGGAAAATCATATCATTGATCCTTGGAAGTTAACTGCTTATCATAGCCTATTCTACTGAGGTATCTTGGATCGAGAACCAGTAAACCCTTGCAAGTATCTGTATCTAGGCCTAGCATTCCAAACACCAAAGTTATATCCACCTCTAAATATGATTACATTCGTTTGGAATATCCAGAGATAGACTATTGAACGAGGGCACCTTACTCAGAGGTTGTTTCACTCTTGAAAAAAAATGAAGCCAGGTCATGGACATGGGAAATTACCGAAACGCGTTGTATTTAACTTGTGATCATAATCGGTGTTCAGTTATGAATCTCTTCCTCTGTTAATCTATCGTCACTTAGCCCCGTTGCCCTCGTACAAATAAACCATGATAAGTTCTCATCACACTCCGCCTGGCATCCATGGGCCGTTTTCTTATCTTCATAGGAGTGAAAAGCACTCTGACTACTTTATCGTCACCCAGTATGGGCATGAGGAAACCAATAGTGCACACGCTAACATGAGGAATTAACCCGGTTGCCCACTTGACGTCCAGCCTGCCAGTCTGACGAAACCGCGAACGAGACAGGTGGATAAAGCGGGACATATGTTGAACCTGAATGGATTCCATCCCACTTAACCTATCTCACAGTGATTCAAAATTTGTATGATAGCAGGGGAGGGAGTAAACAGCATGGACGGTACAACTAGTAAAATCGCATCAAAGGCATATCCGTGCCTGAGAGAGGAGCGGCTGTGCTTGCGGAGCGACGAAGAAATCTGTGAGCTCCGCCACGAGCTTGACCCTCCTGTCTTCTCCAGTGAAGATCTCTTCAGGGAAGTACCCGGACCAGATCCTCTCCACGTCGCCCAGTTCTGCGGAGACCTGTTGCTGCATGCTGGACCAGTCTCTCTCCGTCGCACCCGGGACGGCAATCGATCACCTCGCTGCCTTCTAATTCCCTCCCCCCGCCCCCCTCCCCCCTCCCCCCTCGGAGTTCCTATCACTCAACGCTGGGCCTCGGGTATATGAAAGCGGATGGAGGAGGGTTGGGGGTGTGTTTCCCGCCAAATGAGCGACCTTCAATTTTGGCCAATGGCAGCGAGCCACGTTATCACCCAACAATTGGGTTTCACATTAAGCAGTTGAGGGAGATAAACAAACATATGATAGATAGAGGTAGGGAGGGAGTAATGGAGGGGGAGAGAGAGAGAGAGAGAGAGAGAGAGAGAGAGAGAGAGAGAGAGAGGTACTGTGGGTTTTGAAGGGAGAGGCTATTTACTTAAACCCCACCTTTTTCTAACATCTCTTATGTTGCTTCTCCAAAGTGATCTACATCTGCTAAATCACTAAAGAGGTGTGTGTTAGAGTCTTAAATTCTACAATATTATTATTATTATTATGTATTCTCTATGTCATCAATTCCACAATTCAATGACTCCTACAAGACCCTATCCTCATCTCAATGAAAGGTTCATGATTGAGATCCAACATAGCTCCAATGTGAAATCCAGGCCTATGTCACATGGTTGGGCCCTCATGTAGTGGTGCTGCACACTCTCTTAGCAACTAGCTAACCATTTTAATGTCTTATGTTCTCTCACATCAATGTACATCCCCCACTTTATATGGGGGCAAAGGTCACCAACTAGTCATTATATCTCCCCTTGACTCCAATGTCAATTATTACATGGCCATCACACTATTTCTTAGCACCTCCACCATAGAATGAGAATTACAATTCTTCTATGGTGCTCTCATCATTGCATGTGCACCTCATACTATGTGTGTCCTCCACGTTGTGTACAATTGTTGTGCTACATAACTTAATGTTACGAGAACGAATCAGAGTATGGCAAGATATTAGTGTGGTGCCACAAGCATGCATAGTCTGAAGGGTGTGCATGATACGATGGATGTGGAATGACAGGTGCATGTAGTATGAGGCATACTCATGTGATAGTAGGCTGTCAAAAAATGTTGTGATGACCACACTAAAGTGAGAGTCAAAGGGGGATGCAATTAGTTGGAAAACCCTTCCCCTATATAAAAGAGGGCAATGGCTATTGTATTAGGAAGAATAGAATGCACTAAAAGTTATGAGCATCCTTGACATAATGATGTCAGACAATTGGCTAGACATCAAGAGAGCATGTAGTGCTAACACATGGGAGGTCAACCATGTGACAATTGGTATCAAAATATGAATTATCAAAGAAGTAAAAGAGATGGTAGGTGAAGGAAGAGCTTAAGATTTACAATCAACAAGTTTGGAGCAGCAACTCAAATGTGTTGGAAAAAATTTAGAAATAGTTGACTTTCAAGAGAAACAACAATAGACTACTATTAATGTCTCTGATTTTGATAATTATGAGTAAAATTTATTGATATGCACTTATTGAGTATTCATATATATTTATATATCTCACGAATATGTCCTAAATATTCAAAACATTCAACATGATTACTATATGAAATGTCCCTTATTGATTTTATGATCATATTACTAATGATCAAATCTAAGGCACTAATCTTGAAGATTAAATGATTGTTCATATTATAAACTTTTCAACAAAAATATCAGCTAAGTAATCATTTTCAAATGAAATGATAAGAATATAGTTAAATAGATAGAAGTAAATCATGCAAGTTGCCTTATCTTTGATTATATATTTTTCTAGAAATATTATATGTTAGTTATTATTTTAAAATAATGATAAATAGATTACTTAAGATCTCATGTGGATTAAATCATCAAGAAAGTAAGAAAATAAAAGAGGCTAAAGTTTAAACATAGTATTTTGATGGTGGCATATCTCATGTGGTCATTTGGATCTGACATAGATATCCAACTGTTATCCATCAAGGTAGAAAATTCCGATTTAAATTTGAACGAAAATAACAAGGGAATAGGGAGATTCAAATATTGAAAGGTTCAAAAGTAATTACCATGTCTTTTGAAAATTGATAAATTTTGAATGAGGTTATCAAAATTGAGGATCAGATAAAATCAAGAAATTATTTAAATTGATTGCTTACACAAAGATTCAAGCAAGAACATCAAGCTCTTTAGGTTGTATGCATCAATGATGTGTGATAAGACCACATTATCTTCTTTAGTTGATTTTGCCAAAATGATCAACTTCAATTTCATAGTTCTTGCTCTCCATCAAGCCCAAAGATAATTGTGTGGTGACAGGAGAATGATTTGAGTAAAGACATGTGGTGTGGTAATTATATTTGACCTGAGAAAAGCTAAGATCTAAGGAGACAAACTTGAGGGATTTAAACTATTGATCTTGTGAAAATTAGTGTGTAATTTATGATAAAATTAATAAAGACTAAAGTGAAGTTTTTTATGGGATTAGAATTAGTTTAGTGAAGGGTAAACAAGTATAAAATTTGTATGTCCTTTATGAGTGAGAGTTGAGCCTAATCACCATGTGTGTTGTCACATATTGTGACACATATATACATCTTGTATAAATTGAAAAATATATAGAAATACTATAAATCCTAATTAATTCCCTCTCTTAATGTTTTACTTGACCCTGTAGTTCTAATAATAACAATTTTTTTTGCAACTTCAAATTCATGCCCACAATATGAAGGAACTACATAAGTGATTATTAGAAAGACTAATAATGAGACTTGGGTGAAGTAGACAAATGTTGAGGTTAGAGAGAGTGTGGAACTTGACAACAAACTTCAAGGTAGTCAAGGGGGCACTAGTAGAGATCCCTAGGCAGATTAAGAATGAACAAAATTTTCAAGTCTTAGAACTAAAACACTTTCAAGAAAAGATAGACATGTTTGAACATGACAACTTCTTATTAAACTTAGAAGAAAGTATTTAAAAAATTATGGTGCTGAAGAAGAATAGAAAGATAACTAATCACTTTCTAACATGGAGCATTAAATTGGATGACACTAATGCTCAAGAGATGGTAACTAATTACTCATTGGCACTAGGGATGACTTTTAACATGAGCTCATCCTACAATTATGGCCAACTAATTGTTGTTTGTGATGTAGTAATGAGCCTCAAATAGACATAGATTACATAAGAATATGTCTAAAAGTACATGACCCATGCTTGATATTGAGGATATGTCTAAGACAAATAAATTGTTTGACTTCTTTATAAGTCTCCAACTATGGGCACATATTGAGCAAAAGAGAAAGGAGGTGTAAGACTTGTAGGCAACAATCATGGTAACAACATCCTAAGTCATCTTATATTAACCAAAAGAGTTGACCCCAAAAAATTAGTAACATGAGTAACCAAGTTCTACAAAGGAGCATATATCTATAGAGAAGTATGAATAAGGGAAATTCACTATAGCCCTCACAACACGTGGCCACAATAGTAATCAACTAGCATCACCTTGGGTTGAGCAACATCTTCCATTGCAGCTTGTTGCTATGCAAGATATAGAGTTTCACCCTTTGGCATATAATAGTTAGTCCTCCAAAAAATGTCATGTAATGGTTAATGTACACTTGTTGTGGGAGATGTTTTGTTTGCACATAATCTTTATATGCCACATGGACTTCTTGTAATAGGTCAAAGGAGTCTCCAAACACTATTAATGTGGTAGGTGATTTTTGCCAGCTCACTTTCTCAATACATCTATGAAAACATTCTCCTTATTTACAATGTTTTGTTATATTCTTTAAAGTCATATTCTTTAAAGATGTTTTGTTACCTTACATGCTTAAGTGTCAATCGTCACTTAGACTCAAATTAGTTGGTGGTTACATTGTTGATGTACATTTGAAGTTAGTGGATGATGGTGATTAATTCATACTAATGTACCAAATAATGTTTCTTAGTGTTATTGAGCTTATAGTTCTCAAGGTGATGGGGTGTCTCTCGTGACTTAACACTTTAAAAACTTTTTCGGAGATGTCTATGTGCCACAGATTTAGTAACCTCAAGATTAATTCATTAGCAAAAACATCTATTGGCTTGTAAAATACTTTATAGCACATCGTTCTACATTATTATGACCTCTACTTGTGGAGCAGGTTAGTAAGAGGTGCTACTAACCAAGAGAAATTTTTAATAAAGTAGTGATAATAGTTGGTGATATGGACAACCAAAGTCCAAAGATACTATGTGATGTTGGTCAGTCCTAATAACTTGAATCTTGATATAGTTTATGTACATTTTATTGTAGTCAATTTTGTGGCCTTAGAATTCTATTTTGGAGATGGCAAAGATACATTTGGTTAAAGTGAAAAATATTGTGTTTGTGAAGAGTCTTCAAGATCATTTGTAATTGCTCATTGTGGTCCACTATAATGATGTTGAAGATAAGAAAGTCATCTTGATAAATGACCACAATTTGTATATTGGTTAGTGCAAAAGACATAATTGAGAACTTAATGAGCTATAACAAGTCACATAAATAACTTTATACTTGTTTACTTCTTTTATAAATATCTATTGGTTCCTCCTTTTAAGATTCAATTGAGAGAAGATTAGGCACCTCTCAATTGGTCAAATAATTATCATGCATTGTGGACCATATATTTATTCTTGTTGATAATTTTGTTGAGGTTCATGTAGTCGACATAGAGTCTTAACATGATGCCTTTTTTCTATTGGAAAAGAACTGAGGTCCTAAATAATGATTTGGAGGGCTTGATATGTCTTGCCTTTAGTATTATATCCCTTTAGGTGCACTATTGACATCTTATATCATGTATTTATTAGTAGGGCCACTTTAGGTCAGAGCTTGATGACATGATTGATGTCATGTCAATATGGTAGTAGTAGAAGTAACTTATTTGGTAAGAAATATTTGTATTCTAATACTCATGAATGTGCTTCAATGGCTCCAATTTGATTTCACCAGTCACATTTGACTCCTTTCTCATGTAAGCCATTA